TTTTATAGAAAAAAACACCTGAAGTGTAGCAAAGGTATTTCCGCACAATGTGGAAACAAGAAAAAAAGATGATACTTTTCTCCACATAGAATGAAGACATGTCTGAAAAATGCTTATCATGGCGCACCGTTATGTTACGTTCAGAAGAACATCGCCTCGATATTGATAGTGATTAGCTAGACGACAGATTTTCCATTAAATTTCTGACATGACATTACGAACATTCCCCTTTTTGTATAAAATAGAAAAACAACTAATGACAATATGCCAAAATAAACAGGAGTCTATTTTTCTATATAGAAGAAGCAATTACAAATTTGAAACCTGATGCGTAGTTTAACTTGAGCTTCCTACTGAATCCTTCACTGAGACAAATCTCGCGTTCATGGAGTACTTTTCATTTATTATATATATATTTATTTATTGTATTGGTCCACACCCTCCGGCTAGAGAAAGTTTAAAGAACATGTTCTTTTTTGTATTATTTCTGACACTCTCAAAAGTAAAATAGAAATGTTTAACATGAATGAATGAATGAATGAATACAGATCTATTTTTATGTTTTATTTTAATTGAATATAATTCGTGGGTGTTTGTTGACTAATGTCTTAGTTTTTACAATGAAACATTCTTTTGTTGTTTATTTTATTGATTTCAAAACTAGTTGCACTTAATCTTGATAGTGTGTGTAGGAGAAATATGAATTCTAGCCTAGCAATGATTCATTCATTTTTTCAAATGTTGTATTTCCTTTTTTGAGATTTAATTAGATGAGTTTTGTTAAAGGATTGCAATATGATAAAATTATTAAATATTTGTAATAAAATAAGCGTATGCTGCTTCATTGAAGATCTATTAATCAGAATAATCTCTTTATATGAAATAAGAATTTGCTGCATGTTAATATGTAATCAAAAACTTCCATAGTTCTTTTATCATGCAAAAGTTAAAATAGAAATCTCTAGCGTTAAGAATCTTTAAAATTTCATGGTATTATAGTTTTATTTATCGCAATATTTTTTTACACTCAGTTAGAAAATGAACGAACCTATGTCATAGAAATCGCATTAAAAGGCGGCGGTTAACCGCGGTTTTACCTGTCCTGTTACCGGCTATCATCGGTGAAAATTTACCGGGGTGAATTGTCGGTTTTGATTAATACCACGGTTACCACTAAAAGAAGTGGCTAACCGGTTCGTCCATAATCTTTGACAAAAAAAGTGTTCTAAATCATCAATTAAGCTATTTTAAACATCCTTTTCTTTACTTTTACATGTAATAAACATCCGCAAAAAACTGTCGATTTACCGGCCCGGTTACCGGCTCCCATATCAGTGTAATTTGCCACCGCAAGGATAAATACCGCGGTTTATCGGAAAAAATGATCCGGCATGCACAACATAAAAAATCAATTAAAGATATTCAGTAATCTCAATTATCGAAGTGTTATTTTTCAACTGTTAAAATATTAAGTTCATCCTTGTGCGATAGTCCAATAAAAATAATATAGATATTTGTTCACTTGTCGGTTAGCTCTATGCTAAAAATACTCTCTAATTTCACAAATATTCTTCTATTTATGCAAAAGTTTTTAGTCACGTGTCAATGACACGAGGAAAAAAAGAATCAAACTATTAACAATGATCTGTATTCTTAATCAAGAATATAAAGTTTATTAGACAAATCGTTGAAATATTCATTTACTTGATTTTCATCAATTTCATGTTATCGATGATCACGTATTTAACAAAACGAAAAGTAAAAACGAGCAAAAATGTTTTTTTGTCCTGTTTATCCTTCTCTGTATCCCCATAATAAGTCCTTGGGTACATGCTAGAATATATATATATATATATCTTTCTTATTCCTCGAACATTCAAGATATAGCCTATAATGACCTCACAAACTGCGGGATTTTTTCTCGTTCTTTGCCATGTCTTCTTCTGAAAAACAGCCTGTCTGTTTTTTTACGTATTTTCTTTTCTATTTTTTGCCTACTCCGTTTTTTTTTCTTTTCTGGACAATCTTCGATGAAGGAATCTATTGGTTGTTGATAAGAGAAAAGAACGGAAAGAAACAAGGACGCAAGTGCTTCCAGTACTTTTGCAACACTACAAACGTACTTCTGTGTAAAAAGAATCTTTAGATCACATTGCTGCTAGGTGAATTCGCCGTCAGATAATTTGTTGCATGACAATTTGTTGTCAGACTATTCGTCGCAAATGTACTGTAATTGATTAAAACTGTGCCATGTCTTACTGCTAATTGACTTAACTAAAACCGCGTTTCAATTAATGTATAAAATTATAACTCTGTTATCCTCACCAAGCAAATAATAAATATTCTAATAGTATTTTTGAATAATAGAACAAAGCAATCATTTTGAAAGTTAAGCATAAAATTATTCTGTAAAGTAAAGACAGTCACTTGATTTCAATAGTAATTTAATAATTTACTACTATTTTACGAAGAATGAGCGCACGCAAGATTTTTTCAAGTGAGAACGAGAAGTCTATGCTTGGCAATAAAGATGACAATTATACTTTAGAACGAAAAGCTTTTGCGAAAATGATTTTTCGATATCACAGTTGAGATTGCAAAGGTAAATTTAACTAAAATATGATTTTCAATAGGCTTCCCGTGTAATAAAAACCGCATGAAAATCGGCGGTTAACCGCGGTTTTACCGGTCCTGTTATCGGCTATCATCAGTGAAAATTTATCGGAAGTTACCGCGGTAAACCACCGGCTTTGATTAATATCACAGTTACCCCTAAAAAAAAAGCGGTTAAGCGATTCGTCTATAATCTTTGATAGAAAAAGTGTTCCAAATCATCAATTAAGCTATTTTAAACATCCTTTCTTTTTACTTTTACATGTGATAAACATGCACAAAAAACCGCCGGTTTATCGGTCCGGTTACCGGCTCCCATATCAGTTTAATTTACCACAGGAAGAATAAATACCACGGTTTACCGCAAAAAAGGATCTGGTATTCGCAACATGGGTTCTCTATGAAGAAATTTCTCTCTCCATCTCTACATTAATTGTGTTACATTCAATTAACTACGCGACGAATTGCCCAGTTACCATCACATTGGCACGAGGCATAATTAAAAGAGAAGCACGTCCGTGTATATTTCAATATATAAAGTTAATTATTCTTAAAGATTGAATCATATATTAATAAATATATCAAAAACAGTTTTCGGTGTTGATACAAAGATTTCTTTTTTTGCAAGACAATATTTATCTTGTTATTAAGGCATTGAGAGCATTTAGTGCATTTTTATGGGCTTGCGTAGAAAAAAACATTATTTGCATAGCGGCATGATAATAAAAAACTTTGTACACTAAGATGATTGAAGAAAGTGATAGCAGCTCGTGCTCGCTATTTTCCCTAATCAATTTATTGAATATTGATCGTTTTTCTTTCCATCGATAGATACAGAAATAGTGTAATAGTAGTTATTTCGAAAATTGTATTTGATTGGAATAAATTATTCGATTCAAAAAAGGAATTTCAGATTAGTTGTCTAATTTCAGAATTTCTATCCAAAAAACAAGACAAAGATTATTAAGAATCTTTTATTTTTTTGCCTTAGAAAACATTGAAATTAAGTCACGTGTTCGGACACGAGCTTGACATTAAAACGTTAGAAAAGTATGATTTATATACTTATTTAATTATAGAAGCTATAGAGAACGTTCACTGAGGCATAATTTATCTATCTTATACATTGATAAGATCCAAATTCATGTTATTTGGTGCGTTTCTGGTTACTACCATAAATCGATATAGACACTTTCTTGTGACCGATTTCTAGCGAATAAATAGTCATTTCTTTTCTATCCATTCTGTGCTTTTATTTGTTATTCTAATTCATGAATTCACTCGCCGATCAACTGAAAATTTGAGCATGCCCTACTTTCCACAATTTGGGTAGGCTACGTCCTTCATGAAAAACATATACTCTTTGACAGAGAGCAGAACGAGGGTGTAAATGGTAGAAAGAAAGAAAAAGTTTCAAGTTCTCTTTTTCTCTTCTTCCTTTCTCGCTTCAGTTTGTTATTATAGACGAAAGAGAAAAAAAACAGAACGCCGAGTTACTATTTTTCAAGTGCAAGCATATCTACCATTACCTTCATAAAAACGCATATACGCGTTGCATTACAAGAACAAGACAAATCTACTTTTGTGTTCCCGGTGAAAGAAAAATGTTGGGTATAATGGATACATACAACGGAGATGATATACTTTATCAATATGAAAAAAGTGGAAATCACAATAACAATTCAATTCTTATAAATTATGTGCCAAAGAAAGTAAGAAATCCACATCTGCTGATAGATGCAAAGTTTTTATGATTATTGTTTATGGCAAAGAAAAACAAACGAAGCGAATGAGTTTTGTGATTAGTGTACGAATATTACAGTTTTTTCACATTTTCAAATCTGAAAATTATTGAAACTGAAGTAAAAAATAATTAGCTAATTAATAAGTAGTTTTTAATGCAAATGAAAGTTCATTTCTTATATTCTATAAATAACCATAACACTGTAATAATCGAACTTTGCTCGGTTAAAAATAGGTAGAACTGAGCAGAAAAAATTGTATTATTGATAAAAAAAAAACACAGCTTTATAATTTAATACTAACTGTTTCGTTATTGGCTTCCTAATTATTTGAATTGAGTTTTTGAATCAATCAATTAAATGCGATAGAAACGTTATAACTATATTCTTTTAGCCTTGTATTAAAAAAAGAACATAAAAGTCTGCAATTGTCATGAACTAAGACTAGAAACGAGTTGTAGTTGTCTTATAGTGACGAGACATGAGTTTTAGTTAGATTGTAATTAATGCATTAGAAAAAACAGATTTAATATTCTATAAGGTTAACGTGACTGTACTCTATATTCATGGAAGTTACAATGAGTAATCCTTTTCTACGGAGTAAATATTTCAAAGAAATAAATCATCTTTTTTTCTCTGATCTAGATGCAATCTCAGCTTTCACATCGTAGTTCAACTGGAGACCCATGTCGTGTTTGTGGTTTCGAAAAAAACACTGGTCGAAATTTTGGTGTAATTACTTGTTCAACATGTAAAGCTTTTTTCCGACGAAACGGTCGAACTGGTTCAGTAAGTAAAATAGATTTTTCTAAAGAAATCAACAATCGACATCTATTTTCTTATTATCAAATAGGCTTTACCATCTTGTCGTTTCGGTAGTCAATGTCCGGTCAATGAACGTACTAGACGACAATGTCCAACATGTCGTTTAGCAAAATGTTTTGCTGTTGGAATGCAAAAGGATTTAATTCGAACCGATGAAGAACGTGCTTCTCGGTTGCAACTTGTTAAAGCAAATCGTTTACAACGACAAGAAAAACTTTTAGCCGTATCGTTATCAGCACAAACAACCCCATTGCAAAAACCTCATCGACGTGTACCACATGAGGTAAGTCTAAAAAACAACAATTAGATATTTCTAATATGTTATTTCTGTTTTTCTTCTGTAATTTCTAGACGCCGAGAATGAATTTTAATCAAATTAATAAAATTTCAACGCCATTATCATCAAATGATTGGATACAGTTAACAAATATTCGCAGCGCTTATGAACATTATTGTTTACACCCAATATTGCAAGCAGAAGAACAGCGCGAAGAATATTTAAGTGGACAACCTTTAAAATGTCGTTTGAAAGAACATACATTTATGAATGTACTTACTGTACGTCTTACATCATTAGTGTCATTTTTTCGTGCAACAATTCCGTTTTTCTCAATGGATCTAAACAGTAATGATCGTGCATGGCTAGTACGTACAAATTTACATTATCTTTTATTATTTTCATCAATGGATTTAATGAGTGTAAATGGCAATCAAACTCATTTTGATTCCAAGAGATCCTGTCATGCTGCTTATCTATATGTTTACGGACAAGATTTATTACTACGTGCTGAATATTTAATACAAAAATTAAAACATTTAATTGACTTTGATCCTGCCATAAGTAAAATTGTTCAAATTATTCTATTTCTATCCCCAAGTTTATTGACAAATTATGATGCAAATTATTATTATCAACCATCGGAAAAAACCATATCTGATATTGTGCAAGCTCAAGAACAATATATTAATATCCTATGGTCTTATTTAATATATCGTCATGGACACGAGAACGGCCAAAAATTACTAATGGCTATTATGGGACAAGTTCTCGAGCATCAAAATTTTGGAGCTGATGTAGATAAATCTTTGCTAGAACGACAACCATTTGGTGATCTTGTTTATTCAATGTTAATGTCATTTTCGCGCAATTGAAATCAAAGAAGAAGAAAACCAAGAATATTTAAGTGCGTCTTTCGCTTCTCAATTGTTGTCAAATACGGTGATCTCTAATTCAACACACAAGAAACTTGAAAAAATAAAACATTTTTAGCTATGATATGCATTTTTTTCAATGAAAGAAATATTTTTATTTCATGTTCAACCCCACTACATAATTATTTTCTTGTATCTTCTATTTTGTCTTCAATATCATTGTTGCATTCTAATTTTTTTTCTTTGTATTTCTATGTATCATTAAATACACTCATGTCTATCTATATCTATATATCTATATATATATATACATATATATATATATAAATTATTGGTAAAGAAACATTTATTAGTTTAAAATAAAAAGACGAGAAAACATTTTGATCTCATATTTTTATGCACTCATTGAATCTGAATAGAAAACCGAAATAGAACAATATTATCAATTCGTAGTTTAACAGAGTGCATCAGAATAGTAATCGTCTTGCTTAGATAAGAATAAACTAACCGATTCATATACTTTTCGTATTACTGTAGGCGTAAAGGTAACTATGCAATTATTATTTTAGCTTAAAAATCAGTAACAATTATTGAATGGCGTAGTTTTTATGGGAGGATCTGTGAATAACTTAATGAAAAGATAGGACAATCTTTTGGTTTCCTTTATAGAATTTTTAGTTTTTTCTAATCTGAATCACACATTATTCTAAGGTTAAATATCGACAAGGGAAATCATTCTAATGTCAAGTCATTTTGAAATACATAAAGAATATTGCGGGTTATTAAATCTTCTGAGATTTCTTAAATTGTAGAAGTCGATAGGGCCTCCTGCGTTCTTTCTGCTATTCGTTATGTATATATATATACATGAAAAATAAAATAATTAATATTACATGAGATGAGATGAAAAGAGTAAGAAAAAGATTTTCTACTTTAACTATATCATTATTCTTTATAATCTCTCTTTTAATATTATGAATGATCCTGAAAACAGCAACCAGGTGGAAAACACTTCAATGATTTATTGCTCTGATAGTTAAAATAGAATCATGCGTCGGCTAAAGCGAAATCATGTTAAGTTTTCTTCAGACAATAATGCAAAACTTTCACGTAGCGAAAGTAGATTCAAATAGCATGAAATAATATGAAAGAAATGTTATAAATAAATAATATTTATTTTTTTTACTGATGATTACTTGATAATTAATGTTACTGAAAAGCGATAAAGAACTTCCAGGTTTTGAGTTCTCAAATGTCATTTTAATAGACATATTTATTTTCAAAAAAACTATAAGAAATTAATGTTAATGTTCATTTCGCAAAAAAATGTTAGAGAGAAAGATTTTCTCAATAGCTTTTGATAGAAATAAAATAGAGAACAGCATATTTCACTGTTATATAAACAAAAACAAATCGAATTGTTTATCAGAAGGTTTTTTCAGAAGAGTTTCAATAATCAATTTTACATTACGAATAAATTTTCAATTGAAGAACTAAAAAAAGTATAAATGTCTAGGGGTTTTTTTTTTTAATTATTCAAGTAGGACATGTATTCAACTCAAGACTCGTGATTACTTTGTTAAAAAGCCACTAAAAAAATGCTTCATCTATCAGAAACTGCTTTCCTGTGGAAAATTGATAGAAAAAATTGTAGGAAAATCTATAATGTAGGGTTCGTACGACTTTGTTCTTTTTTACAAGATAAAAAGGTACTGTGACCTTTTCTGTTACTATCAATAGCTACACAACGAGCATCCAAGTGGTCTATTTTATTTTAAACAAATAAGTATTAGTAGGAAAATAGCTCAAATATTGAATACTTACTGTCTATATATACAAAAAAAAACAATTATAGAAAATAATCAATTTTCGAACGAAGTCAATTTCTATATTTAATCTAATAAAATTGAAGGAAAGCATGAGAAATAGAAATAAAACTGCTCAAAAATAAATAAATATTTAGAAAATTAATTATAAAGATTACTTTTGTTAGTTCACTCAATATGCTAATATTGGCATTGCTTTTCTTTTTTGACATGAAAAGAAAACATTTGAAAAATCTCAATAAATGAGCTGGATTTAATTTTTTTTGATTAAAAATCCATATTAGATTTTTGCATGTTATAATATATCATTCGGATTTAAAATTGAACGATTGGTATAGTGGAAATGCGTTTGTACTAATTTTTTTGTTTACATCGATCATATTCTACTCTAGCTTGTGATTGTGAGAATTTCAATTACATAACAGCATTTTACTCTATATTTAGTTTAGTGCCTAGCTATTTCAAAAAGCTACACATTAAATGCAACTCTGGTAATTTAATGTGATGCACAATTATATTCAGCTACGCCATTCAAAAAAGAATACGTCAATATGCATATTCTTTTTCTTTATAAATTGAATAATATTTTTGATTATTTAGTTAATAGTCTTACATAAATAATTAAGACGTGTGCATATTGTTCAAAGGGTGCGCTATATATTCTATAAAAGGACAAAAAAGAAAGTTCAAAAGAATATTAAAGGATCTTTAGTAGCGATGTAATTTTGACCAAAGCGAACAATTTGCTTTCAAGTCGCTCTTCAACAAATGACGTCCGGCATAATTGAAATACGCTTGAAAAAACATCTTTGTACAGATCGATTTTCTAGAACTTCAAGTCGTTTCTTTATCTTTGTAGTTTATTTCGTTTTTTTCCAGGCATGAATCCAGAGGATTCATAATAATTAAATAAGAAACAAAGTTTCTGCGTCTGTTTTGTTTGTTCTTCAAACGAAGACTTGAGTCTATTAGTCATAATAGTGAGTTCCAAGGTGAATCATACCAGGTCAGATTTGATCGATATTCAACAAAATAAGAGCAGAATCCGATCGCAGGATTGCTTGTCCTGCATTTGTCTTTTCCCTGGTTCCGAAACAACAGCAAAGTTAAAATATTATTTTGCTTGACAATGACAATGAACACTATGGCAAAAAAAAATAAGAGCCATAAGTTTTGGATACTTGTGGCAGAATCAATATTTTCCCATTAGCTATTGATTTTCCATTTCCTTGAAATCGCCGCAGTTTAGATGATTAATTGCGCAATATTATCGCGATAAATCGTCGATCTTCACTTAACTATTCACAATGGGTAATATTATAGGAAATAAAATCTAATCCTTCATCTTGTCGTCACACTATATTTATAGCTCTATCTGTCTTCATACTCAAGCTATTTGGCTCTGTTATTCGCACTTTTTTCTATAGGCTATTTTTGTTACCTGTTGATTCCGCTCTTTTTGTAGAACAGGAAATATAAAGAAAATGAGCTTGAGGAGGTCCTATGATAAGCAGTCTAATGTCATCTAGCTATTTCATCAAAACCGTATAGTTGTTTGGTGAATCTTGATTTTGTTGAACAAATTGGCAAAAAAATCATCAATTTTCGACAATATATCGCGATCAAATCGACGATTTTGTCGCTATTTTGATGGCATGGATTGTTTTTAGAATAAGTATGAGTAGTTTCGTTTTGACAAAATTATCATAGACTTCAATGGCGTATCTAGATTATCTTCCTCGTGTGTTTTCCACTGTATTATTCATAGCAAGGTACAATCTTTTTTGTTCTTCCTCATCCGGTGGCATTCATTACAGTGTTCGACGATTTACCCCGACCTGTTCCTCATCGACCTGTTTATCTATTTGTCCTCCATCAATATTCTTGTTTTTCTAGCTGGACTTTACAGGGCACATTTCACAGTCTAGTGGCTGTCTTACGATGCTTATGAAAGTTGTTTTGTCACATTTGACCACGTTTCGTTCGCTCGCTTTCGTTCAAGATACTGAACTCGGTCTCACGAATTGATACGGTACAAAGCTCTCTCAACTACGTTGGAACAATGCCACATAGCAATGCACAGTCTAGATATGAGAAGCAAGAAAATATTTTACTTAACAAATTGGTGTTGCCTAAAATAATCAATTTGCATGCGTTCACCTTGATTCAATCGATATTCACCGAAAATAGAATTGAATGACATCCATCATAGCTCCGATTGTGATACCCATACTTTGACCAGTGAATTTCGTTATTTTCATAGCTGCCGATGATTTGAATCCTATCAATAGTGTTATACTGTGTATTGATGAGGTATCTAATTTATTTTCATACTTGATATTTTCTTATCTTCTCTTATGGCTGAGTACCGGCGATGAATCAATATAATAATAAAATCATTAAAGAAATGATTCTTCTTTTGTTTGGTTCATTTAATCGAATCCCGCCATTTTATTATTACCACGTACTTGATGTAGACTCAGAAATATTTGTTACACAAAATCATGAAAAATTTTTACTTGAACCTAAACGAATATAAATTATTGCATATGTTTTTATGTTGTCATCCCAATTGATACCATAATTCATCCCAAGCGAACTCGTTCCCAAACGAAATATGAGAACTGGTCCTATAGAGAAAAATAAATCGATTTTCAACTTGTTTCATTCTATGTACAACCCTTATTAGCGTATCAACTATGAGATAAAATAGTATCCATAGAGTGGAGTCAATTGAGACAGAGAAAAATAGAACCTTGTAAATGCTCCAGATGTCGCATTCATAAATCTTTGCTGAGATGTGTTTTACAATGTTCACTGTGATAATCTGGCTCACGACGAACACATTTATTATCCACCGATAAAAAAAATATGTTATCAAAAACTGAATAAAAATTATATTATCTTCCATCTTCTTATGTGTGATTTCATCTCAAATAAGTAGTTATCATCGGTTAATCCGTGCCTGTTAATTGTAATTGCTGTTAGCGTATAGCGCCATCTTGCAACCCGAAAGAATTCCGATTTTTAAAGATTAATGTACTTTGTTGTACCTGCTGTAAAGAAATTAATCTTTTCTCTTGTTTAATTTAAAGAGATTTTGACACAAAAACGAAACGAATTTGATTGGTTTATTGATATAAAATCATTATCATATTTTTGAGTCTGCAATGTACGTTGCACTTGCACAACGCCTTCGGTCAGCCCTTCCTTTTACCCTGGTATTTTTTTTCTTCATGACGTAAAGTGTACACAAGCTTTTATCCAAAAAAATACCTTTAAAAAAAACAGAACTTTGCTCCTTTTGACAACTAAACTTTTAGTACTAATTCAATATCAATAAGAACGTTTTGAGAAAGAGTACTCCTGCAAGCAGGGTCAGTGTTCGTAATTCGATGGCCTTCAAATACTCGGTTTGCGTATAGATAATTTATTGGAATTACCTTTTTTTTTGCATAAACGGCTTTCGTATAATAAAATTATTTTACTACAATTGTATTGTGTCTTAATACTCTAAATTCTTCTGGACAATAATTTTACTATAGACGTATTTGTTTTCCTATTGAACTGATATAAAAACAGTCATTTTCTTGTCGTTTCTAACTTAATTTGAGTCGTGCAGATTGAATCGAACGCCTTTTTAATATTATAGCTTCGGGAATATTAGTCTTTTGAGAACATCTAATAGTGATTTTTTTTTCTTAACTATTGTGCATTCTCAAAATTCATATTTTTTGTTTAATGAGAATATTCGAATTAAAGAATGTTGAAAAATAAGATTAGCATTTTAATCTTTGTATTTTTTGTTGTCTGCACCTATGCAACATTAAGAATTAAGAGAGATTTACTATTGCTAACAACATGTATATAACTTCGAGATGTAGTATAAAACTCTTTAAATTTGTTTCTAATTAGATTGAATTCGACAGTGCTTATAAAAGTTTTCCTTGAATAAAAACATTGTTTTTTATCATCATATGACTTTACCAGATTTGTATTTTTAAGGACAGAAATCTTGATGTTCACGTCAATAATAACTTAATAATGTTAAGTGAATCGTTTGAAAACAGTTTCTTTTTGTTCTCTCACACTAAAGAGTTTAATTACGCTGCTATTGATCAATATCTTTGATTTCTGAAAAACCCGTGCGCCATAATCTTCGGCAAAATTTTCGTTCAAGGCATTTTGCAGTCATTGAATCTGCCTGTCACAATCAAATTTATAACTTTGAATTTGTCAGAGATGCCGATATTTAATTTCTACTATTTGAAAATAATGTACTATTCATTGAAATGTGAGCTTTTAAATAAATAATTATAGAAATAAACCGCACATATCAATCTTCTTAGTTGTTTAAAGGTACCAAGCTTCGTTTAAATGAAGTGTATATATTATTTTTCAAAGCATATTGTGTAGACAAAAATATTTTAGAGTAAATTCTACGAACCATAAATTTTTGTTTTCTGGCTAATTAAAAACCTCCCAGCTAATTAACGAGCGATTACAACATTTAATATCACAATCTCTTTCAGCTACATTGACTTCGACAAGGTTATAAGAAAACTAGATGGTATCCGAGTTGCACTCGTATACGAAATGCGATGCGAAGCAAAACTTCGGATCTTCACGAAAAATCTTCAATTCAGAGAAATCTTGAATACTTTTTATGTAGCCATGATGAAATTCATTACCGAGAAAACTCTATTCCTACTTAGCGATACATTCTCAAAGATCGATTTCGATTGAACAATTAATTATCTCTATGATTCATTATCTTAGATCCGCTGTGAATGAATAGACCATAGTTGCTAACATATGTTAATGACGTCATTTTAATTATCGTAAACTTAGAAAGCACAAATTTCTTTCATTTTCGTCATTTTGGAACGACATTTGTGACTGAATGGAACTTCAGATTGAAGTTTCGAAAACAGATGTTAAAAGTTCCATCTTGATACTTTCAACTCCCGTTTCAATGACTTTTCTATGATTTTCGGTTCTCGAGATCAGTGCACAACAAATCGATTAGATGTGATGCGTACGTCTAGAAAGTAAAAGAAAAGAAAAACTCGCGACGAACTACATAAATGCTATGCTTCGCATCGCATTAAAAACGTGCATCCAGTAGTAATGACGACGAAAGCGCAACATAAGGATGATATACATATATATATATATATATCAGTGAGCATGACGTTGCATAAAATAGAAGAAGAAAAAAAGTATAAATACTAAATGAATATGTATGCATCATAACCACAATAGTTTCGCGCCATAAGCTACTTTGAACAGCTTGTTTTATAATCTCTAGAAATCACAACACGACAAAATCGATATCAATGGCTTCCGTTAGTACAAAAGCTAGTAAAGCAAAAATTCATATTATCTACTATTCCACATATGGTCATGTTGCTACATGTAAGATTACATTGAAAATATAGAAAATAAAAAAAATGATTGTTTTTTGAATTTTATCTAGTGGCTAAAAATATATTGAAAGGTGTTGAAGCAGCTGGTGCTGAAGGTCATTTAATTCAAGTACCAGAAACATTATCAAAAGAAGTTTTAGGAAAAATGCATGCACCAGACAAAGATTCAACTATTCCAACAATATCCTTTGTTCCCGGTGTAGCAAATACAGTTACAGTTGAAGATGCATTAGTAAATTGTGATGGTATTCTATTTGGTTTTCCAACACGTTTTGGTGGAATCCCTGCACAAGTTAAAGCTGTATGGGATGCCACAGGTGGATTATGGATGAAAGGTGCACTCGTCGGAAAACCGATTGGTGTATTTTTTTCAACTGGTTCACAAGGTGGCGGGTAAGAAACTAATAATATTTGCGTTGAAAATCTTAATCAAACTTCATTTAGTCAAGAAACAACCGCATTAACATCGTTAACAAATTATGTTCATCATGGAATGTTATTTGTATGTATTAAAAAGAAAACATTTTTTTTTCTTAACTTAACTATTTTAAAATAGGTACCAATTGGATATACAAGTCCACTTCTTGGTAATATAGATGAAGTTCATGGTGGCAGCGCGTATGGTGCCGGTAAGTTGTGAATCATATTTAACTATTCAATTCTTTTTTGTTCCAATTTTTTATAGGTACCATTGCTAGTAGTAATGGATCACGACAACCCAGTGAATTAGAATTAAAATTAGCCCAGCATCAAGGATCATATTTTACTCAAGTAGCAACTGCATTGAAAGTAGGTCGTGCAGCAGCATCGTCATCATCATCATTATAAGATATGAATACATCTGATAATAGACAATAATGACTGAACAAAATAAAAACTACTCAATATGACCTTAACCGGCATTCTTGCTCTCATTGTTATTCCCTCTACTAGTTTCGTAGTTAGTTTTTTTGTTGTTGTATCAAATAGATAGAAACTTCATAACTGAATAAATTATCATGCAACTAACTGAAATCCTATTGCTTTCGTGAATATACACAAGTGATAAATCAAGTCTTCGAGAAGAATTTTGTTTTAGGATTTGACACAAGAAACACAAAAGATATCAATCAACTCGCATATATTACGTTATTCATAAATCTAAATTTTATACCAATCAAGTCTGATAATAGAGCGAAAAAAATATCTAATTCACAAGATTCATAGAGAAAACCATTGTATGCAAACTGCTTGGAATAAACAAGACTGGTATCTATCCATCTAGAAGTACTTCTGATAAAACATTTTGCGTACGTTCTGTGATACAAAAACTAAAACGACTATGTATCTGTTTTATTTATTCTATTCATCTTATTGAACTCTTATTGAATGATAACAGCTATGTTTTTGCTGGTTAATAGTGGCCTCTTAGGATGATTCTTATTGGTTAAGGTTCTATAAAACATACCCAATAACACTATTACTAATTTCATATTATGATATAATTATTTTTCCTTTTTATCTTGCGATGTTTGAATTTTTCTGAATGAAAAATTCAAAATGATATGCTTCGTCCGGGAATCGAACCCACGACACAACATCTGGTTAATCGAACCAGTGCTCTTACCATTGAGCTAGCGAACACTATTAAACATACCGTTTTTTGTTTTTCATTCAGAAAAATTCAAACATCGATAGCTAAAAATGAAGAATAATTATATCATATGAAACATGTATAACTCCTTCTAACATCTATTAATGATAGTCAGTATACACAAGTTTTCTAGGTCCTAGAAAATGAGCCAAACGAGTGAACCTAAAGTGCGCTACAATCCGATGCCTTTTAGAGCTCAGCGCGTTGATAGTATCGCACTTTGGTTCACACATTAGGCGCATTTCATACGACCAGTTTTCTAGGCTCTTAGGGTTGTCACACTTGCATTTGAATATATTATTCATTTCTCAATTGAAATAAGCTGTTTTTATTCGAGTTAAATATCCTGGGAAAACGTTAGTTTATTATGTACATATATATATATACAAAAATTATGTTTTCTATTTTGAAAGATTTCAAAAACTACGGAAATGTCGAAAGACGAAAATTTCAAAAATAAAGAAAAACAAGCAACGGACGACAGGGAACGTTTAGCTAATTCGTCAAGAGATAATGATGAAGAGAATATTAACCAGAATGTTGCAGAAAAAATGATTGATGAAGAATTTAAGAATAAAGAATTACCAGAAGATGATAAATCTGATACAGATACATTTGAAGAAGGAAACAAATTAGAAAAATTAGTTGAAAAAAACAATGATATAAATGGATCATCTGTTAGAATTTTTCAATCCCTTGATTTAAAACCAAAACATCTTGGTCTTACTCGAACATTATTATTAGCTATGTTTGCTGCTTTGATTGGTACAGGCGCTCAATTTGGCTATGCGCTTGGCGTTATGAATGCTCCATCAGAGGTAAAGATGATCCTAGAGAGAAAAAAAACATTCTTTGTTCATAGGCGTTTTCTTTGAATAGTTAATTAAAATTTATATAAACGAAATTTATATAAAACGTTATAATTCAACAATAAGTCCATATCATCAAGATATTCTTTATTCAACAGCTATATCTGTTGTTGCACTTGGAGGAATGTTTGGTGGTCTTTCAGCTATATCATTGAGTAATCGATTTGGTCGGTAAGTTAATTAAGACTTTCTATTAGAGAAAAGTTTATTTTGCCTCGATATTTACGCAAGTCATAGATTTTGAGTGGCAAGTTCTTTGAGTAAAAATCAATTAAAAAACTATGATAAAACATGATTGAATACTATCTAGAGTAAGATGAACTAACGTTATTTTTCTATTCGTCAAGATGCCTGTCAGGAGAACCCATATCGGATTCAAATTATTCTGTAAAAATAAATTAATGCGTTTACTAGTTTGCAACAAAATCGATTCAAGCGTGTTTCACAATTGAATCATATAGGAAGTGCGTGAATAGGTTCTCTGCAATAAGATGAATAGGAATATTTTTTATCTATTTTGCGAGCAATGTTGAATATGTTATGTTTATTTAATTGGTTTCATTCAGAGAGTACAACACGCTACCACCTTTCACAATTTATGAAGCTTGCTAATTTATTCAGGGAATCAGAAAAACCTCGAAAGCAAGGTTTTCTCTGCGTTAGTATCTATAGTAGAGAAATTTTCACTCTGTCTTGTCGCTTCAATTCGAGCAGTAGATTGGAAAGGAAATATTTAGCATATTTTTAGACAATTGAAGTACGCGGGACCTACACTACGAAAGAAATTGTCCCATCTTGGCCTAAAGGTAATAGTCAAGAGTTTTTGTTCGCATGCAATCCTAATCAATTCTGCAGTAGACATATCAGAATCGAGACTGAAATTTGCACCACTTGCTACGGAATCCTTGTACGCGAAACGTTTGCCACTTGCCATCAAACCAAGGACAAGTATTCACATAGTAGGTGAAAGTATTTGACTTGTACGTTAAAAACATTGCCTTTGCACTTTTATTTTGACTTGAAAAAGTACGAACAGTGCAAGTAAACATATTTTTAGTCAGTACAAATATAAATTTTTCAAGTAAAAGTATTTGATTTGTACTTTTTCTTTAACTTGAAGAAGTACGAGTACAAATACGTTCATCTCATGCATTTTTAATTATTTTTTTCTAGAAAAACTAGTTTACTTTTAAATAACTTTCCAGTCATTATTGGTTCTATTTTGATGGTATTGAGCAAAAATATAGCTTCATTTGAGGTATTTATAGTGGGAAGAATACTAATTGGATTTTCCGCAGGTTAGCTATTTGTCTTTATATCACGTGGGAAAATTCCTCTTTTTCTTGAAAAAAGGTTTTGGAGCAACTGTTGGACCTATCTATGTAAATGAAATTGCTCCATTACGTGTACGTGGTTCACTTGGTGCTTGTTTTCAATTGTTTATAGCATTTGCTGTACTACTAGCTCAAATACTAGGATTAGATATTATCTTAGGTCGCCAACATTTATGGAACTATCTTTTTGGTTTGTTCCTTCGCATTTGTATATTATTCGCTTTTTCATTGTATTTAAATAGCTATACCAATTATCTTCAGTGTACTACAATGTACTCTATTGATATTTACACATGAAACACCAACATTTCTTTTACAGAAGAAACGCCGCCGAGCAGCTACACGAGGTTTTCTTATTAATTTAATTCATCGGAACCACAAAGATGAATTTCTATTTAGCACTTAAATGGTTTCGTCGAGAAAAAAGTGATGACGATATTCAGGAAGAAATTCATGCAATGGAAGCAGACGTTCGAAATGTGCAAACGAATGCAACAAAAGTAATAGAGAGAAAAAAATAAACCGAGAAGGATAAAATAGTATCGTCTATCCATTAGGTATCAATACGTGATCTATGGTCGAAGCCTCTGCTGCGTAAATGTATTCTGATATTGACCATGACTCATATTGCGCAACATTTTACTGGCAGCTGTGTCGTATGTTATGTTTTGTCCTAAATAATTGTGACCAAAATAGAACTTGCCTTTATTTTTATGCACTAGATCTTTTTCTTTGGAGATATTATTCTCACGCGTGCAAATCTAAAAATGGAATATGCATCATATGCAATGCTTTCAAATGGAATTGCATATTTGGCTGCAGCTATATCATTAATTTTTATTGTCGATAAAATTGGACGTCGATCGCTTTTACTTTGTAGGTCATTAGAAAAAGAGAAGCTTGCTTTCGATTTAGAAAAGCTGGTACTTTTTCTATCTAATTATAGATGGTTTAATTGGTACGGCCGCAACATCTTGTGTTATTGGTGTTACAATTTTTAAATCAAGAAATGTAAGTTTGCAGTATACAATTTATAGATGTTCTTTTTCACTCATTGCTAATGAAATTATCATCATAAGTTATTGTGTACTCCAAAAAAAATGAGTACACTCTAGATTCGGTCAGTGTGTCTGGCCGGCCGGCCGTTAACACGATAACTTTTGAAAACCTCATCCAATTGTCATGAAATTTTGTAGACAGAATGATCTCATCAATATCTCAGTCGAGTTCGAAGATGAAAGTAATCTGTGAAGAAATGGGTGAGTTATCGAAAAAATCGTCATTATTGACTAGACCACCCCTGAGGGAGGGNAATGTGAAAGATTTACTCGATTTCTCACTTATTCAAATTATATACATATTCAATTCGCCAGATCACGATAAGCGCATTATTTTTGCAGTGAACTGATTTTTGTGATAATCTTAATTGCTGTTTGCTACTCATATTTAATTATGTTTTAAGTGCATATCTATATTTTCTCGAATATAGATAAATAAAATATGAGTACTTTACTTTTCAGCGGTTACAACATTTTCATTTAGTCTTTACCTTTTTCAATATTTCAGTTCAATTTATAATCATGTCCTGCCCTGCCCTGTTTCAGGGCAGGGCAAGGCAAAAAAAGTTGCTCTGTGACGGTCTCTGGTTCAGACATTCTAGAATGACTCATATGTCCCATGTGCTTTTTGCAGTACACATAGCTTTCGGATGAAATCTGAAGTTTCCACATTTATTTTTTTATACTAATGATGGATTAAAATTTGATTTTAGATTCCATTGTATCATATGATCTTTTTGGAAATATTTGCTATGATGGCACACGTTTCTTTTAGTGCTATGGGTCCGAGTATGTATATTTGCTTTTTTATTACTAAATGATTAAAATTGTGTTGTTTTTGATTAGACGCTATACCATGGTTGTTATCAACAGACATGTTTTTACAATCGGAACGTGCTTATGCATCAGTCATTGCTATTGTAGTTAATTGGTTATCTATGTTTTTCGTGCTCATGACATTTGTTCCACTTTTTGTAAGTAAAAATAATTTTCTTTCAACAGATAAAAACTATTGGTTTGATTTATTTTAATTTCATAGCATGCTGTGGGTGCATCTTTATTTCTCGTTTATGGTATAATGAGTTGTGGATTTTGGTTAGTTGCTTTTATATTTGTACCTGAAACTAGAAGAAAAACACCAGAACGGGTGCAAGTTCTCGTGGCCAAAGGGACGGTTTACAAAGCAAAATATCAAAAATAATCATAACACAGTGAATTATTGTTAAATCTAGTCAACGCTATTTATCGTTCTACGTCAATTTCCACCTCAAATCTAATGAGAAAATTTTGGATTTTTTCTTTTTGTACACATATTTTTGTATACAATTGAGAATACTATGAAAATTTCATTGGCAGACTATCTAAAACCAATATGCAGAATGAAAACTTTGTTTTTCAGATCTCGATAAGTTTGAAACATTTTCATTTTTAACTTCTGAAGAGCGAATCTTGAAGAAAATAATTTTTTGTTGCTTGTTTTCATTATCTTTTAAGATATTTACAAAAGGTAATGAGAGATATTTTTTCTGCTGCTTTTGTGGTTTTAGAAATAGCCAACGAAAATATGCAGCAACCACTCCATTTCTACAGAATTTTGAGTTCGTTGCAATGACACTATTGAAATAAAAATTTTCTAGAAGACTAACTTGAAAGGGCATTTATCTTCCTTATCAGTCTCTGAAAGTTTGCTACAGTATAAGTTTGAAAATGTGGCTAAGATCGTGACGTTAGAAGACACACCGCTTTGAAAATATCTTTTTCTCATAATAATTGTTCCGTATTGTTTATCATCTTACGCTTTTATTCCAGCATATTATATTGTCAGTTGTTGTTTTTTTCCTTCTTTTGTATTTTATTATCAATGTTTATTGTACATTTTTGCTGTTAGTTTTTATATTTCGACCATGTAAAAATATTTAACGATGTTCCCGTAATTAAACACTTTTGAGAATCGTAAATTGTAAAACGAACTATTTTTTTTTATACATTATTCTATTTTCGTTTGAGTGAAATAAAAATTTCACGATGTTAAAACAAATTCTCTTATTCGTCTATTTTTTGTTTTCCCCTGATTAGAGATAAAAACTTCGCATTATATCTTTTTCGGCAATGCATTCAAAAGAAATGCATTATATTATTTTGGTACTTAGCAAATGACATGAGTCGATGGAACGTGTATACTTTTTCTTAGATTATTTTTGTAACCGACTTGCTCCTTGTGCTGAATTGAGTTTTTTCATATAAATTCATTTCGTTTCAATCTCGGAAATAGGCTACTTCTATTGATTGATATTTCTATAAACAAAAATAATTCGAAAATAAAACTAATTTGTTATTTCTAGAGTACAATATCATGAGTAATGATCCACCTTTATCAAGTTTGCTTGATAATGACAATCAAGAAATATTAAATAAGACTGACAATGAAGTAAATATTCGACCAAATACATTGGACAACCTCAATGAAAATAATAATCTTGCCTCAGACAATCAGCAACATCTTGATAGAGTATTACTATAGTCCACACAAACACGCAAATCTATTTTATTTTTATTTTTTTATAGGGTATCACCAGTACACTATTACTAGCTGTGATAGCTGCAATCAGTGGAACTTCTTTTCATTTCGGTTATGCATCTGGTGTTTTGTGAGTTTCCTCTTTTGAAAATAACGTTTTTTATAAGTCTCTGATTTTGTGTTCTTGACATATTAATAGAAATGCTCCGCAAGATGTAAGTAATTCATTTTAATGGATTGTTTTGATGTTTTGTTTTCAATAAAATTATCTATAGATTATAGAAGCATTTATTAATGAAACAAATCATAGACGAGATAAAGCTAGTCATACAAATGAATCAACTATAACATTAATTTTGTAAGAAAGTTTTATTTGTTCAATTTCAATGACGTCGCTTTTTTAGCTCCTTAGCGGTGTCAATCTTTGCTCTTGGTGGAATGATCGGTGGTCTATTCGGTGGTTTTATTACTGATCGATTCGGAAGGTACATATATAAATCGACAAGATAAAATCTTTTATGTATTTTATTTCGTATAGAAAAGGTGGCATGCTTTTAAATAATATAGTTTCTGTTCTTGCTTGTGTATTAATGTTTATTTCAAAACCTATTTATTCCTATGAAGCTTTAATTGTTGGAAGATTTTTTCTTGGACTTTCTTGTGGTAATAATAATTTCTTTTCTCTAAAGCTTACACAATTTTATTCAAGGTTACGGTTCCTCGGTTGCACCAACTTATATAAATGAAGTATCTCCGAGAAATCTACGTGGTGCTTTCGGTGGTTCTTTTCAATTGGGTGTTGTTCTTTCACTTTTTTTTTCGCAAGGAATCAGTTTAAATTCAGTATTAGGTTCTGAAAATGCATGGCATTATGCTTTAGGTAAAAGAAATTTAGTTGATAATTAGTGTAAAATGATTTTCTTCTGCCTCTATATCAGGTTTGCCGATTGTATTCAGTGTTTTGCAAGTAATATTACTTTTATTTGTACCAGAAACTCCAAAATATTTATTAATTAAAAGAAATGATTTACCGGGTGCTGAAAAAGGTTAGTTTTATTTGTAATTAAAACACAGAAAATATAAAAGCAAGTTCGATCAGGTTTTTTTTCGAACTGATTAATAACGAAAATAAAGTAATTGTTGTCTGTTAATGGTTGTTTTTTGAAAAAACATGGAAATCGTACTGCAACTTTATTTTGTTTTGGTTTTATTCGTGCATTTGAATCGCTACCACTATGCTTTGTTTCGAGAATAAGAGTCAGATTAATTAACAAGCGTTGACCATATATGTGATTTTCGGCAGTAAACATTGCTCTCGAATGTTGTAATGTTTGAGTCATAAAAGCAGGTACACGAATTCGATTTGGTACACGATATGTAATCAATTTATGTCCGTTGAATCCTTGATGATCGTCATTTGACCATGGTCTTGCCATAGTAACAATAACTAAAAGGCCAAAAATACAAAAAAAAATTGAAATTGAAAGCATATTTTTTTGGTGATGATGGATTTCATAGATGCTGTGTCCTATACACACGCAAATATATATATATATATATAGAAAGATTTTAAAGTTAAAGTCAATATTTAGACAACAGATTTTTAGAGAAATATTAATTAGTAAAATATACGTTTAACAGAAAAAAAATGAACAATGAAAATTAAAAATAGATCAGTCTAGCCCGTCATAGATTTATGAAAGAAAGAAATATTCCCTGATCTCCGGTGCATTATCATATGTGTAATAATTCATTTTTCATTGGCTTAATCGGTGGAAAAGCTGCATCACAAATGTTAAGGTAGAATAACCTGGCTATAAATAATATTTTAGTAGAGAATTCATGAACTTGAAATATATTATAAAATTTTTCAGTGATTTTTTTATTCTTAATAATAATTAAGAACTTGAGGAACAAATTATTTAATGTTTTCTGAAAATTTTATTAGTTTTATTTGTGATTGATCTACAATTATTTGTAAAGTGGGAGTGTTTTAGTTTCGCGACTTTCAAATTTATCAAATTATGAAGACAATCTCAAACATTGAACGCATTCAAATTTCAAGATATAAAAAAAAATCCTGCCTCAACGGAAATCTAAATATTGAACATCCTATAAATTTTAGCTTCAAAAACATCATCATACTGCCATGTTCTATAGCTACAAAGGAAGGCTTTAGCTGATGAAAGAATCCAATGATAATAGGACAAACGAATCCCAATTCTGTTAAAAGAAACAGGAGGATATGTTTCGCCTATAATTATCTGCATTTCAAAGATTTTTAGTGTGCCTGTTTTAAAATTATAAATGAAAAAGTAGAACTTTTATAAACTTTTGCCCTTGATTGTTGTTTCAAAAGAATTACTAGACAAGAGCATCACACGAACAGGATATTGGTTTAGTCTACCTGCTAGCAGGACGATAACCAGTCGAAGAAATATGAGACTATAGCTATCTGAAAATCTGTGAATATACTCTATACAATAGAAACAAACATTTTGCAAAGATTTTAATGCTTACTAAGAAATACTGAAATAAATAAAAGTATTTTTATCTATTCTAAATTTTTTCTGCAATTGTCTTGTGTAACATCCTTACTACAAAAGAAATTATAGATGATAGACATCATGCTTGTTGGTTTCGTCTGATGATCGCTTTAAGATACATTCAGTTGCTTAGCATTTGTTATTGAGAAACTCGGGACGTGTATTGTTATAGACGAAGGTGAAACTTGAACTAGCATCTATACTATTTGTGTCAGAAAAGGCAACATTTTGCTGATTGAAAATGTTGATTCCTTCTAAATAGACACATCCGGTGCTCATCTTTAACACAGAATAATTTTATTCGTGAAACAATTTTATTTTCCTTTAGCACTTCGATGGCTTAGAAAACATGCACATGTTCAACATGAAATATCCGAAATGCAAGAGGAACAAAGGCAACAACAACACTCTGTAAATCATAATTACTTTATTTTTCTTGTTTGCATTAATCAATAACTGTATTAAGGCTCGTATGGTTGACGTATTTTTCACACCAACGGTTCGTTGGGCATTATTTATAACAGTTTTTCTTCAATTATCTCAACAATTCTCTGGTATCAACGCAGTTATTTACTATTCAACTGTTATATTCCAATCAGCTGGTTTTACAAAACAAGTCGCCCAATATGCAAATTTAGGTTTAGGTGGAACAAATGTTTTAGTAACAGTCATCAGTGTCTTTCTTATGGATCGTCTCGGTCGACGTCCTCTTCATTTAACTGGCATTGGTGGTATGTTTATAACAAGTTTAATACTTGTTATATCACTTGTTGTTCGATCAACTCCATTATGGAATAAAATTTCACTTATAATGACTATTTTATTTATTGCATTTTTCGCTATTGGGCCTGGTTCAATACCTTGGCTGATTACAGCAGAATTATTTACTCATGCATATAATGTACCAGCCTCAAGTATTGCTGTACTTGTTAATTGGTCGGCTAATTTTATTGTTGGTCTTGGTTTTAAACCCCTTTTTACGGTAGGCTAGAAAATGAAATTTCTATGATTTCTAGTTCTTTGCTAATTTTTATTTTTAGGGCTTGCTGCATCAGTATACATTTCTTCTATTTACCGGACTTTTATTAATATTTTTTCTTTTAACATTTTTCTTCGTACCAGAAACAAAAGCCAAAACTGTTGATACAATCTATGCAGAAATAAATGCTGGTCGAGTTTGGTCGAAACGTCAACCGCGAAGTCAATATCTTCACAATCGAAGTAGTGGCAATGATGATGATGGTAGTACTGTGAATTATGAAAGTTTGTCATAAGAAGAAAATTGATTGTTATTAAAAATAACTTTTTTCCTTTGCATATGAATTAAATTTTTATTTTTGTGTGTTTTTAATTAGCTTAGAAGAAGTAAATTCTATATTATGATACTAAATAAAATTAATTGCGCTGTCATAATTGCAGTTCACGGATCAGTTATCAATTTTTATTTTCACATGAATACGTAGGGCAATCCAAAAGTAGTGCGGGAGGTACCTTATTTCCTCAAGCAGAGGTCGACAAACATTCCTTTTTTTTACCAATAGATAGAGCGTGCTTCACTCTACTTTTCTATGCTATTTGATCACTATTCAACTAATATCATAATAATAAAATTTCGATACGATCTCATTCTTTCACAAATGTGTTGGTAGCATGAATGCTCGTGAGTACTTTTTGAACAATTTTTAATAGCAAAAAATTACAGAACTACGGTTTTCACCATTGGAAAGAGGAGACGAAGACGCACCGCACCATATATTACTGACTTTTCTAACCTGTTTTTTGTAAGGTTTTGAGTTGACCTTTTAAAGAACAAACCTATCTCGTGAGTTGTTTACAGTGAATCTTCAATAATCAGGTTCACATTCAAACCACTAATCGAAGATCTACAAATTGCGAAAAATTTAGGTGTTAAATTTAATTATTTTGGGATAATACATATTCTAGACGAACCTCTACTACGATTTTCTATCAACGTTTTTGTTTTTGCTTTTTTTCATTAAAAGAGCATTTTCCCGAAGGTTAGAAAATTGAAGGGAAACACTTCAAAAAATCCTATTAGAAAAATCAGTAATATGTGGTGCGGTGCGTCTTCGTCTCCTCTTTCCAATGGTGAAAACCGTAGTTCTGTAATGTTTTGCTATTAAAAATTGTTCAAAAAGTACTCACGAGCATTCGTGCTGCCAGCACATTTGTGAAAGAAGGAGATCTTATCGAGATTTTACTATTATGATATTAGTTGAATAGTGATCAAATAGCATAGAAAAGTAGAACGAAACATCCTCTATGTGTTGGTAAAAAAAGGAATGTTTGTCGACCTCTGCTTGAGGAAATAAGGTACCTCCCGCACTACTTTTTTGATTTGCCCTAAGTAAAATGAAACAAAAATACTTTTTTCTCGAATTAAAACGACACGAAAATAAGTTCGTACTGCAAGGGAATCACTCATCGCAAAATATCAATATACGATGTTTGATTTAATAAATCAAGATTTCTTATTTTTCTGAGAAGTTCAGTAAATTAGTGAATGAGAAACAAAACGAAAAGAGAAATGAAATTAGAGACTACATATACATACACTATTATTTTCCTATGTCTAGTAGCTGCTGTTAGAATTCATACAATAAAAATAAATGAAAAAATTATCCACTTCAGCATCTCAGTCACTCGAAAGAATATTTAATTGTTTGTTAGAGAACCTTCTGTATTGAATTCTTAAACACAAAAGCAATATAACGAGCGATTTCTAAGGCTCTGAGCATTCTAAAGCAAGATTATCTCTGATTAAACCATAATAAACGTCTACTATTTTCGATATATATCAGCTGACTTGGATGTCATCTAAGAACTAGAGAGTGATAGAACAGTTCGTGAACCTGAACTTTGAATTCGCGAGCTCCGTATACATTTATCTATTGTTGTATAGTGACATCTTTGTAAGCGCACATCTTCATATGATTTGTTAATTGTTTGCTACAAATGAAAATTTATTTTTCATATCCAAGTGAAACTTATTCGAATGAATTATATTTTTTTCTAACTTTGCTTACTTACGCAATTCTCAATCGAGTTTATTCGTTTGCAAAGTGAAAATCATGTCTTCGTTTTTAACTTCTCTCTCGGAAAAATATGATTTTCATAATGAAGATCAAATTACAGATATTGTTCTCGATTATTTCAATCAATCATCGAAACCATATGATGATTTAATTGAAAATCTTCTACATTTAATTCAGTCTACTAATAATCATAGTGCAAATATTATCAATTGTCTTATCTGCTTATTTCTTCGATGGAAAAATCTATTGAACAAATCTTTATCGGGACCGATAATAGACGAAAATATCATCAATAATTTTCTTTCCGAATCATTACCAATTGCATGTTTACCAGATTTTATTGAAATATTTCAAATAAAAAAAGAATATCTAATAAATTTATTAAAACCATTATTAATTTTACCAACTAATTCAAACGAATATAAACGTGCATTGAATATCGTTGTTAAATTAAATTATCAACTTGACTTTCAACCCAACGAAATTCTTTTACCATTAATTCTCAATTCAAAAGATCATCTTATTGATGTTTATTTGGATGATAATTCTCAATATGAAGAATACCTAATTGATCTCTTGAATCGTTTATATGATAATGGCGGAAAAAAACTTCAAGATAGATTATCAAATGAATTTAAAATAAAAACTCCAACATTTAATAAGAAAACTTTATCGAAATTAGCTGTTCGATATTGGAATCTGTATGGTAATGAACAAAATGATAAATATCCAAATTTAGCAACATTACAAAGTAAACGTACATTAGGCTATTTAATTAATGTTAGATACAATAGACTTACTGATGAAAAAACAATGAGTGACGAGTGTTGGAATGAATTAGTTACAGTAAATAGACAAAAGAAAAAAAAGAGAACGTTCTCAATTGTATTGATTTATTTAAGGATATTGTACAAGGCAATGATGATCTGTCGGAATATTTAATTGAAATACTAGCCGATAGAGATGATATTGTAGCAATGAAATATTGGAGTAAGGTTAAAAATATCATTTGGTTTTCGTTTATCAATAAGATTTTTGTTTAGTGGCTCAGTTGGATCGACCTTATTATTCGTTACCAACTTGGGTATGTATGTTATACTTAAATTTTGATGAAGTATGCCTATGTCTTGAGACATCATCTTGTTTCAAAATCTGTATTATGATTAATCAGCACAAGCTTTTCATGATCCTTAGGCAGTCCATTAAACGATGTATCACTACTATTAGATATTTACTTGTTGCTTCTTAAACCAATTCGATATAGTTCTTCTATAAATAGATGATTCCGCGCGCATTTTATCTATTTCACTACTTGTTGAAATCATTTTTTTCCATTTCTATGACACACGAATAGTGCATCATGCTTAATAGAAAAAGGAATTCAAACGGATATTAAATGATTGCGTGCATGTAGAGGTGTCAGCCGTACGGCTGAGCCGCCACAGCAGCCGATTTGCTTTATAAAATCAGGCGCCGCAACCACCAAAGTACTGGTAATTTTACGAATTTTTGAGGAGTCGCTACTGCGAAAAAACAAGTTTAGCCGTTGCGCCGCTGCAATAGATAAAAAATTTTGATAGCGCCATCCGCCGCCGCTGACATCAATATATATGCAATCGAATCGAACATTTTTCTTTTAATTGTCATCCGTGAATTTTTAACTCAGCCACCACCGCCGCCACATAAGAACTTGTAAATATCAGCCGGCGCCGCCGCTGTGAAAAAATTTTAAGAATCTCTAGCAGCCGCCACTGAAGTCATTACTCATTCAAATATCGAGCCGCTGGAAATCTTCCAAAATTGAAAATTGTTGCCCGCCGCCGTTCAACCCTTCGGCTGACAACTCTATATGCATGTTAATTTAGCTAGTATATAAAAGAATATGAATGTCGCTAAATAATTAAAGATTGATGATTTAAAATGTTTCATATGACAACAGAAATATAGCGATTATTTCAAATACAAATATACATATTGTGCTTGTCAAGTAAAGTTCATTACATGTTGTAGAACAAATCTATTTGTTTATTTTCTGACAACAAAGTAGCTACAGTTATCGTTTTATTGAAAAGGTTCAACAATACATTCACAACAAACAAAATAGTGAACCAAAAGCAAGCACACCGAATCAAACCACAACAGAAACTTCTCCTGTTGATCATTATAAAATCCCATTAGAAACTCACGAAATAATATTCGTCGATTCAGCGGCGAATTATGAACGGTTGCTTGATGGCTTATTTAAAAATAACAATGAAGAAATATTAATCGGATTTGATTGTAAATCATAGAGTTTCAAAAAACGATTTTCTCTCGAACCAAAATATATCTGCTTTCAGGTGAATGGAAACCGGTGTTCAATAATACATCCACATCAAAACAGCGTATAAGTGTCATGCAAATAGCTTTGCCAAATGAAGTATATCTACTGGATTTACTTGATTTCTTTCGTACATGTGATCCTGAAACGATTCAACAACGTCTGGCAAATCGTTTATTCGATGATGATCATGTAACATTACTTTGTAAGAATACAAATTGAAAGTTAATAAATAACAAAAATAAAATAATAATCTGCTAGGTTATGGCGTCAGAACTGATGTTTCCATGCTGATTGCTTCGTATCCTATTTTCGATCGAGCAATTTATTCTGGTAAAACTTTACTCGATTTATCTCTTGTGCAAAACGAAGTAAATTATTCATCGAGTATTTTATCGATTATTCAATTTCATTTTGCATTATTTAGTTAGTTCATATTAACCGTGATATATTTCCTCATGTCACAACAAATAATACAATGCCATCAAAAGATAAAGGTCTTAGTGAATTAGTTCGTCTTTGTTTTGGTAAACCATTGAATAAATCCGAGCAATGCTCGAATTGGGAACGACGACCACTAAGAAATGCTCAAGTTTTATACGCTGGTAGAATTAGTATTTTTTGTTAATATTATGCTATACTGTAGTATGCGTTTTCTTTCAGCAACGGATGCATACTGTTTGCTTGATATATATAAATTTCTTTCGAATAGTCTTCAGTCATCTGATCATTTAAAATCATTTCGTGGAAGAAAACCGAAAAAATTCGAAGCTACTATTGCTCGTCAAATCGATGGAAATTTTCATCATACAACTGATAATAATAATGTCAATCAATCTCCGACATCCGATGATATTACTCGTGTATGTGAAAGAAAAAAATATATAAAGATCGCATATTTCTCTATTCTTTCTTTCAATTAAAGCCTTCCGGTGAAGTTAAACGTCCTCAACAAATGAAATTTGTTGTTGATAATATGTTACATGGACTGGGAAAAGAATTGCGTGTAACCGGTTGTGATACTGTGATTTTAGGCGATAACGATCCGCATACAGATGCTATACGAGTAAGTTCAATGAAAAGAAAATTGCACCTAAAAAGTTTTCGTACAATTTATTATGTTAGTATGCTCGAGCAGAAAATCGAATCATTTTATCACGTGGTGCACCATACAATCTCGTAAGTTTGATTGATGTAAATTTATTTGACTACATTCTTGATCACGAGAAGTCTTTTATTTAGTATGTTTGAGTGGAAATCTTTTCAAGTAGTAAATATTTTTTTCTTGAAGTGAGTCCAGTACAATTGAATAGATTCTTTTGACAATAGGAAATCCTGAAGTGTTATTCGTCAATAAAATTGATAGCAGGCTCTAAAGAGACTAATGCAAACCATGTTAATTGTAATGAGTCTTTTTATTTTCGACAAAGACATAGGTGAAAATGAGGGAATATCATTCATTCATCAGTAGATCTTAGATAATCCTGAAAGAATTTACTATCTGTACGAAGGTAAAAACTCGATAAATCTGTTCGTTAGTTTCTGTTTATAGGTGAAATTTAACTAATAGATAAGAATATTCAAAGCTCTAACATAGCAAAATTTTCTTTCTTATTCTTACCAAACCTGAACGCAAAACTCGATTATTAAAATTATTATAGATTTCAAATTAAGAACTCGTAAGAAAATTATATTAGGCCAATGAGAAATGAATTCTTCAGAGATATTTATCAGTAACTAAAATAATTTCATAATGATCTCTTATTTGATATGTTAATTTGGAAAATTTTCGAATTCAAACTTCTGCATATTTACTTCATTTTATTATACATCAATAAATATTTTTTCAATCAAACAAGATTTTATATTATTTCGATTAGTTACGATCTCATACGCTTGAAGGTCGATGTTGGCAACCACCATTAAATGTGCCAGCTAAACAACAGTGTGCGGCTGTTCTGAATTATTTCAATGTTAAAGTGTTACCAGAAGATATATTTAGTCGATGTACAGTAAGATCTATTCTTGTCAATCAAAACAAAAAAGGTTCTTATTACTTTGATCTATAGTTGTGCAATTGTGAAAATTTTGCTATTGTTGATGGTCGTGATATGCGTATTCTATGGTGTAAAATGAATAATTATTCATTAGAAGATCTTGAACCTGATCTAATTAATTATCAACCAGAAATGATTGACATGAATCGTAGGACACTAACTGGTGGAACTGTTCCGTTAGTTTTAACCGGTTTAACATTAAGAAATTATCGTTCATATGAGGAATTCTATGTATGTAGTGGATGTGGAAAAGTCTATTGGCAAGGAGGGCATTGGCGGCGACGAATTGTTCGAAATGAATTGATAACAGAAAGTGAACCTATATCGGAGGATAGCGATGATGGCATCGTTTTTTATGATGCTGAAAGTACTATGTGATAATTTCATAGAAAAATTGTGCTTTTTTCTATTATGCATGATGGTGTTTTTTTATTCGAGAGATTTTTTTCTTGCAGATAAAATATGAGAGTACGTTTACATACAGGTAACAATAAACTTGTTCCTAAATGGAAAAAAAATGGTGCAAGTTCTTCAAATCCATCTCGAACAAAACACCGAGATGCTGCAAAACTTCAACTGCTATCATCGCTATCAACATCACAACCACCATTAGTTAATATTCAGCCAACAAAACTAGCTCATGATACAGATCGAGTTTCTCAATATTCAAAAACAACTTTAGGGACAACAGCAACGAATGCATCAATGATTCAAGTCAATGCACGAGTTATTCAAGTAAATAGAATATTAGATCATTGCCTTAAATTGACCTATTCGAAATTTACTCATTGTGCATAAACTATGAAAAATTTCAATATGATGAAGGATTAGAATTGAAAGCATTTTTCAAATCAGATCGTGTATTACCTATTTATTACTAAATTGTAAGCTAGTAATAGAAAACATTCGTTTCAAAACGATTCTTTCATTGATTCTATTTAATTCATCAAATGCTTTGTTTGCTATTAAAATAAGTTTTTCTTGTTAAAGCAAAGTTTGATGTGTATACATGATTATTCTGTCATTCCACTCCGATTCTTCATTTCCTATAGACGTTCAAAAATCTATTTAAGCGTACACTTACGTTGTCATTTCAGTTTAATTATTGAGTGTGCACGGATATTTTGAACTTTTTCCTAAGGGAAATTCGATGTCGAGTAACTCTGTCCTACTTGATCTTTATTGTTCATGATTGATTCATTTTATTTAAAATTAGACCTTATTGGAACGTCAGCCAGCTAAAAATGATCAACACCAAATAACCATTTGGTTAGATGGTATTTGTCGGGCATATTGTTCGTTTCATCGTTCCGATCCTGTGACTTGTCTGACATTCATTTCAAAATTATTTGAAATATGTATCAATGAATGTCTTCTTTCCGTTTACAAACGCGTACAAACAAAAGCTACAAACGTTCTCAAAGTATATTCATTACTTTGTTTTGCTAATAACAATCTTTTCTCAAATCTAGACAATAATAAAAACCATATTGAAACCTCAGACGGAAACATTACGTACAAATCCATTGTTAAAACAATTATTTAAATATGTTGAACATGGTCTGACATATGCCTATACTTTATCATGGAATTGTGTCTTTCATCTACTGGCTGATATGTTTGAATTAATGGGAAAAGATTATTTTGAATTTTGTCAAAATGTAAAAACACAACGTCTATTTTATATTCTATTCAACTTTGTTTGTATTTTTTCTAGTGTCTCTCATCCTTATCTGGTTTACGTTCAACAAAAGATTTTTCATTTTTAGCAGAATTAGATTCAACAGTTGGCAAAGCTATACGTATATTTGGACCAAAAAAGATTTTACAAGTAATTTCATTGAATTTAACCGGCACAATCAATGATGCTCAATTAGAGCAATCATGGTTATTACCATTATTACGTGATAATATAACACATACAGAATTAAATCATTTTGTTGGCTACTTTTTACCAGTTGCATTTCAATTACAAACAACAGGTTAGTTTTATTTCGAAGAATACCAAAAACCGTTCGTTGTTAGCAGTAGTTCAATGTCTTATAAAGACTTTAAAGAAACTTTGACCTTACAAAGAATACTAAACTCCTATCAGAACTGTGATGAGCATCGATTTCTTGATGTTTTAATTGCTCAAAGTTCTATGGAAAGTAGAGGAAAGTAGAACTGGCCAGATCTTCAAGTCTTTATTTCATTCAATTGAATAATTAAATATCGCTGATCGTTGTCTAATATTAATTTTACAATAGATAATTGTGAATGTGTAAAATTTTAGTAGTAGAACCAATAGAAAGTTTCGTTTTCTCTAAGATATCGCTATACACCGAGCATCAGTTTAAGTATATCTTAATCAATATTGATCTCATATATTTTTCTAGCTGACAATCTTCGTGAAAAAGGTGATTTAACAAACTCAACAGTATTATCTACATTACAAGATCAAATTTGGTCGTTATTTCCTGGTTACTGTTCCTATCCAACAGATCTTTCAATAAGTTTTAAATTAGTTGCAAAGGGTATTGGTACATCATTAACCAAACGACCAGATTTAAGATTACATCTATTGGCTGTTTTAAGAAATCTCATATCAAAAACTAACAATGGTAAAATAGTTTTACATTTTGTTTCTGTTTTCGATAAATTAATATGATCTATAAAATGTTAACCTTTAAACTAGAATCGGATCGAGAAGAAATTGCAAAATATGCAAAAAATTATTTACCATTATTGTTTAACTTATACACAAGTGAAAAATGGAATGCATCGCGTGATCCTGTACGACAGAGCGTCTTTGAAACAATTAAACGTTATTTAACAATAACCGATCATGAGTTATGTCAACAATTTTTTGATAAATCTTTAGAAAAAATGAAAAATACTGAACTTGATCAAACGACATTGTATGAAAATAAAATTTAGAAAAATATCTTTGTAAATTTTTTTTTGTTAGAACTTATTTGCTTGATATTGTTTTGGCTTTAGTACCATATTTGGAACAGAAGTGTTTAGAAACATTGGAAGAGAAATTGAAACAATTATTTTCAATGGTATGTAAAATAGAGAAAAAAAAGTCAAAATATCAAATTTTGTTTTTACAAATAAATTCTTTGAATGTTTAGAAAGATGGAAGTTTGAAACGAAGTGCAATGAAAAAATCTTACCGAATTTTAGAAGAATTATGTACACGACCGACAGCGGCTATTCAACAATTTATTAATGAAGAGCGTTCAAATTTCTTATTCGAACATCTTCTTAATTCATTAACAAAATCACAATCAGCACTGAAAGGAGTTCGTGTTGAAAAGCGACAACTAAACATCAAAATGTTTTTGTTTTATTTTAGCCTCAACTTCGTTGCATTTCAAGTTTACTTGATATGCCGAATAATCAATCAATGGCAAAAATGAAACAAATTATTTCAAACGTAAAAACAGAGCGCTAGAGAAAATTCTTTCGTCCCTATGATAGAAAAAAATCGGAAGGAAGTCACTAGGTTGCCAGTTGAAAACTTATATATCTAGAATAGATTATATTCGAAGATTCAGAGAGCTAAGTGAAAAAAATTGTTTAGATGAAGTTGGGTAGTTTTTAGGGAGACCGGAATTTCGGCCCACGGAATTTTCGGGCCGGACTTTCGGACCAATTTTATACAAATTCATTTAACCCTGAAAGAAAAACGTAAATAATTTGAAAATTGGTTACTAGATTTTTTAGTGCTGAGCGAAGCGGCGTTTTTCATTCCATAGAAGAAAAACTAGTTGAAATAAAAAAAGCGAATTTATACCTAATATACATCTCAACAAATTTCGAAAAATATAACAGCAATAGTGAATTCGACATCTAAAATAAAACTAAAAAGCGTGCATCCTCAAGTCAATATTGAGATTACACTAGATTCGTTCGTGCTTGTTGTGGACAAACGATATGTATCTTAAAACGCCATACTATGTTCTATAATAATAGAAGTGGTGCTTTAAACACTATTACTTCGCTCAGCACTACATCGCTTCGCTCGGCACTACGTCACTTCGCTCGGTACTAAAAAAAATCTAGAAACCAATTTTCAAAACAATTCGTTTTTTTCTCAGAGTTTGATGAACTTGTATAAAATTGGCCCGAAAATTCCGTGGGCCGAAATTCATGTAGCCCAGTTTTTATATCTCCTAAATCTATATGTTGGAAGTTTTCATCTGAATAAATTTCTCTTTTCTATTTAGGCTATTCAATGTCTGCATGAAATTAATGGTCGAACAAGATGCGATGGCTATTTAATTATTATTAAATGTGCACGTCTTTGGACATCACTTAGTGAACAATCATTTATCGGTAAAGTTGTATTAAGGTGTATCGAAAAGTTGTTTACAAAGATTTTTTTTTTGTTTTAGATTCATTGACAGGATTTTTTCATTTTCTTATGGCTGGTCTTGTTAGTCCGCATTCACCATCAATGTCATCAGCGACATTACTTGCCATAAGTCGGCTATGTCTTGAATTTCAAGAAAATTTAGCTGGCACAATCGTTGATGAACTTATATCAACATTGATACTTGTTCTTCAATCAAAAGAAAGACAAATTATTCAAGCAGCTTTAAGTTTCTGTCGTGTTTTACTTATTATTCTTAATGAAACTGTTCTATCGAAATACATTGAACAATTGGTAAAAGAAAAAGAACGAAAATTTATAAGATTTCTAACTTTTAATTAATATTATCTTTAGGCTAGTTCATTAACGATAATGCGTGAAGAAAATAATTTTACATTTCGTTCCAAACTCAAATTAATCTTACAAAAACTTGTTAGAATATTTGGGTTCGTATGATCATTAGAATAGAAATTTCTATTGCATGTCGTAATCGATTTGAAGAGAGAAGTAGCTGCTAACTAATCATAGAAAAATATCTATTGGGGATATATTCCTTGAAAATCCTCATACTTGAATTTCTAGATGGCCAATAAAAAAAACAGTAGTTCAGCTTTACAGCTTGTTTCTAGATCTCAACTTCTACCATTCTACTTCAATAGTGCTCTTCAATCTTGTGTTATAATAATTCCAATTTTTCTGTGAATAGTAGGAGTTCTTCTCGTATGTATCCATTGAAAAATTCTGTAGATTAGTTTCAAAAGTAAAATATTCTTTAGGGAATAGTCTTCAGAATAATTCGCTGTTTAACATATAATTAAATAGATTATATAATCCTATCCGATTCGTAGAATTGCCTCAGCAATAAACTCTTCAAAAATTGACATGCGATTAAATTCAATTGATATTTCTTTTCAGGTTTGATGCATTGCGTGATCTATTTCCAGCTACTTTCCATGCTCAATTATCTTACATAAATAAGATGCATGTTCGTAAAGAACGCCGTCGTAAAGGTACATCAACTATTGGTCGAAGTGTTATAACAAAAGTTGATGGTGAAGATGAGTATGTTGATGACAATGAAACAACATTTACTGTTCGACCAAAACTTACTATTGATCAATTACTTGATGATTCCGATGATGACGAACAAAATCTGGACGGAATGGATGATGCTCGAACAATGGCAACAGCACGTACAACAGCTAGTACAAAACGACGACAACAAAAAGCAGCTTTGTGGATAAAAGAAGGTCACGGTGATGATGATCCAATCGATTTAACTGAACCAACAGCAGCAAGAAGTATCTATGGTATGTTTTGAATTTTATTTTAATTTCTTTCAATATTTATGCTTCTTTGAAATGTTTAGCAACAAAACCATTGACAAACCGAGAAACTGAAGCTATGAAAACAGCTATGAAAAATAAAAGAAAGAACTCAGGTTTCCGTACAGCACCTGACGGTCGTATTATCATTGATGTTGATGATGACGAAAATCAGCAAAAAGATATGAATGATGGAGACGACGATGATGATGATGAAGATATGAATCGGGAAGATTTGAAAGGTCTAATGGAAACATTATCATTAAGCCAACGAGCAAAAAATAAACGTAAACGTACTTTCGAAGATGAAGATGCTGACGATAATGATGATTATCAAATTAATGACAAGCAAAGTCAAAGTGTCCATTCAAAATATCGATGTAATTATTAGAAATTAAAATCATTTTAGTTTTCATATTTGCGATTTATATTTTTAGCCGGTGGTGGTGGTATTCATCGAACACTGAATCAACCACCTAAAACACAACAACGGCCTGGAGGAGTTTATAAAGCTAAGGTACAGGAAAAGTTTATTTTTTAATTTATATAATCACGTTTCTATCTTTTTAATTTTTTAAATAGCGTGGCGTGGGTGGTGATAAAAAAATAGCTAATAAACATGATCCATACGCGTATATTAAACTCGATTTTAATGCTCTGAATAAAAGGTAAAAAGAAATTTTTGTTTTGTATTAACTTTCATAATTATAAATATATTTTTTATTTGAATAGAAAACGAGGTAAATTCAAAGGTCAATTTGAACAGATAGTTGGTGCAGCTAAACGAGGTGCAAATCGTGGTGCTAAATTAGGCGCCAAAGAACGATACCATAAGAAGAATGTGAAGCGTTTGAAAAAAACATAATTTTTTACTACTCTTTTTGTTTTGTTTTGTTTTGTTACATCCTTGTTGTTTAGAAAGAAAAAGAAAAAGAAAATCGTTATCATAGCATTAAAAGTTCTTTTCTACTTTCGATTTCTTTAAGCATTGCCAAATGCACAAGATTAATTTGAATTCAACGATCATTATAGACCTGGGATATGTTAAAATAAATAGAAATGGCACTAGTATATCATGTAGAAAGCTCAACGAGAACTTATCTGTTTGTTTGGATGTTGATAAAACAAGTAAATCTCGTGTGTTGGACTCGCTAAGGCCTTGACTATAATCACAGATTCGGAATCGCCCAATCTGATTAGTTCTGGTCAAACTTTATGGTATATCGTTATTTCGCCAGAGAATCTCTCATAAACAAACCTTCCTTCAGTCGAGGAAAACGATGACTTTTATATTTCAACTAATAAAATTCTAGGCTTACGAAAGAGATAGGTACGAAATAAAATTTTGTTTTGTTGATTTACACCAGCGCACACTTTGAATGTTCGTATCGATTACAAAGTTTTTCATAAATATGAAAAATTAATGAAATCAAATTTTCAGATAAACTTATTATTTACTTCAACTGTTCACAATATTTTAAGAACAAGACGATTTTGTTGATGATACTAAATTTTTCAAATGAAATCGTTTTTTTGTGATATGAATGCCGAGTGAAAAATATGCTATTCGAAGCTTCATATCTCGATACAGGATCACATTATCGGCTGAAATTTTCATTTCACCTTTAGACTTGCTAGTTTTATGTCAATGAAAAAAAACTTCCGATTAAAATTTCACTCTTTCATTGTTTGACAAGATTTTTTTTCGAATTTTGAAATTTTAGCAAGGTCTTTTGTTGTACGCAATATCAAGACCAATAGTGGATGAAATTTATGATAGTTTTTTCGTAATTATCTATGGTAACAAGGTCTCATTAAAAGTTTTATTGACAAAAACGTCATTTGTTTGAAAAATACGTCCAAATGCGTCTATTAAAAAGCACTAACGATATCCAGTCAATGCTACTAAATAATGAACATACATAAAAAAATGCAAAAGTAAAAAGAAAAAAGAAAAACTATAATTTTCTAATCAACTTCTTCGACTCGTGGACCAGCATATCCATTGGTACCATTATGAGTTCCGTTTCGACTATACTGCTGTTTATCTGGATCACCAGTGTGTATCTTTGTCATAATGCGTTGACACTTTCTTTCTAATTCCGAATAGCGATGTACAATATCATCTTTCCTAGCTGATCGATTTCCATCTAGCCATTTCTGTGCTTCTTCACAAGCATTTAAAACTGTTGATTTATCAGACTCGGACAAGGATGAACCACTATAATTTTGTACTACTAGCTTACAGGAATATACATATGTTTCAAGATGATTTCGTGCATTGACACGTTCACGTGTTTGTTCATCTTCTTCGCGGTACTTCTCTGCTTCGCTGACCATACGCTGAATTTCCGCTTGTGTTAGACGTCCTTTATCATTTTTAATTTCTATTCTTTTGTTGCGTCCTGTACTCTTATCTTCAGCAGTAACATGAAGAATACCTGAAAACAAAAATGACCGTATTATTTTTTGTTAATAGAGTTTCTTTCTTGCCATTTGCATCTACATCGAAGGTAACTTCAATTTGTGGTACTCCGCGTGGTGCTGCTGGAATACCTTCGAGATCAAATTTACCCAATAGATGATTATCTCTTGTCATCGAACGTTCGCCTTCGTATACTTGAATGGTAACCGCTGGCTAAAATAAAATAGAATTTACTTCATTGATACGTTCATTAAAATCTATATTCTCACTTGATTATCAGTATATGTTGTAAATAATTGCCCTTTTTTATATGGAATGCGTTGATTACGTTCAATTAATTTTGTCATAACACCACCAGCTGTTTCAATACCCATTGATAGGGGTGTTACATCAATGAGTAAAACATCTTTAATCATTTCACTTTGATCACCTAGATTTAAATTATAGACAATGATTATGCATCAAGTTTGTTTGTTTGTTTTTACTATAAACCTGTAAGTATAGCAGCTTGTACAGCTGCACCGTAAGCAACAGCTTCATCTGGATTAATATTCTTATTTAGAGGTTTTCCATTAAAAAAATCGGACAATAATTGTTGAACTTTTGGTATACGTGTTGAACCACCCACTAAAACAACTTCTTCGATATCGCGTTTCTCTAATTTAGCATCTCGAAGTGCATGTTCCACAGGGCCTATCGTACTGCGAAACATATCCTAATCAATGAAAATAATGAAAATTTCTTTCTTCATTTATTGTTTCAATTAAAATACCATATTAAGTTCTTCAAAACGAGCACGACTTATTTGTGTATTAAAATCGATGCCATCGAAAAGTGAGTCGATTTCAATAGAAGCCGTTGTCGATGATGATAATGTTCGCTTAGCACGTTCACTTGCGCTTCTTAAACGACGTACAGCTTTTGTATGTTTTGATATATCTTTGCCATGCTTACGACGAAATTCTTCAACAAAATGTTGGACTAAACGATTATCGAAATCTTCACCACCTAAATGTGTATTTCCAGCTAAAGGAAACATAGTACGGGATTAGAAACTTGGTTTTGTTCGTTGAAATTTCTCTCACCTGTTGCTTTTACTTCAAATATAGAACCGCTACCTTCACCAGCACCGATGGTTAAAACTGATACATCGAATGTTCCACCACCAAGATCATAAATAAGAATATTTTGGTCACGTTGAAGTTTTTTTTCTAGACCATAAGCAAGTGCTGCAGCTGTTGGTTCATTTATGATACGAAGAACATCTAGACCAGATATTGTACCTGCATCTTTGGTTGCCTTAAAATAATGAGTAGATAGATGCTTATCAAAATCTATAAAATGACGAAAGTCGATTAATATTTCGGAAATTGCTTAACAAATTACAGCAAAAACGTCCTACTGTTTTACTCGAGAAAAACGGAAATATTGTAAAAATTCAAATGACAGCATTCTGACTCCTACTGCAATTGGAATATAAATAAACATGATAATTTTTGCAATGCGTCATTTTGTTCTAACTATGTTAACTTTTATTCTTGATCGTTAATAGAATGAATCAGCATGTGTTATGACATACTTTACAGAAAAACAGCAGCGTCAATTACCTAATATATATATATATATATTATGGATGATTACAAAGATAACAGACGCTAATTTTAAGATTCGTAAGGTTGCATGATATAAAGTATCTTTTTATATATTATGTCATTGTGTGCTTATTCTAGCCAAAAAAAGGATTGACACTTTGTATTGTGAAAATTTTCAAAATTTGAAATATTATGTTTTCTTTTTCGTCTTTGAATTCATTATCATTACAAATAAACATACAAGTCAAAGAAAATTTTTTGATAGATTCGTCTTAATATTCTTCTCGTACCTGTCGTTGTGAATCATTGAAGTAGGCAGGAACAGTAACAACAGCTTGTCTAATAGGAGCGCCTAAGAAAGCTTCAGCTGTTTCTTTCATTTTTGTTAGTACCATAGAAGAAATTTCTTCAGGAGAAAAAAGCTAAATTTAACAAAATAAAAATAAAGCCAATACAGAATTTCTCTTTCAATAGATTCGTTCCTTTTCCTATATACCTTTCTTTCACCTTTGTATAAAACTTCAATAAATGGTTTTCTATCTTTACCACTGATAACTTTAAATGGCCATAATTTAATATCTTTTTGTACTGTATCATCATCGAAACGTCGTCCTATTAAACGTTTAGCATCGAATATCGTATTCGGTGGATTCATAGCTGCTTGATTTTTAGCAGCATCACCAATCAAACGTTCAGTATCAGTAAACGCAATATAGGATGGTGTTGTTCGATTTCCTTGATCATTAGCAATGATTTCAACTTTGCCATGTTGAAATACACCAACGCATGAATATGTTGTACCTAGATCAATTCCAATAGCTTTGCTGTGTTTTCTATTAGCACCGGAGCGAGACATTTATCTGAAGTATTTTATACATGAAATATATAATTCGAATTCAAACTAAGACAATATATGTATAAATAGAGCGAAAGGTGCGTAAGTGTACGCGCTCAATGTTCACGCACTTTCTCTCACCTTCCCGATACATGACTGATATGCAAAAGTGAGATGATCATCATCATACATAGATACATACATACGTAAATTCAAGGCAATACATAATGTGCATCGATACGACCGAGAGTAAAAAGCAAAAGAAAGAGGAAAAAACGAAGAACGTAAGGTGAGAGAAAGAGTCATAGGTTTATATATATGGGCACGCTTAGTAACTTTCAATGCCAGTACTAAACAAGAGAGAAAAAGCATCAGTGTGACTATTACTATATTTTATTTAAAACTTTTCTTACTGTATCATAACATACAAGAAAGCTCAAGTTCTTTATCATGGTAAACAGGAAATATTCCTTGAGACAAGCAAGCAATGCAACTCCGTTTAATTGTTTCTGTGGTGAAAAAAAACAATGCGTAGGAAAAGATTTGTTGATGAAGTAATGACAATCAATAGTTATAGATTGCAAATATACATAACAAACCAAGAAAAGAATATAGGTTCTGGCTACGTTTTTGAATATAATTTATGAATCGTTTCTATAATACATCAAAATATTTACAAAAAAAAAACAGTAAAAAATTACCCAACTTTTCGTTGAAATTTTGCTCGTAACACTAAGATTCCAAAGCTAATCAATCGAAAAACAATAAAGAGAGCAAAAAGTAAACCCAAATTACGATTATAATGCACCTGAAAAAATAAACATTCAATGAAATATCAGTTAAAAATTTGTTTCTACATACCTTCTTGAAAACACAATAATCCAGCACATCAGTACCGTTACGATAACAAGTTCCATTACCTACTTGATTACAATCGAGTGATTTAACGTCTTCCCATGGATTAATTAAGCGCATTTCATTTGAATAATAAAGCCACAAAAGATATTTTATCCAAATAAGCCAATTAGGTATTGTTCTAGAAAAGAAAAAAATGTAATGTAAAAGCATTTCTTGTCTATTTTGTATTTGATTAAATTATAATTTACTTTGTACTAATAAAAAAACCTACGAAGACGAAAAGTGAAATAACGAGAGGAATAACCATTGCACTAGCAGCATCAGGCGATGGTGCTATGAATGCTAATACCGATCCTTATAGCAAAATACGTTTCAAATAAATCATATATGTCAAACTTGAAACTTGAATTTAATTGAAAATTTTCAACTTTTAAACCAATAGCATTCTGAATAATCGTGACTCATACATGTATCGCTATGAGTTGAGAGTTGAAATTTTCTATTTTTAACGGAATTCAAGTTTCAAGTTTGACACTACTGAGATAAATAGGATTTGCCTTTATTTCATATAACTGACCCGCACACAGTGAAACTGTACCACACAAAATAAGAATACCTTGCAAAACAAAATATTTACGAGCATTATCATAAATTTACCATCCAATACACGAGTGTACCGGTGATAAATGTCGTAAATGCATACGTAAATAATTCTAGAATAAGTTTCGATAGATGATAAGGTACTATACGATATATTCCATCGTCATGTTCTTTCAAAAACAATGGTAACTATCGACTATATTTCTAAAGAAAAAGGATATTCATTCATTAATGCAAAGAAACTGTTCTCATTCCAGATTACATCGGCATTATCTTGTACGTTTGAAAATGTACAATTAATAATGAGCATAAATATAACTGCTGATATATTTTGAAATGCTTGCTGATTATATTCTGATCGTAGAAATAGAAGACCAAATAGGACACCGATAATTATTGATAAAACAAAACGAATACGAAACTTAGACGGATTTTTAAATGTGTCAATTGATGAACGCCTTATTAACCAACACATTTCAGTGAGAAAACTCGATTTATATCTAAATATGAATTCATCTTGTAACAATAAGAAACTATTCGCTGATACTGATTATATAATACATACTTGGGTGAGCGTTTAAGCAATCCGTTAATTCCAACTGTCTGATCATCATCAATCGCATGATATTGTTGAGCTTCGGCAACGCGTTGTACCTATAGCGGCGATTGCTCATATATATTACAAATATACTACAACAATTCTATGTCAATGAAAAGTAATTTTTCATTTCTTTCACTATTACTTCGACGCGTTCAAGAGAACTCTCTTTGTCAAATGGAGATATAGTCAGTGTTTGAATATAAAAATCCGGCAAGCTACAATTATCTGGTGCGCTGAAACCCGTCCTAAAAACAATTCTCAACTTTTTTATTATTCATTATTCAAATTGATCTAGGTTAGTTGCTCGCGTGAACATTTGCTCGCTAGGATACTTGCTTACAAAAATATTTAGAAGTAAATATGTAAGTAAGACATGAAAATATTTATTAATAATAATAAGAATAATGATTAACAATATACAAGAGAAAAGAGACTATATTGATCACAAACGTCCGATATATTTCAATTGGTCCTGCATGTCTGTATGTGGATTTTGAACCAAATTATATAATAGCCTGTTCAATGATCCGTTTCTTCGTTTTGGTGGCTGACGGCCAGACACAGCATTAACGATATCTGGAGGGTGTGGTTGTATTTATCATGTCTGGCTATAAACCCCACATCGGCACCCGCACCCGCCCACTGACACCCACACCCACGACCGACCCACCCTCACGAGCAACTGTCCCGTGAGCAAGTGACCGGCTCCCGTTTGAGAGAAATTCATGATCAAAAAAGAATTCATTGGCCGATTTCAAGAGTACAATGATGATGATTAAATTGGTGTGATGGTTGTTGATTTGTAATAGTTACGAACATCTTTATGATTATGCAGTTTTGCATTAGTCTGATAGGATTTCATATTATTTGTAACAATTAATACGTTTTACTTTTAATATTGTTCTATTAAACGCTTGGAAGAAATGGTTGACGTTAACAATGAACGATGCTGAATTTTTCTTATTAAACTTAATGATTGAGCATGAAAGTCTATGTCTTTCAAAGAACATCAATAATCTTCAAGATCTAACAAGTGAACTCTTTAGGTTTGCAATTTTAGAAAATGTATCACGACTAACAACGAGATATTTTTGATAAAATTATGACTTGTTTTCAGTCTCTACAACAAGCAACGAAGATTATTTTCCGTGTTCCAACAATTTACGAAATACTCTTTCTCCATTCAGGTCTACTCAATATGTCGATTATCAATAGAGAAGTACGATGTTTAAAGAGTAGCGTTTTTACTTGATTTCAAAAATTGAAAATCAATTGATTCATTTCTATTTTTAATTCTATTTATTAGAATCAACAAAATCAATCTTATTTAGCGATACAAAATAAAAAAATGTCAGCAAGAATGATGAGTACTTCATAGCGTGAGCATCATCGGAAACTAATGAAAGCACGATGTTCCATAGCTTTCGAAGAGGATCATATTGAATCATAAATAAAGTATGAACATAACTCTTGAATTTTGTGCGAATAAATAAAAGACGCGAACACGAAAGCTGAAAAGTTTCATAAAAAAACTGACTTTGACTATCTCGTTTGCTTCATGATAGAGATTCGAAAAGATTGAGTTAAATTTTTCTTTGAAGAAATTATCCATTATGCAAGATTTCTTGTTGATTCAATTGCGATTCAAGAACATCTTTTGCTATCGATTGTTTATGCAGAGTTTACTGTCGAATGAAGAGTAGAAATGTCAAAAGATGATTATTTCTCTCAAATTTAGTAATTTGTTAATATTCTTCACAATTCAACAGAAGATTAAAACGATCTATTTTTGTTAAACTTTTATTCATCGTCGATTATGCACACAAAAAATTAAAATGAGTGCAAAAATAAAAGTAAACAAAGTATGAGAAGTTCTTTTTAACCAGATCTTCGTTGAAATTTTGCACGTAAAATTAAAATGCCAATACTAAGCAATCGAAATCCAATAAAAAGAGCAAAAAGTAAACCCAAATTACGATTGTAATGCGCCTAAAAAATAAACATACAATGAAATATCAGTCAACAGTTTCTTTCTACAAACCTTCTTGAAACCATAGTAATCAAGAATATCATTACCAGTACGATAACAAGTTCTATTACCTACTTGATTACAGTCAAGTGATTTAACATCTTCCCATTGATTGATTAAAGCCATTTCGTTTGAATAATAAAGCCATGAAAGATATTTTATCCAAATAAGCCAATTAGGTATTGTTCTAGAAAAGAAAACAAAATTTTTAAGGATTTCGTCTATATTCCATTTCATTGAAATATAATTTACTTTGCACTGAGGAAAAATCCTGCGAAGACCATTAATGGAATGACGATTGGAATGACGATTGCAGAGGCAGCCTCAGGTGACGGCATGGAGACGCCTATAAGCGCGCCTAGAAAAATAGTATATGTTAGGTAAACAATGCCACAACATCGAACAATTCAAACTTACCCATAGAATTTGCAACGAATGCACATAAAATAATAATGCCCACTAAAATAAAATATCTACTAGCATCCTCGTATAGGTTTACCATCCAGTACACAATAGTTATTAATATAAATATTGTAAAAGCTTGTGTTGGAAGTTCTAGAGTGATTTTTGATACATAGTAAGGTATTGTACGGTAAATTCCATCGTCATGTTCTTTAAAAAACAATGGTAATTGCCGATTGTAACTCTGAAATAAAAAATTAATTTAGATAGCAACTACAAGTAACAATGTCTATTAAAAATTACATCGGCACTGTATTGAACGCTTGAGAATGAGGTATTAATAATGAGAACAAATATAACTGATGATATATTTTGAAATGCTTGTTGGTTGTATTCTAACTGTAGAAAAATAATACCGAAAAGAAGACCAATAATTATTGATAAAACAAAACGAAGTCGCAATTCAAATGGATTTTTAAACATATCAATTGTCGACCGCCACATTAACCAGCGAAGCTGTGTGAAAAAACTTGCTTTATATCTAAAAATCAATTATGTTTTAAACGATAAATTTGCTCTCTATTGTAAATTTCTATCAGCTAACTTTGGTGTACGATTGAATAATCCACCAATAACATCTGTCTGGTCATCATCAATCATGTGAAATTGTCTAGCTTCGGCAACACGTTGAGCAAAGGGTGCAGTTTGTTCGAATTCATCACAAATATACTAGAACAGCGTAATATCAATGAAAATAAGTTTACCATTTTTTTTCTTTCTTTCTTGTTTACTTCGACACGCTGAAGTGAATTCTCTTTGTCAAACGGTAATATGGCCAGTGTTTGTATATAGAAATCCGACAAGTTATAGTTATCTGGTGCATCAAACCCAACCCTGCGAAGAATATTGTTAATAGATAACATGTTGATATCATCCGCAAAAACCTATTCATGTCTTATTAGTCATTCTACTCTCACGCTTTCTATATTGATTTCTCACTCTTACAATGTGATATAAGACAAGTCTACTTCTTCAGAAAATTAAATCACAAACTCCATTGACTTACATACTAAAAAACTCTTGAGCGTTTTTTCTTGATCCAAAATAAGCAACACGTCCTTCTGCCATCAAGTAAAGTCTAAAAAAATATCGCATTTATCACCACGCAATCAAAATGAAACTCATTCAACTCACGTGTCGAATAATTGGAAAATTTCACTTGATGGCTGATGAATTGTACAAACAATTGTTTTACCTTGATTGCATAGTTTACGCATTGCATCACAAATAATGAAAGCCATACTTCCGTCAAGACCAGATGTTGGCTACAAGCAGACAGAAGGCATACATTTTCCCCTTTCGAAACGATTTCACAAAATATTTACTTCATCAGCAAATAATAATGGTGGATCATTCAGAACCTATAGTAACATACATATAGTAGATCATTCATATGCACTCGTCATCAAAAAATGATAAAATACTTCAGAAGCAAATAATAAACGTCGCTTTTCACCACCAGATAAACCTTTGATACGACCAGGTTCACCAATCAGCGTGTTCTCAGTTTTCTTCAAATTCAACTATACAACAAAATATTTTCTAGTTATAACATTTCCTCAATCTTACATACAAAATTCAACAATTCCTCGACGCGATTCAAACGTTGCTCTTTTGTTATATCACGATTTAATCGTAGCATGGCCTAAACAATAAGATTGTCAAGAGAAACCTTGTACTGTATACAAAAATCTCTTTACATGGAAGTGTAAATGTTCTCGTGTTGTCATCGATGGTACAAATAATTCTTCTTGTTGAACATAACCAGCTACTCGATTAATATGACGGCCCATTTTCGTTCCATTGACTCTTACTTCTCCAGATACTTTCAGTGAACCCGGCCGCCGATGTGCTAAGACATTCATCAATGTTGTTTTACCAGCACCACTAGCACCCATGATAGCTACCAGTTGACCTGGTTTAACAATACCACTGACTAAATTCATTCAAAAAAATGAACGATATTCGCATGAAAAAATAAAAATAAAACTGAATTTTTACCTCCTTTGAGCAAAACTTTCGGTTCACCGACTTCTTTCGATGGACACAATAACTTTGTTAGTGTTCGCTTAAGACCTTTATCTTTTGGTGGCGCTGTAACTTCTAAGTCGAGCCATGTTAATGTGACTGGTGGAGAAGTAAAATCTAATTTACTCAAACCAATATCATCATTTTCTGATATAACGACGTCTTCCGGTGGCGATAAAATTCTCGAATTTCGTACTTTACCATAGGGAATACCCTGTTCAAGTGGAACATTAGCTTGTCGTCTCATATAGTTATACCAATCGAGATCACGTTGTCTATTGGAAAAATTACGTGAACGCCAAGCAGAATTCTATGTAATGAAAACAAGAAAAAGAAATGAGTTATTTTTTTAACCGTACGTGAAGTATCATTATTATTTTTAACATACATTTTGTCGTACATAATCACCTAGAGTATTGATTTGAACGGGACGGAACTTAATTTCAGTTCCATTTACCGGAGAAGTCTGTTTGTAGAAATATGTTTATCTGATAAATGAAAAGTATTCACAAAGTAACATACCATTTTCTTTTTGCAACGGTTTATTACCAATGGCGTCTATGTAATTATGTTTCGAAAATAAGCCAGAGGTAAACAACAAAATAGCAACATTTTATATTATATAACTAATTCAGCTAAAGTACGTTCGTAGAGGCCTACAATTCCGCAATCGAGCAGAACGAGGTAAAGATTTGTATACAAAATAATACACCCTTGCGTACTTTACATGCATCCATATGTTCTGTGCGCACGAGATATGACACATCGTTTTTTTTTCTATCTCATCGTGATCAATGCACAGTCAATTTTTTCGAAATGTTTTCTAAGTTTTTTTCTGATTTGTCAAAATATGAAGCAAGGTTTTACTATTACACTATACTTATCTGCAATCGAACAGAAACGTCGTGACGTTTAATTAATGATATTCATTCAACGCGTTGATGCAATCATTGGTTCTTTTTTCTTTTGCACTGCTGAGCTGCATTACTGAAGACACCTCTCATCAAAGGAGAAACAAGTACGCGATTTTTACAGCTTGTTGACTGACATTCTCAATCGTGGACATGATCGATCGAATAGATTGAAAAACATCATCAAATAGGTTGCATCACATCATAATTTGAGAGGCATGTATTATTATTTGGAATGTTCTCACTGAATTTTGTCGATACTTCAACGATGCAATTTTGAAGCAATACGCTCGGTTATATCACCTGTAACTGAAATCAACAAAATATTTCAAGGTCACTATATACATACCGCTCTTTTAACTGAAATATCCAAGTGGAGTTCAAAAAACAAATTATATTATGCTAATTAACGTGTTTTTATAACAGTCGATAGCAATATTTTTTTTCAAAAAGAGCTAACAGATTTCCTTTAACTTTGTAAGATTTATTGATGACTTATGAAAGAATGATAAATGATATTTATATTATTTTCAACACATGAAGATAAACACATCAAGAACAAGCACAGATAATTGCACAAATATTTTTTTTAAATACAGATAAACACACATAAAGAGAAACAACGACAAAATCATTTTACGTATTCATTCATTCATTATTCGAACAAAAGTAACATGAACACAACAAAAACAAAATTTCCTAGATCTGAATACTTTTACTCGTTGATTTTAATTATCTTCATGTTGAAGTAAACGAAGTTCACTTTGATCAGTATTACCATTAGCCAAAAGACCATTTGTGTGCGATGGTGATGCATGCCCATTACCAACTAGATCGCCATTTCCATTCTGTTGTTCAGTATATCCATTAACTTTTGCTTCTTTGCCTGTTTCGTTAACAAATGTTGTCATAGCTGTTTGTGATCCACTGATGACCAATTTTGGTGATGCTGATGATTTTTCAACAAGAACAACTGGTGATGGACATTCTGATAGATTCTTCATGTAGCGACGACGATAAGCCAAATAATAAAGACTTGTCAATAGAACAAGTATAGCAAGTATGCAAGATAACAAACCGACAATCTATCAAAGGAGGATAAGGAAAGAATTAAAAATGAGTGTAACTGTTAAAAAAAGCTTTTTTTACATACCGCTGCATTCCATCCGTTGGATGGAACGACGTAAACAGGGAATGGACCGTTACCGTATCCTAATGGACCCAATTTTCGATTGATTTCGTTAGCATTATCCATCAAACCTACAAAGAAAATTATTATCTTATTTTCTTTAAAATATTATAATGCCGCAAACCGTTGCTGTTATTGCTATTGAAGTTGTCGGAAAATGAGCCTGACATTGTTAATGTTCTATGGATGGAGAATGTAGAAAAAATGAAATGACGACCGTTGCTGGCTCTTCTCTATAATGAAATGCATCGGACACGAAAGAATAAGAGAAGAACGAGAGAAGAAACAGAAGAAGAAAATTCAGCTATTGTTTAGTGAATGACCGACTAGCGAAATATTTTCTTCTTCTAATCAGAAGAGAAACAGCGGACGAAGTAGAGAGAGAGAGAGAGAGAAAGCAAGACAGAAAGCCGTTGATACCAACGGCAGTTATTTATTTGAAATAAACGTATAAGAAAGTGAACGGATGCTAGCTCTTGTTGATATTATTGGTGCATTCAATCATCGATAAAGTAGACAACACTTCTCGTCTATCGTTAATTACTCCTCAGGCAAAGTTCTTATAGACAATTTTGTAAAAGAAAAATATAGTACACATTCCTATTCATTCAATGTTTGATCAATGTAATGGATCGCGATTATCAAAATTGATTCTCTTCTAGTTACTTTTCCTAAAGGCTAACAATCAAATATAACGTTCTACTATGTTTGTTTTCAACATATTAATATGTTATTGATTAGCGATATCCGGGATTTCTCATCATCAGTTATGCTCAATGTCTGATTTTAGTGACCGTAAGAACGATTGAATCAATGTATAAAGATGTGGATGAACGTGCTAAGACGAAAGCTAAAAACACATATAAACATCAGACTATCATCAATCACTCATTGTATATGATGGCTATATGCAAAATATGGACATGTATATATATTGAGAGGGAAGAAGATGATAAGAAAGCAAACATGATGAGTGTATTAGCTTGTATTAGAGTACATTAAAGATTCTAGTGTCGATTATAATTAGATAAAAAATAACGGAAACTTGAGAATAAATGAGACAAACCATGCTTGACCTAAACAATATCAATTAACGATGTCTTGCCTTTCAAACAATAGTGAATATCTACATATATTATAGTTAGTTGTATTCTTAGAAGACGCGACTGAACTAATCAATATGTCTAATAGAATTATATGTTTGATATTTATTTGAATAAATATGAGGAAAAAAAAATAATGCTTCTGTATTTTTCTTGTGAAATTTATCAATGTAAGCTTTATGGTCTATTTATTTAATATATTCGTAGCGATATGAATCACGTTCAAAATTGGCATAGAATTCCCTATGCGGAAAAAAAGATGAATATCTTTCCTATGGATTTGAATAAAAGCACCGATCTATTCACCATTGATAAACGAGAAATGCTGATAACACGTCTTTCTCAACTCAGCGATATGGCATGCCGCTGGTGGATCACACGGTAGTGTAGGATTAAGTCACATGCAGAATGAAAGAAGAAAAAAAATCAATATTGAAGAATAGAATGATTTGAATTTCAGTGTTGACAACAAATTTCCAAGTTTGTTTTGTGTAATTCATATTATTGTGTACTAGCCAATTAATATTGCTGCATAGGCTTTCGATCGCAGTGAATAATCAGTCCTATACATGAAGGAGGCCATACTTTCTCTTTCTCAATGAATGCAGTTGTATGCGTGAGTTAAGTATTTGAGTCAACGTTTCGAATAACATCATCTCTTGGAAAAACAGTAACATCCGCTTTTCAAAGGATAACAAGCAAAATTCTGATGAAGAAAAACAAAGACATGATATCTTTTTGATTGATACGAGAAGTTAATTAGAGGGAAAAAAGTAAATATGCGTTTGTCATCGATTACCGTACTAAATCTTTCACAAGTTTTATTAATCATTCTTTCATGGTATGTTCTTTGTAGTTTTTTGTTTGTATAACACTTGAGACATATGCAGATAGAACAAACAGTTTAAAATGAAGGTTACTTGGAAAGGGAATCTTTTTTACTATTTATTCCAGTCAGCGGCTCACCAAAAAACTAAGACAAATAATAAAAAGAAAATACGTGATTCGTATAATTGTATTTAATCGAACGAATAAATCTAATTAATATATAAAAACAATATGGCAATGTATATGATTATCGCATTATAATTATCATGAAGATTTAATGATGTATTTAATGTGAAGAACGATGTTCACAATAACGTTGAGAAGCAGAAAGTAAAAATGAATAATGACGTTCAATGCAAATGTCATACATATACAATGACGTCTGATGATTGAGAAAAAAACAATATCCGATACACGGTAATGTAGAAATTACTAGGTCATAAACAACACTTGATATCTCCAGCCTCCTTCAAAAAAAAAAAACTGTTGTTTTTTCTTCATGATAGAGTAGTTTTCTTATTCACACGGACACATCCATCGATGCTGTTTTCAATTAATACAATTGACCTCAATGAAGAGGTGTACTGCTGACTGAAAACATCTCTTGCGTGATCTCAACCATTCTTATGACAATATATCGGAAATTCTCAGTAATCGCTTGAGTAGAAGTGCAGCTATGATGCATGAGAGCTCTTCTCATTATAAGTTCTATGCATGATTCAAGGAGAACGAGAGCGTATGGTCATGTCATCTGATGATTACGTAGAGTATTTATAGCTTTTGCACTTGTTGCTGGAAATAGCTTAAATTTTTAGTTACAATAACCAAATTTTGTGACGATATAATCGTGAGTTTAGCACGTGCTAAGCTTCTCCCATTGTTAAATTTATGGATGAGCAGTCAGAACGCTTGATCTAGGTCATAGCTTCTCTTCAAATCAGGCGAGCAAGATCCAGATAATCTTTTTTTCTTTTATTCTTGTAGTAGTTATTCAAAAAAAGTGTATTTTCACCTGTTTTCTTATAATTAAAATTTTTCAAGAATTTTCTGTTATTGTGAAAGAAAAACTACGTCTGATCGATAATAGTAGATTGTAATTTGTTTATACTTTAGAGTCTAGTTGCTGAGTGGTTATCCTACGTTTATTGAAGCGATGAAATGCTTTCAATAAAGAGATCCATTCATAAATGGATCATTAATTGTTATCCAAATGCACAAGAGAAATAAATAATCAGCAAAACGATCTTTCTTCTATTTATATGTAAGAATTAGTAAAGTTTAACATAAGTTGTAAAGATCATTGGCTCAGCTAAATATGTTTCATCATAGATTTACAAGATTATCATTTTTTCTCAAGATTTTTTAATCTTTTACGCAATTTTATAATGTTTGCAGTATAAAAAAATGCTTTTTCTTGCCGAATTAACTGAGTCGCTTTCAATATTTCGAAGAGATTACATTAAAACTTCCATTGCATTTTCAAACAAGAGATCGACGTAATACGATGAAAAATGTTTTTCAAAGTCAGTTGAGTAATCTTTTTTTGAATTATATCAATTCCGATCTTGCTGTTGATGTAACATTAATTATTGAGCAATGGTGTTCAAAGGATGTATTTCCTGTTTTTGGCATCATGACTAATAGGAGTTTAGCTCCTTTTAACATGAGCTGTATATTTAATTGCATGTTTCCATAGACAAATGGTCTGTACTATAGCAAGTGTAATCATGTTTGCCAAAAGTGTGTCACTGAACTTCAGATATCTGACTAATGCAGATATATCTGCTAATGAATGAGTCAAGGAAAAATTTTGATACGAGCAGTTTATAGTGTTAAAAATGAGAAATTTATTTTTTCGTTTCGATGTTTATATTACGCACCGCTGAAGAGACAGTTGCAAGTTCATTAAGGAAATAATTGTTTTCAAAGATTTTCAGCTAAATAGACTTTCCATCTTCGACTACTACGAAAGTTTGAATTTTTTAAAGTTCACAACGTTTTTTCTCAGATGAGATTTGTAAAATGGAGTTTAGCAAGTTTATCTATAAATGAATTTGTTGAATTCGATTTGTCGCGCTAAATCTAAAACAACGAACTGTGTCAGTCAAAGAGGAAATGAGCGTATTCATAATACTTCGATTACTGAATATGAATATGAATATTCTATTCAAAAGAGCATTTCATTCGGAAAACCTGAAGGCATCTTCGTAAAAATGATTCAAAAGCAATTGAACACAAATATAGCTTTCACCAGTTCATGCCGTTTTATGCGACCATGTTTTAACAAACGAACATCTATTTTAATCCGACAGTTCCGGTTCGTTGACTTTATCTACAGTTCTACTTAAATGGTCAAGCCGATGTTATTTCCGAAGCCATACCGAAGATCATATGGTTGATTTTTGTCGAAATCGAACACATGTCAATATATTTATTTCTTTATTTAAATTGATTGAAAGAAGTTACAATACACTCTCATCACTTTTATTGTATTTAATTTTGAGATTATTTAATGACTAATTTTACGAGGTATCAATCGGCTGTATTGTTCCTCGTTGGTGTGGAAAGAAACAAAGTTTGATTGCTTTCGTTATTGCAGGAGATACGGATCTAGATACTGTATGAAGAACAATGAATGGAGCCAATGATGAAGTTACATATGGAGTAAATATAAAATAAAAAATGCAGTGATAACCGGAATACTGAAAGATACATTTTTATTGATAATCAATTGAAGGATAATTGTATATGGTAACCAACAAATAGTGTATGCAGTTGCAATAATACTGGTTTGAATAATCATTTTTCGTGCGTGATCCCATCGTACACGGTGAAATTATCGTTTCTGAGTGATACAATGAATAGATAATAATATACAAGCGATAATTGCCACCAATGTGGGTAAAAATACACAAGTCCATACGAAAAATGTACCAAGAGATCGCAGGTTCATTGAACGTGTATAACAACACATAAAAGCTGAATAATTGAAAGATATTGAACATTTAGCGAAAATATTTGCAAACAATCTATAGATAAAAGTGATTGAAAAAGCGATTAGAAGAGGAATATAATGAAATAAAATACGTGAGCGATGAGTACGTTGGAGTCGGGAATGAAACACAAGTAAATGACGTTCAATGGATAGAAGCGATGCTGGTAGTACACGGTTGCTTGTGGCCATAAAGGAAAATAATGTACTCCAAAACGTACAAAACTCTGATGTATGAGCAGTAACTGAGCCTGACCGAAGATATTTTTGTGTATTAGGTAAGTGAAAAAACGATAGTGCACGTAGCAAAGAATAATAAACGCATAAGTATATGATTCTGTAAACGTCGTAATGGACTTGTATGCTGAAGAAGTTGAACGAAAATAAATGTAGCGCAACGTAACGATGGAATTTGGGTGGTAGTAAGAACAATCATATAAACTTGATTTGTATTCATTTTGAGTGAGTTTGTTCAAGTAAAAATTGTTTAAAAGTAGAATGGACGAGTAAAAATGAATATTTTGTTTAATGTAACGGACATATATATATTCACCCACACCCTGAAGAAAAGTACTGGATTGAACTTATTTTTATTGAACGATTACTACTAGAAAAATATCAAGAACGCTCCTCTTTTTCTTCTTCTTTTGAATGAATTTGACAATGCGGAAGAGTCATATTGACCTCTTTTCAGCATTAGAAAGTCTTTAAAAAATTGATAGCTAAATAATTAATCTTAAAATAAGTACAGGCTAGTGCTCTCAGGAACCATTCATTTCAAAATTCTTTATGGGTAACGCTTTCTATTGATTCGATCAATTTTCACAAAATGAAATCGATGTTGAATTGTTGAATGATACACTATGATTCGTATCAGCTACTTTAAGCTAACAGCAATTGGCTTGAAGTATTAAAAGAAATAGTTGATATTAATTTACGGATAACAAGGTACACGTCATAGGCTATTATCAAACATATAATTTTCTTCAAAACAATTTTTAATTTTTAGAATCTCTCGGATTCCTACATCAAAAGAGCAACAGAATCATATAGTTTATCTTCTAGGCATGTACTCGCACAATATTAGATTATATCATTCAGTAGGCAGAAGTGTCAAGGTGTTTTACGTGGTCACCCATACAGCATTGATGAAAATCGTCCTTAATTAAATATAAAACTAATTGTCTGAAAAATACTGATTTCTCAAGTGGTTCAAAATGTCGATTAATTCCTTTAACGATTTTTTTTTATACGACTAGAAAAGAAGCAACTCTCACATGACCGTACTTGTTCATTTATTATTAGTAGACAAGTTGAACTTTCTCTATACTTAATCAAATGAACTTGAAATTCGTTGAGACTCATAGATAAATCTATTGCTGAATTATCCAATTATAAAATAATTGAATCGAATGAAAACCAATCTTTTATTTCGATAAGTTGCTAAAATAAAAAGTTAGCTTGAATTATTCATGCAAAAATTTATTTTCGTGAAAGAAGACAATAAATTGAACAGCTTAGTTTTCATAGCTTGAAGCAAACTAAATGTTATAATCAGTAAATTTAATTATCCAAATGATCTCAGCTATAAGATATATGTAAATCAAATTTGTTGTTGCATCATGTAGCGACAAAATGTTTTATAAAATTGTCAAAATAGTGCTGTTTACAAATGAAATGTAACTTTGTCAAAGAAAATTTTGAAGATTAATTTTTGAAATAAATTTATTCATCAATTGTTTTAATTGAATAAATTTTATTAGATTTTTTTTCTGATGCGATACATGATTTCTCATCTTTCTCAGGTGAACTGCATCATCAATTGTTGCCACCTTGCCATTTAGAACTTCAATTGATAGATTTGTTCGGGATCAAGATATATTGTTATCTGGAATAAGAATATATTAGATTCTTGGATAATCTATCTTAATTAGGAATTATTTAGGTACAAAGAGCACGAGCACGTCATCGAAAAAAAATAATAAAATGAAATTCTTTTATTATTTTTCCTGCGTTAATAAAAGATTCTCTTCAAGATAAAAGCCTGCATTTTCACTATGCATCACATATACTTCTTACATGATGTAACTAAAAGTTAAGATGACTTATTTTCGTTCTCCCTGATTTATATTTTTTGTTTATAGTTTGCATTACTAAAACGCAGAATTAATTGTAAGATAGGAAAGCATTCCATGCATGAATAAGGATTTTTGTTTTGTATCTGACCTTATTATTAGTTGCTAAATTGAATAACATATTTTTTTGTTTCTGAAGAATACTGCTGAGTCAAACCAATATCACTTTCAAAATCTTGAGTATCAACTGATGATTAGACTTCTGTTATAAGAATTAAAAATAATTTCGTCTATCATTTCTTATAGTTTAGTTAACTAGTCCAATACATTCAAAAATAAGAATAAATTGATGAGCATCGTTGTTTGCCTGAGATAAGGTCAATATTTTGTCTTTTTACTTACAAGAATAGAAGCACGCTTTCATACGCTATGACTATAGCAGTCAACCATTAGAAATTAAAAAAAGGCCAAGAAATACAGAAACAAAAAAATAAACTGAAATAAATACGGGGATAAACACGCACACCTGAGACAGTAAAAAACAAAAATTAGAAAGTAAAGTGTAAACACCGGATAATTAATATTTTTGTTTCTATAGTGATGACGAGACGAGTGCTTGCTGTTGCGATTGTTCATTTCTTTCATATTTCATCATATGTGCCGACGATGATGCTTGTTTCGATGATGATGTTACATCCATCTTAAGAATACATGGAATGATTTTGTTTATTTGTACTGAACCTATTTATTGAGAAAACGAAATATTTTTCTTTTGAAACAAACGGAAAAAAATAAACCATCATACCGATAAGACCGACAAAGAAAAGTTCTTCAATTATACTTGTATCAAGGTCCGATAGAGATGGCAATCGAAGTAAAAGTCGACCTAAACGTTCACTATCACCGCAATACTCATCGTAGGATGTCGATACTAGTCGATCATTTATATAGTCATGTAATTCTTTATATGTTAATGTACGATATGCATCGATTTGATCATAGGTTTGAGAACATTCTAATTTAATATCATAAACAATGACCAATTAAAGAAGAAGAAAAATAAAAAGCAATTTATTTACCAGTATTATTAATAGGATTGAAAACTAACATTAATTTCAAATAAGCATATTCGACGTCAGTAACATGAAGACGGTCGAATTCGAAAAGTAGGGTTTGAATTCGTCGTAGTACAAACCATTTATTTGCTTCATTACTATCCAGTTTTTCTATAGAAAATAAATTTTAATTATAGTCAACGTTCTACGTAACAATATTTGAAGTGTTTCTTTTTTTAACACTGGATATTTCGATAGACAGTTGTAAAACCTGATCGGATTGATCGGTAGTTTTATTTTATCAACATTGAAATATGAGAAAAGAAGTGCCTGCATTGCGCCTTGAGCTGTAACTTTGAAGTCGATATCAATATCAAAATTACAGTATGACTGAAACCGATATTTATGCATTTATTCGGATTTTCTCTCAGAAAATATGTTTTTCTCTTACGAAAACACCCGGCAACAATAAACGTACACAATTTTGAAAATCGCAGACTACTAAATGTTACTTTCTCGGATTGTCAAGGTTCGGCACAACAAAAATCTTGTTTTCAATTCTAAGTGTTCGGTAAAGAAGAAGAAGACATTGATTATATAGTATATTTACTTGCAAGTAGCGAATTAAGAATATTTGCTAGATTGATCATCGATGAACATTGGAGTAGACTGAGAATAAATAATGGCAGCCAATGGTATTGTAAAAGCATGATTTGTGTTTGTGGTCTTTACATATTAATAGAAAAGATCAGATAAATATGTTATTTTAGTGCTGATCAATGAAATTTTTTACTCGAGCGTTTGAAAACATGTATTGTTTTTTATCCAATCAATTGATTGAAAAAGTATACGTGATGCAGATTCACATATAAAACTATTTGATGGTGATGATAATTGAGTCTGTTGAAAATCTCGATTTGTTGGTGGAGTTATTGTAAATTTACTTGTTTTATCATTAACTAATGGGCCTGTGTTAGAAATGGAGAGATTGATGAATATTTATAATTACATTCAAAATAAAAACTATGAGAAACTCACGTTCAACGTGTTCCCAGTAACGTTTTTCATTAAATAAATGTTGTTGCTGCATAATTGATAATGGACTATTACTTGCATTCGAGCGAGTCTAAATAAACAATAAAGAGTTATATTTACATAATAAAGAAAGAGCTTACTTGAGCGGCAGCTTTAGCTAAATTATCAAACGCTCGTGTAATGGCAAGTGTTTGTTGTTGATGATGATTAACAGTTTTCGTGGTATCCATGGTTTCAGTTTTTATATTACAATCAATACGAAGATTAGTCGTACTTGATGATGACGATGATGACGACGAGGAAGACGAGGAAGATGGTGGAGAGAGAAATACAGCTTTACATTCGAAAAACAAAACAAGAAACTTCCGTTTAGATTTAAATCAAAAGAATATTTTATTCCTACGTGTTGGCGATTTAGCTTTTGATGATGATGTTAGAATACTATGCAGAGTACTTTGTTGTTGAGTTTTATTTTCATTAGTTGTTATTTGTGTTACATTATCTCGATTATTCGTTAAATTAGCTAAAAATGATGCTATTGGATAGATTCCATTTGAGGATGAGGACGATGAGGATGATGATGAACTAATTAGCTGGAAAATAAAAAAAGAAAGTTACAATTCGTTTTTTGTATGGCATATTTCTCTCACCGTATTTAATGATATTGTATCATTTTGTTTTCTTATTCTTTGATTATTGATACTATTTACTATCATATCATGCTTACTGTCCGTACTGCATGTGTAAGGTCGTCGTTCATTTTGAACAGCTTCAACACGCATACCAACTTGAAGGCATTTTTGTAGTCGGCAATATTGACACCTTGACAAAAAAAATAGGGAAACATTGTATCACTATCATTAACTATAATCTACCTGTTTCGCATAAATTTATTTATAGGACAGTCTTTTGTGCTCAGACACGTATATAATACTTGTTTACGAATACTACGTTTAAAAAATCCTTTACAGCCCTAAATAGAAATATGTATAAAATAAAATAGCCTTGATTAATTTTTGTTTACTTCACAAGAAAGTACACCATAATGTCTACCCGATGCCCGGTCTTGACAAACGCAACATAATAAAGATAAATTGCCATCAGTTGTTGATGTTGTTCCATCATTATTAATAAAATTTGAATGGCAGTCACTAGGATTATCTTCATTATTAACAAATAAAGAATCTAATTAAAAAAAGAAATACAAGATTTTGTTAGAGAGAACAAAATATTGTAATTTTTTTGCGAACTTGAAAGACTTAGAAGGCCATTTGCTGCCGCAGTTAATTGATTTCTTTGATGAAAAGGCGATATTCCTGACATATCCATTGAACACAGTGAATCGGCTTCAACATTAATCGGATGTGAATTGTGGTTGTTCTCATCCTAAAATATCATATTTATTAAAATTTTCAATCAATGAAAATTTTTTCGAATAGACACAAAATAAACAAACAAATAAAACTAGTTTCCAGTTTGATTCTTGTTTCCGATGAATTACTCTATCATAAGTCTTCGCATGAGAATATGATTAATAAATTCTTCTAGTTTTTTTAAACTGATTTCTTGAGTTTTTACAGCAAAATTTTCTATCCTGTCTAGTCTGATATGAACATGGAGCAAAAAGATACTATCATATTGAAATTATATTATCATTGGACTAAAATAGAATTCATGTTTATTCGGCACATGATTATTCATGGAGAAAATGATCATTGCATTATGTATACTGATTTAATTAATTAACTTAGATTCTATTTTAAAAACTTATTATTTGTTCAAAGCACACCCACACCCTAACTGTTCTTTCTTTTCTTTTTTTTTGAACTGTAAATAGCCCTTGAAAAAAACGAAGACGATGAAGAAAACTTTCAAGTTCATGACATATAAAAAGATTTTTATATATTATTATTTTATAATGATGTTCTATCAAATCTTCATTTTTCTTCCTAGACTAAATCCAAATATAAGTCACTTTTTTTTCTCGAATTTGTTGCTGTTCAATAAAAAAGAGACCTTAGGATTAAACCTATTTACATGCTATTCAATCAATAAAATCATTTTATATTATTTCGAATACAATAGCTATTGATGAGATGTTTCAAGGACGAAAATCATTATCGATTTCATGTTTATTCATCGAGTAATTCTTTTATAATATGTTTTTTCATCTTCTTTGTCTTTTGTGTGCATTAATGAACATGAAATTTGATGTATAGAAAAGATATTTTTATCTTGGATATGAAAGTCTTTATTTCATGGTAATCCAGATGACAGAAGTCAGACGTAATAGTTCTCATAACAAGGCCGCCGTCGATGTTTTGTCGACCTTCACTGTCGAAGGCCGTCGCCCTCACATATCGTCTATCGTCCTTGCCATCATATTCTTCCTTTCTTCTCATTCTACATAGACATGCTCGTTCGAGAAACATTGCTCTCGCATTCTACATGCGTTCAAGGCCAACTTCACAAGGGGTGCTTTTGTAAAAATTGATGAAAAAGCACAATCAGCATGTGCTAATAGTTATCTCTTTATAAAGCTAATTTAAGATATGCCATTAATTCATAAAATTCAAGAACTTACATTTAATCGTTTTCCGTAATTTGTTGCTTCAGAAGATTGAACTATTTGTCTAGGATCTTTTTTTATGCGTTTTCGATGCGGTAAAATTGTATCATGTATTAATAGATCATTATCATCGTCATTCATTTTGTTTTCATCTAAATTTCGGATAGGGCTATTTTGAGATTCACGTTTGTTTAAATCTGATGATATACGGGATACAATGGATGACGTTTGCTGTTCATTATCGTCATTGTCAAGGTCTCTTCGTCGGCCCATTGAAAGTATTTTGTTTCCTTGAGATATTGTACTGTTACTTTTGTTTAATGCATACCTTCTAGTGCCATAAATGTGTGTATGTGTTGTTGGATATATTGAAGAGAATTAGATAAATACGAAATGTAGTATCTTGTGGTTCCTGCAGACGAATAATAACAAAAGTTGAGGACGCCAACGACGACGACAACAACAAATTCGAGATATTGAAGAAAGAGTTGACCTGCTTTTTGCACCCGCTCTTTATCGATTGAGTCGATTGTTCGTTCGTTTTTTTTCTTGCTTTTTTCTTCTCTCTTGGGTATGCGGCCGTTATGTTCTCTCTATTTCCCCTTTTTGCTTTCTACTATGCGTAGAGTTTCAGTTGCCAGTATAGGTAAAGTAGACAGAGAAAACAGTAGTAATGCAAACGTTAGAAAATTTCAATGTATACTTCTTGGATTCGTACCAAAAAAATGTATATATATATATATATTATTCTCATATTGAATGATATAATATATTCTGATGCAAATCGAGCACTAAGTCGATGTTTTCAATCTATGTAAAGATAAGAATATGTTAATAGAAAGAGAAAAGTGTTGAAGGTCATCACAAGAATTGATAAAAAGAATGACTTTCGATTGCGTAGTTTTTTTTTCTTCTTCTTTCCTCTAAACCACTGAAAATATGGATAAAAATAGTAGAAGAAGCAATGATGGATACGATGAAATAGAGAACCATAAGACGAATCTAGACAACTTTGACTACAGGAAGAAAAAAAAAGGTCACAGGGACCGTCGAATAAAAATAACAAAAAGAAATACAGAAAGGGAAAAAACAAATTGATGAGAATGATGACGAATATTGATAGCAGATGATGATGATGTCGTTTTTCCAAATAAAAGAGCCTTCGATACACTTTAGTAACAGCAACAGGCTTCACTTTTTTTCTCTCGCTTACTTTTTATCGTAATCAACGGTTTTGAGATTTAGACAAATATAAGCATACAACACGGGCAAGGAGAGAGAGAGAGAGAGAGAGAGATGGGAGGAAAGAGAAAACACCTTCTAATTGCGTCAGCATGTTCACTAATCATACTCGAAGCCACACCATGTGAGTCAGTTATTATTCTGTTTACGTGCTGCAGTTAATACACGTTATAATTGCGTTTCTTTTTATTAAGTTACTGCATAGACCTATAACCACAATTGCCCTCGAAAGCGTAGACTGCCAAGGTCTTGTTTACAACTTTGAAGTCAATAGAAAAGCCACCTGAAATTGCATTTTTATTTGAATCGAATTTATCATTAACTCTTTTCAGTTATGCATATTAATACACACAGAAAATTTTAATATTTATCAAAAGAGTCCTATTTATACAAAACAAACAACAATATCTCGTTAAAATCGAGAATACAACACAATCTATATTTATATGCATAATATGTATATATATATATATATATGTTCTGTTATGTTTATGGATGTGTGTGTATATATATATATACGAGACAACAAGTCGAACAGAAAAAAAAACTAATAATATAATATAATAAATAACACGGACGAAAAAAAAAAGGAAAACACACCAAGAAATATCACGTATTTGTTATTGATCGTGCTGTTGAATTTAATGTTGGTAAAATGTATAATTGAAATTGGTCATAAACTGTTTTAAGATCTTCTAATGTATATTGATATAAAACTACAACATTTTCTAGCTGTCTATCGTGTTGTAGAGTACAATCGAGACAACGTACAACATGTTTACGATCAATTTCAGTTATAAATAATATATTAAATACTTCACAATCACATGTTATACAATAATGTGCCGGTTCATGCAAAGCACGTAGTTGCTTTCGTACATCAACGCCACGACCAAATTGTTGTTCTAAATAAGATAAGGTTAATTGAATATATTTCAGTGATTGATGTAAAATAAATTTAATTAATTCAAATAAATGACGATCATTAATACGAATATTTCGTGCGATATTCCATGATAAATGTACCATTGGTACCATCGATTTACATGAGCACAAGCGATTCCATTCATAGCGTTCTATAGCTGCATAATATTGATTATATGTTAATGGACCGACGTTCCAGGTTATGTTGTTACACCAACCAATTGATTGTACCCAATAAACACACCTATTGAATAGAATGTTTTATTTATTTAACTGTTGTACAATGTATAGAGAAAAAAAAAAAATATATATATATATATTCCAGATAATGCAATTATCATGCTTAGCCGAGTGACATGTCGATTATTTGTTAATTTAACTTAGATCATTCAAAAAATAGTTTGTTCTGTGTAAAATAAAATGAAATAAAATGTTTCTAAATTTTGTTATAGATTTTATTAGCATAGAACATCTAGTAAAAATATTTAGTTGAGTCGAAATAAATTGTCCATTGTCAGAAGAAATTCTTCAATTGATCAATCAATGTCAATCCGGAACGATTCATATCTTAGAAATTTTAACAAATTATTCTTATAGTAACTCGAGTTCATGTTATTAGCTTATCCCTAGTGAGATATCATGTTCTTTTGCGTTTTTTTGCATGAAAGTCATAGTGTCTCAGAGGAGCATCCAGGTAAATCGATTGATGAAATTTGACTGAGAAACGATAAGCCTATTTGTTATGAATGATGTCAAAGACAAATTTTAACCATCAATCTATAAAATGACTTGATCGTATCACAATAAACTATTGTGTTAAAGATTTCTGACTGTATTGAATTTCAAGTCTATATTCAAAAATTAATTTATTCTGACCATAGCTACAGCATGTTACAAGTAAATACCTTGAAAATGCGACGCTATTACCAGTGATCAGTCAAAAGTACTAAATCATTGTTAATTCATTCAGGCATATAATGATATATATTGAATCGGCTCAAATGTGGCCCACCTCCTCGGGGGGTCTAACCTTGTCAATATCATCGCTTTTCATTCTAATAGTCTGTGGCAAATCATTTATTACACAGATTTCTTTGGAGACATTAATAAATCAAGGATTTTTCTATTCAAATAGTACTTCTTTATCTCGTTTGATGCTAAAATTTCTATTCGACTCGAATAATCTTACCCGGTATTAACAAAAACAAGATCTCCAGGTTTTTGTACAAAACGATAAACAGGTACTTGAACATCATATAAATCGTCTAATAAAGGCCACCATGATCCAGTTAAAAAATCAACACCATGTTTTTCACATAGCGTATGCATAACACCCCAATATTCGCTTGCAACAGCAAACCATTCACAATCTCCAGGACCAATATTAATGTTGATTGCACAAAAATTATTATTTTCTTGATGACCTGGTGCTCTTGATCCAGGTACTTTCATATATAATTGTACACTATTCATACCCAAGACTGTATAGCCAACATGCGATAAAAGATTTCCTGCCGATACAACTCGCATGAATAGTGGTAACTTAGTTAATTCAGATAATTGTGCAGTCCATTTTCGTTCATCTGATAAATCAACATTAGCACCAGACTTTATTATGCGAATCGATGAAAGAGAGTAAGTGTTGGCTATTGAAAAAGAAAAAAAGAAGGTTTTCTTAAAACAAATCTAAGACTTGATTTCAATTATAATCGAATTTTTACTATGATATCTCTTTGAAAAATTAAAATATTCAAAGAATAACGAATGTGATGTAACGAGAAGTAACGGATCTGATCATGTATAAGTATGGGCAAAAACTAAAGGACATTTCTAAGAAATATGTTCTTGTAACAGGAAAAATAAATCTGATAAAAGAATAAAATTAACTATCGACCACCAATCGACTCTATATTATAGTTAAGAAGAAACCAGTCTAGTGATAGCAAAACAAAACTGATGATATTATATGCTTGAAATTTCGAACAAACACCAAAATGTCTTTCTCGAGATAATGAATATCGAAAAAAGAAATTAGTTTCATCACAAAAGGATACTTTTACTGATTAACTCGACAAACAGATCTCTTGTGTCTGCCGTTACAATTTATACTAGACTTTATGTTTAGTATAATTCTCTATTATGCTAACTACAAATATTATGTTTACTTGGTGGTTTATTGATAGTCTTTTTCGCAGTTCCATTAGTCATAATCATATTAGAATTTGCTATTGATCCATTGTTTGCATTGATTATAGGTAAAATTGGTTCGTTCAGTTCATCTTTAACCATATCATGATAAGAATAAGCTTGATATTGTGCATATTTAGCTATAGTTGTATATGAACGTGTTGATTGATATTTCCAAACATTTTTCAATGGTGTTGTCATTGATAAAAAGTCAAAATTTTCATCAATGGCTTGTTGTCGTTGTGTATGTACTTCAATTGTGTGATCAGGTTGACTTTCAACAAGTGTTTTCGTTGAAAATAAACCTAAATCAAGTTTAAGTACATTTGCTAGACCGCGTACAATACATATCGGTTGCGATAAACAATATTGCTGTAATTGTGCTGATGTTGCTTCACGTCGTGTTTCTAAAATAACACTGGGCGTTGCAGGATTAAGATCAAGAGATCCAATTTTAGGTATTTGAGGTGGTTTTGGTACATGACCATCAGGTAAATATGATACAGGTAGTGGTGGCAATGGCGATGTTGAATATTTAATCATTTGTTGTAGATCAATTGAACTTGCATTACTTGTAAATGATAAGGTTTGTTCAGTTTTAATAGGTTTCGGTCGTATAGATTGATCATTGGTTAATAAACGTTTATCAATACGAACGACATCAATCGGTGGTTTCACATTAGCTAAAACAAAATATGAATAAAATAAATCTATCAAGAGAAAATACGAATCAAATGAGATTAATTACTAGTTAGAATAGATGATGGAGTCGTTGAGGCAATCTCAGATGCTGATGGACATTGTTGAGTTGATAGATTATTTGAGGATGATGTTGGCAGAGAAGTATTTGTCGATGATGCAGTTGCCATTTGCTGTTGTTTTGCAGTTAGTTCAACAGGAATTGGAAGTGTGAAAGCTTCTTCTACTTTAGGCAATGGACCACGGGGTCTATCAAGTAAGAAACAATAATTGTAAATACGAATCTTAGTTTTAGTCACTTACTGTTTTCCAATAGCACCTTCAGGTATTTGAGCAAGGCACGATTGCAATTGATTAATACGATTTATTAAATCTGGATTCCAAGATTCTACGATAAATCAAAAACTAGATCAACATATTTAGATGAAATCTACATAAAAGTTTTTTCCCATGTGTCCTTCGACACGCATTTTTGCCTTGATTTCAAGTTGAAAAAATCTATCATACTCTATGATTGCTTACAGGGATAAAGACAATTAGTTCCATTAATGTCAAAATTTCTTTCAAGAGGTATGCAGATGAGATTTCAAAAGTTGTTGATCATTAATTCAATAAAAAAATGGTCAATTCTTTTTTTTTGTTTGTTTTTATTTCAATCTGTAGACCATGAAAAAGAGCTAAAATAAGATTTCTAGTCAATTGCATTATCTGCTTATTATAATGTGACCTAGCGGTGATGCCCCTGACATCCAGACATTGCCACTCCTGCTTTTAACTATGAGAGACACTTCTAAGTTTCCATTTGTCACTTATAATCGGAACACGAATTGTTATTAACTAGCCAGAGAAAAAAACACTCAAGGACGGTGTATTAGTTCGCGTGGAATTATGGTTTTCACCAATACAAAAAAAGTATTTAATACTACGTAGCGAAAACCCACTGTGCTATTATCAGAAAGTAGAAATCAAATCTTCATGTTTATAATAATGAATACTTTAGACAATAAATTCGCAAATAGAAATATCATAAACAGTTGAGTGAATCATATTAGAAACTGACTCAAAAGAGATTTTTTGGGTATTTTCCAGCTAACGACTCTCCTACCTATTTGTTTTTACTTTTCTGATATTAGAAGATACGGATCTATGTCATATACTAAAACATGTATTCATCGTCCGATGAAGAGTCGAACGTATTTCAGTAATTCAATTGTTTTCATTACCATCTTTATCTATAATAGCTTTTTTATAACAAAAAAGTGCATCTTGTGCTTGTCCACTAGTTTCATATAAAATTCCTAAATCCATCCATGCTATAGCATGTTTATTATCAATTTGTATTGCACAGACAAATGCTTGTAATGCATCCATCGTTTGATTTTGATGTTGATAAAGAACGCTAGAAACATTAAAAACATCTTGTGTTATTTATTATTATTATCTATTGATTTTCTTTACCCAATTGAGCACCAAACATCAGCATTTTGATCTAATTTATCAACACAATTTCTATATGTATAAAAAGCTTCTGTATGCTTTCTTAATGCTGCATAACATCGTCCTAAATAATAATAAGTTATTCCGCATGTTGGATCACATTTACATGCTTGTTCTAATGTAGTGATAGCTTTTTTTATTTGATTTTCTCTTTCGACATTTAAACTATCTAAAGTTGAATTATTCGTTAATGGCGCATAAAAGTAAAGCCAACCAATTTGTCTTAAAACTTTTCCTTCCAATTTTGTTGCGACTACATCTTGTTGTAGTAATAATTTTTCATAAAGGCTCTCAGCATCAGCTAAATGTCCTTGTTGTTCATGAACAAAACCGATTAAATACGATAGTTCCGAACGTGTTAACGAACAAACACTATTCGAATCGCCCAATGCACGTTGAAAATACTTTAAACTTGATGAATAATCGCCTAGTTTTTTATAAATTAATCCTAGACGAAGATGAATATCACTTCGACGTGGAAATTGACTATCAACATAAAGAACTTGTTTATAGGCACGTATTGCACTAAGATACAAAATAATTTTTCTTTTCTATGATTGAACGAGCAAAAAATCTTACTGATTATCGATACCATAATGATGATAAACAATACCAAGTCCAAATAGGAATTCTGCATTCTTGAAATAAATACGAAGATTGATTTAGAAAATGCAAACAAGTAAACGATGACTTACTTGATTCAGTTTTGTGTCTAATGCGTATGCTGCTTGATATGCAGAAAGAGCTAAAATAAAATAAAATAAAATATCCTTACCATTTCAATTATTTTCTCTAGAGCGACATAGGAGATCGAGCAAAAATTTGGTTCTTATTTCTCTTTAGTAACACACAGAGACGTGCACAGGGCAGGACGGTCCTGTTTTGTAGAGTAGGATGAGATTTAGATTTTGTCCTGTCCAGCCGCCAGAACCAAGGTAGCCAGCAGAACAGGAGAAAAAAAGATGTCCTGTGCACGTCTCTGGTAACCCATATTGAAACAAATCTTTTCTTCTTTTTGAATTAGCCATGAGGAACGTTCTTCTCTTTATCGAATTTATACATACATAAACCGAATAACATGAAAAAGTTTCTGTCAATGATTTTTGCAATTCATTTTTTGTTTTTCTGCAAAAACTTCACAATTATAAAAAATTGATGTGTATAATTTTTCAGCGTTTGTTTCTCGCTAGGAATTACTTTTGGATTAGTTAACGTTGACTAAAACTATAATGACTATTAACAAATCTTACGGGTTCAAAGATTTATTGGCTTGTTATTCTCATAGTCTTCAACTATCATTTTAGATGATCAACTCAACGTATTGATATAGACATGAGCAACGTATCGATCTTCTCATGCTATTCATTTTATCAATGTGGAACAATAAAACTAGTCCATATGAAAAGCAGAAGTAAGAAAACGTTCCCATAAGGTAATAAAAAAAGGTATAGGTCAATATTCTGTCTCTTAATTCTGAAATTATATGAAAATTGCGTGCTCATTGTGAGTATGGGTCTGTCTTGCCATTGGATTGATTGACACTGGCGTAGAATAAAAAGCAAATTTTTCTTTCAGTCTTCTTATTGAAGTGAAACTGAGATTGAGATTTAGGTCATTAATTTTGCACGACACTTTCTTTTATTCATATTTTTTCTTAATCATAAAATTAAGATATGAATTTTAGCTGTTATACTTCCTTAAGTTCTAATTACAAGGAAAATTGTTTCGAATATTGATGACGTTAGGAATGCATTGAAAGTCACTAATAATTCGGTTGTTTTCTTTCGAAAAGAAATTCCTATCATGAGTAAATCTACTCATTGGTTAAATTCCAAGTAAATGATTCTAGAGTATATGTAATCCATCAATCAAGTAATAATCACTTTGTTGTAGAGAACAGATTACAGTGTTCTTTCGCTGTTTGATTCAATTGATTAATAAGAATTACCTTTAGAAAAATCTTCTAGTAATAGATGCCAATGGCCAATATTAATATAATACTGAGTTATTTGTAATGATTCTTTTTCATTGCGCACTTTGTCTTCATAGAATTGTATAGCCTAAAATCGAAACATATAATAGAACTTTGACTTGGTAGTTATTAGTTTTTACCATAAGTAAGAACTGCCGGCGTGGTAGATCTTCTGGCTTGTCAAAATGAATGAGGCCATACAGAAGACTAAAAATCATCATAAGAAATAAAGAAACAATTAAATTGAATTGAAATGAAAACGTTAAAATATATTAGACATACATGTTGTCATTTAACATGATCAATAGTGTTATTTGACGTCAAAGTCTTCTTTTCTTTTACAATATAACAATATAGTCGAGAGTATGAACACTTCTTTTATCTATTCTTTCAAAAAAATTGGCATTTTATTATATGATTGTTCGTTCTTACACTCAATTCATCATTAGTTGTGCTATTTTTATCTTCTTTTTTTTGCTTGCTATTTGACTATAAGATAGATAGCAATAAGCTCCGTTCATTATTTCTTCCTTTTTTATGCAGCGATCTTCTCCTTCGTCGTTTTTGCTCTTATCCTGTGCTATGTTATTTTCCCAGTCCGATAGCAATTTGTTTTATATAAGATGCGTATATATGCAGAAGAGGTCGAAGAAGAAGACGAGGAGGAGAGAAAAACGAGTCTTTTGATTTCACTGTTATTATTACTACATTTATGTCGCATGTCTTGCGTGCATCTTGCATACATGTAGAGTGTGTCCAACAAACGGCGCCGCCAGACAACGAGCAATGTTATAACTTAAGGCAAACACGAAGAAGAAGAATAATAAGAAGAGGATAAGACAAGAACGGCGAGCATAAGAATATAACTATCACTCACTCGTCACTATCAACAGTCGTATGAGAAAATAGTCGATGTACGTGTATGTCCCATGTGTTATCTCAGGATATAATATTGATGCATATTGTATAGCTACATTGATCTAACTAATCATTGATGATCAATATTACAACGATTAATTTTTGATTTTATCTTCGTTTAGTATCAAAAGGCGAGTTTAGACATTCAGCAGATATTGTTGTGGACTTTTTTCTTAGGCAAGTAAGTACAGAAAGGTCAACAAACCAATGCATGGCAATCTTTTAAGTAAATCATCAGGATGTTTTTCGGATAGAAAAATTCAGATTTGCATACAGAAAAGAAAAGAATTATTGATTCGAGACCAGACGTTTATGCGAGTAATCTCTCGAATAGGAATCTATCTGGATCGGTTTTATTCATAGATAAAGTAAGGATTAGGATCAGGGAAAAAACTAGAGATATTTATTCAAAAAATTGATTTAGTATCAAATATTGGACTGAAAAGATAAGATCAGAAATCTTACTAGGAAAATAATTATAGAAGCAAAAGAATCAATACTGATTTCTATAGATTTTCTTTTCTATTTCAATTAATAAGAAAGTCGAATTAAACTAAACAAGAAAAGTAGTTCAACCGAATAATTGCGTGCAAGTTCTTACTACCTGTATTCTATTGAGATCGAAAAGTTGTGAATGCCTTTAAAATAGTTCGAATTCTCAGCTTGTGACTGTAAATATATTGCATTTTATCGTATTTGTTAACTAGATGTCATGTTTTCTCTTCGAAAAATTGAATTTCGCAACTCAAATTTACAATTTTGAATTAGTTTGTTGCTTCTATCATAATACTTGAGCTTGAGACAATTATGTCTTTTAAATCGCTCATACACACTTACACGGTAATTTCATTTCCACATAGAAGAATATGCATGTACTTGAAATTGGCGCTATCTTTTAGTTGGCTCGATATTTGAACATGAATGTCTTACACGATCATTAGATTAAAAATATATCATCAAACGGCAACGTCTCCAGAGAAACAAGTGAACTGCCAGAAGTCTGATTAGAATAGTCATAATGAGTTTAGTCCTAAATGAACAATGACTAATTAACTAAGAGATTTGTCGCACAGAGATTATCTGTGTAGGAAGTGACATGTCGACAAAAAAAAGTATAGCACCTTCATTGTCATTCTATGAACTCAAAGAATTCATCTAGAAGTCTTCATATTAACCCTCAACGGTTACAGATATGTCTAGTAACAGAATATAGAACGTGCTAAATTAAAAAAGAAGTCATCTATTTTTGAAAGAGAATTTATTAACGCTGAACAAAAGAAAAACTTATTACGATCAAAAACCAATCGCATTGCGTAAAAATTGTACTTAAAATATCAGTAGCAATGATTACGACTAAAAACATTGAATTTTATTTTCTTCAGTCATTACAAGTATCTTTTGTTTTAACAACATAGTCTACTTTATTAAATAGAAGCGAACAATAGAGAAAACACATCGTTATTTCACAATTCTTTCTATAACATAGGTTTATGCTCACTTAAACTCGTTGATTTCAATCATACAAGATCTCTAATCTAATATTGAGTAAAGTTAAATTTGTAGTACACTCGATTCGATAAACGCTTTATTCTTAATGCGTCGAAACTGCACTACAAGCTGTAGATTAAAAAATTGTATCTATCAAGTTTCACTCTTCTAACAATTCAATTGCAATTAATAATGATTTTATAGAATTAGAAACTTTTAAAATAATAGAAAAACCCAAATGAATTATTTTTAACATCAAAATTTTCTTTTATTTCAGCATTTTCATTTACGTAAGAAAAAAATTCGGAAAATGTATTCAAGAACATCATGAAATTGAAATATGAAAGTTGAAATTTTTTGTTCTTTTTACTATTTAAAATCTTTTATGCACGATTTTGAGATATTATTTGTATCTAGATAAGGCTATTTTTAAACTATTGATAGTAAGTATCAATGAGATTATAAAAAAAAAATATTTCAGGACTCAATTTAAATATATATTAAATTTTTAATTCAATAAATAAGAACTTAATCGATGTCAAGACTCATATAATATAAACAAACAAATAAATAAACAAAGAACAAACTTGACAATTAATATGGATTCGCACCTGTCATAGTCATTTTCTAGAATATCAGTTTCTTCATCAGTCAATTGTATTGATGACAATGATTGTTCACTCATCGGCCAAACTTCCGTTTTGTTTTTTGTGATAACCAATATTGTTTATTTTCTTCAATAAAAAATACTGATCAACAGTTCCTTCTCCGTCTTTTTAGATTCTTTACAGTTCAATCTATTGGTCAGTTTATTAACGAATACAACTAGACTTTTACGACACCATTAATTATCTTTATTTTTATCCTCTACTCGTGTCAGTCAATATATATGTATATACATATACGTATATCCCGATTGCCGATAGGAGGCGTCACTGATATTTATGCGGTACAGAATATCGGTACGTCTATCATAATCATATAATTGCCGTTTACTAAACGTATCAAAATGTTACTTCGATATTATCGATAAATACAAATATTCAATTAATCGTCCTATTGGTTAAATGCATAACAACCAATCGTATAAATTGAGGCACAAATAGCTGATTAAAATAGATCAGAATGTTACAAATATTATATAAACTAAGTAGGAATCAACACCTTGAGTATCTACTTTTTTTTAAAAATATATGCTAATCTACACAGTTGGCAATTGAAAAATAGAATACTATTTTCTCACTTTACTCAAGACACTTACATACTACTTTATGACCTGTAGAAACTGTTTGTTGTGTTAAATAAGAGTTAATGTTGTTGACATAAAATAATATTTGTCTAAAATAAGATCAGTTGAGTTTATAATTATTTCATAATGAGTACATGTTTTATTACTATTGATTATTTTATTGATGACCAGTTTCTAATTGCTATTAAAGAACAGAAAATACTATAATACTGTAGTTTCCATAAATAAATTTTATTTTTAAATATTTTTCATATAGTAACATTGCAAGAAAATATTTGTTTATAAATTTCAATTTAAAATTCTGCTTCTACCTTGAGATGGATTTTCATTATAACAAACCAATGCAATAGATGTAGATTTATTTTCGGAAAGAAAGTATGTGATTCGACTTTAATTATTTTCACGTTGTGTAAAAGAAAAACCATGAGAACAATTACAGAAAGTACATCTTTTTTTTTCTAATGAAGCTTTAGAGCAGTATCGTCAACTAACTGATACGAACAAGATAAAATAAGGAGTTAAATTGACAGAACAAAAAACTTAATCCTCAATTAATTTTTAATAAATTATAATATTTTATTCTATATTTTAGTATATCGACTTGATGAGGACGATTGTCGGTATATTTCGTTTTAAATTATTATTGATTGCATTTTGTTATTGAACATATATTTTAACTAATGCATAATATCAATGTTACAATGTATCTTCTTAAATGGAATCATCCGCAGGAAAACATATTTTATCTAGTTGACAGATTTCAAGAGGTGCACATTTATTAATCAAACTAATGAATCCTAACAATAGTCAGTAGTATCCAGAAATTTTGCAAGAAGAACACATGAGTATGTATGCGAATTACGATTCATTCAAACTTGAAAGATAAAAGTAATACAAATTATTGGGATAGATTTACTTTCCGCACTTTTCATTTCGATTGAAGATAAAGTGGACCGTTTTTAATTTTCTTTAAGTTAAATAACGAAAGAGGTACGTAGAAATTGAACGATCGACCAGAATATGAGTTAGTTGCATGACATGGTGACGTGCAACTTGTATTCCGGGATTCGTCTCGAAGTGACTGCACACTATCAGAAAATTACTTCCAAGAAAATATATTCACTTGCGGCAAAAATGCTGTGGAATAAACTTCGACTAGGTTTTCTTTTAGTTAGCATATATCTTACGTCATACATCATTTGCTGTAGTTTCGAATATTTGATTCATTTCTTGCTAGAAGTATTTTGAAATTCTAGGGCTTCTCAATTCTTTTTTTTTAAATGTGTTCGAAGAATCCATGCATATTGTGACTACATGGGATGCCGCTTTTCCTTTAAAAAATCACAAAATTTCTTCTATGGTCAGTATTAAATATATTGTAGATTTAGAATAGTTAATGAGCGTACCTATCAAATAATTTGATATTCATCTCCGCATCAGTTTTTAGCAAGTTAACTTTTGGTTTGTCTGTAGTTATTCGAATAAAATGTCGAATAAAACGTTTCACAGATTTAGTAAAAGTATGTCTATCACTATTTCCGTCTAGAATAAATTCCTTTTGATGTATACTTCCGGGAAAAAAATCACGCCTCTACGTTGCACAACATCGTTCTAGTGTTGCGAAAACAAAAGTAGAAGAATGAAAATTTTGTTCTTTGCTCCGGTCACCCTTTTTTTTAATTTTTACATGTACTCTCGAACTATCACATTGATTTTTTTCCTGTTCTTACTCTTTTCATGCGTTTTTTTATTTAGCAAATTTCTGCATCTAGTACTTTTTTTTTAGTTGCAACTACGTCGTAAGCATTTTTCGTCATGAATTTTTTCCATAATGATAACCTTCAAATAGCTGAAAAACATGATCACTCTTTATTACTTTGTATTAGATAGTTAAAAGAATGTGCCGATTACTATGAACACTAAAAATAAATCATACTCTCTGTCGCTAAGTAATATGAGCATGAGCATTATATTATCATCATTACCTTTGAAAAAGATACTAAAAGAACGCAAACAAACTATTTTTATACTTTTTTTTACTCGGCTGAAGCGGAAACTTGTTCCCATAAGAATACAATTGTGACAAATTCTTATTGACACGAGAAGTATGCTTATCATGTAAGTTTTATTACGTGCTTTTTTCTTTATTTGGCGCTTCTATATGTTTTGTATGACAAGTAATTTTATTTTGTTCATTTTCTTATTTTAGATATTTGTAATAATAGAATTTCATTTACTATGCTGCTTAATAAATCATTGTATTGATATCATTTCATTGATACGTTAAATAATAACTCGCTCTTTCATATCTTCTATTATCCGTTTCAAAATATAAGAGGCTCCACTGTAACTTGAATAGTTTTTGCTAGGAAGAAGATAGAGAGCTGTGGTTTTCACCATTCGAAAGAGAAATGTTGGGGCTATCGAAAAACATAAGATACATAGTTATTCAAGAAACTATTTCTGGGTTTCTAGAGACTTGGTTTTTCAGAAACCCAAGGTTTTCTGCATTCTTCTTGAAGGCGCAATTCTGATGGTATCAGTTAATGGCCAACAGTTTTTTGAATCGCTCTACGCAAAGCCGAGATCTCTAGAGTATTCCATTCAAAAGATCTAGTGGTTTTCCAGAAACCTAGGATTTTGAAGAACTGGTCGTAGATCATAACAAAATTCATCAGAATATAGTTAATCAACTATGCTGACTCGAATGGTGATGTTTATTTTCAGCTTCAATGTGATTTCAAGCCACCAGACGAGAACTTTCTGAAATTCAAGTTTTGCTGTTATAAGATGTATAAATCACAAATATCGAGATTTCCGTCTAATAGCTATGGATCACATGGAAGCTGAAAATAAACATCACCATTCGACTCAGCATAGTTGATTACCTATATTCTAATGAATTTTGTTATGATCTACGACCAGTTCTTCAAAATCCTAGGTTTCTGGAAAACCACTAGATCTTTTGAATGGAATACTCTAGAGATCTCGGCTTTGCGTAGAGCGATTCAAAAAACTGTTGGCCATTAACTGATACCATCAGAATTGCGCCTTCAAGAAGAATGCAGAAAACCTTGGGTTTCTGAAAAACCAAGTCTCTAGAAACCCAGAAATAGTTTCTTGAATAACTATGTATCTTATGTTTTTCGATAGCCCCAACATTTCTCTTTCGAATGGTGAAAACCACAGCTCTCTATCTTCTTCCTAACAAAAACTATTCAAGTTACAGTGGAGTCTCTTATATTTTGAAACGGATAATAGTAGCTAATCACTATCTAAATGGTCACATACATTTCTTTTAAACTGTTTTAGATAGTGTTCCTTGTAATTTTGATATTAAACTTAAAACTTTCATTCAACTATTTCAAAAGGTATGTTATTATAAATGAAATAGAAATTTTCATTAAAAATATAAATTGAACATGCGAACTTTTTTCGTCACAATAAGATAAGAACATGATTTTCTGTTGAATATAATTTTGTAAAACTGATACATTAATTACTAAACAAAGAACTACCGTCAACTCATTTTCTTAACTACGACTCGTTATCGTAATGATCAATACATCTTTTATATTTATATTTTTCGAAAAAATAGGAATCTATTTGCATTTCCTGAATTAGCTAAATTTGATGAAAACTAAAAGGAAAACCTAATGAAGTTGGAAAAATATTCATTAGGACTCTTTTTTTTCTAGTTTCATCACAAAAAACATGCATTGTTCATAATTGAGCTTTTGTGACACGATCACTATGAGTTTCGTGACACGACAAATATCCTTTGTCCTATTAACGGACGCATTCACTATTCTATGATAGAAAACCACGTAGTAATTATGTGTTATTTTCTAAATTAGATTTACTATTTATGTCAAAAAGCACACGAGGAGATATAAGTAATCCGAAAATAACATAAGAGCAAAACAATTGACTGACTTGCATTTCACCTCGTTCTACGGTGATATATTTACATTTTACACGGTAGTCATTTCTAGATTTTGCTTCGTATTTGTGACACACTTATGTGTGAATCATTTATCACGTATTATTATTATTATTACGTTGGTATCATTTCGGCTTAACTAGGTCACAGAGTTAATCATAAAAATGCTTATTACGATCAAAATCTGATAAGATTATAAAAATAAACATAACGAATATTGAGTCTTGGCCCGATTGAACTTTTACGTTTTCGTATACATTGCCGTGTAAGCATAATTCTACATCTTCTTTGAGTTTCATTCAAAACTATATTCACTTATAGCAGCATTTTCTAACCAAAACATAACTTGTATTCTAATTAGTGTTAAGGGCTGAGAACTGAATTCGAATAAAAAACTTCATCGCTGAATAATTCTTGTCTATTAGCTTCGTCATTATTGAGACCGAACAGCAGCTTTGCTAGAAACTTTGTGTGATTGAGTATATGTTAAATAGCGCGCGTGTATGACAATAGTTTTTTCTTTTCTTTTAATAGTTTTACGATATTAAAATAAATCGTTGTGTTCTGTTAAGTTGATCCGTTCGGTTTTATTTAATCATTGGTGCGTATATGAACAATTATTATGTTAAAATTATGTGCAAATTAAAATATTAAGAAATGCTTGAATTAACAACATTAATGATATTTACTTGGCTGACACTACGTGTTCGTTATGTAAGATATATAGAGATAGAAGTTTATTTTTCAATAGATTAAATTTTGTTTTTATTAGTTTCATAGTTATATTCAAAATTTTGTTTTCTTTGATATTGATATTAATAACAACGTTATCGTCCGTTGGTTATGCTCATTTGTAATGACAGACGATCCAACAGCAAATCAAAAATCAGCTCAACAAACAGCAACATTATCAATGGATGGTTTGATCAATCTTAGACAAACAAAAGCCGGCTTATGCGCAGCATCAGCATTTTTAATACCGAAAAATCTTATGGCATTTTTTGAAGAGATACCAATAGATTCTTCGGATAAACCACATCCGCGTTCGGGTCATCGAGCTATAGCAACTGAATCAGATTTATGGATATGGGGTGGTTATTATCCAGCTAATGATAATCAACCAGAACGCATGTTTCAAGAGGTAATATAAAATAACGTTAATTATTAAACGTTGCATACATTTTTATTGACAGCTTTGGCGTTACAATTTTGCTCTTCGTCGATGGACTCTTGAAACAACCACAGGCGATGGACCGACTCTTACTCTTGCATCTCATTCGAGTATACGATAAATATTGATTTTTTTTTCGTTTACTAAGTAGTTTTATTATTTAGTGTGTTTATTTCGAAATTCACTTCTTGTGTTTGGTGGAACAGGGTTCCCATTTGGTCAACATGTTTCTAATGATTTATTTGTACTTGATCTTAAACGACGTCATTGGAAACGATGTCGAATACTTGATGAGCAACCAGAACAAGTCTATGGAGCCGTATGTTTAATCTATGTTTTTCTTTCGGAAATTTATTAACGAAGCTCTTACTGTTTTCTCTCTCTCTCTCTTTCTAAAGAGTATGCTTGTGAATGATGATCATTTATATATCTTGTGTGGCACAAATAGTTGGACTTATAATTCAGATGTGTACGATATTCATTTACCTACATTGACCTGTAAACATATAGGCCGTACATTTGATGAAATTGAAGATCCAAGTGAAACAGGAAGGTAAATATTTCCTTGAAAATAAAATATCAAATATTCGACCTTTTTCTTTTCTCTTTTGCGAAGATATCGGCAAGAAGCTTATATATATAAAAATAAAATCTTTTTATTTGGCGGTGGTGGAGTTTCTGGTATATCATTTTCATTTGAACATGTAAGTACAAATCTCTGATTTAATCAATTTTTATGAATAAGAGTATTTCGAAAAGAAAAGAAAGTATATCTTAGAATACTTCAAGTATTTTGAATCATACAAATTTACATCATACCGATATTTGAACAACCAGAGTTATCTCTATTTTGAACTGTCCAAGTCATAGTAGAGAAGAATTGATCAAATTGAGTAGGTTTCAAACATTCGCTCGTTCAGAATTCCATCTAGAAATATTATTTCATATTCGAAATTTCCATTGCGACTAAAAACGTGTATCGATGAGTACTATTCAATATTTAAACATTCTAAACATTTTGTATCTTTTTTTTTCAGTTACCTGTATTTGATCTTACGTCTGGGCGTTGGTCATTTGTTCAAACGAATCCCGATCCAATATATAGTAAATTTTATATCTAATATTTTGCATTCGTTAATTTTTTTCAAAATAGATTTTCCCACGGGGCGAAAATTTCATTCCATATTTCCATTTCATAAGAACCAAATAATTATGTTTGGTGGTGCTCATTTTCATCATTTAATAAACCGTCATATTGCTGTTAACAATCGTATATGGACATTTGATTTTGAAAAACTAGAATGGTCTATACTACCTAAATTGACTATGTCGCGACCGACTTATTTTCATGCTGCAGCTATCAATGAAGTAAAATTTTAGATTTAGCATTTTGTTATTTTTAAATATATATCTTTTGAATATTTTTAGCGAGGTGAAATATGGACTCATGGCGGTGTTGTTAGCGAATCGAGATCAATTAATGATATTAATAATTATACTGAAAAACGTATAACATCATTGCACAAAATGCATACACGAGTACAGAATTTAAGTGAATTAACTTGGAATTATTTTTTGAATTCTCTACCGGATCGAACTTGTCTTATTACACAACCTGAACTTTTGGTTCAACTTGGTGTACCACCACGATTTACTGAACGTATTCATTAAATAAATTGACTTTTTTCTTCTTTGTGTAAACATATGAACCTTTGTCTACAATAAAAAATATAAGCAACGGTGATACAAAGATTTACTTACTTTCAACTAATATGTTTTATGACAAGAAATTTTACTTGACTTGAAATTTGTCCTGAAAAGATAAGATTTGTTAAATCGATTGTTGAACAATAAACTTTTTCTTTATTCTCATCGTTGAGAATGTATTCATGCATACGATGAACCTTCAAGTGAATATGTAAATACATTCGATGTAATAAAATGAATCTATGACCAATAAAATTAATGAACCGACGAAAGGTAAGGTTAAGCTACAGTAATGAATCTAACGTCGAGTATATGGTCTTGTAACATTATTTAATTGAGATAGTTTATTAAAGATAAGTTTGTATGATGATGGCAATCGAGTATATGTACATGTTCAAGTGACTTGTTATTGAGGTTTTCTTTGCATGACAAGTGGACTTGTATGATTTATTGATTTTAAATAGTTTGCGGAAATTTTGTACTATTATATCAGAATTTTCACGAATATATTTGACGGATTTATAAATTATTAAGCACGATATTATTATCGAATCAATTTGACAAGAATAGAAAGTTCTCCATTTGTGTATTAGGTAACTTCGACAATGCGAAAAAGTCGTCATTTATTATGTTATTGTGAAGTTACTATGTGTGTCTAATGAAAAGTATTGTTTTAAAATACAATAACGTTCAATGCGTGCTTACATCAGGAGACTTATCATGGCTATAAGATAAATAGCAAGTAAGTAACTCATTAGGTTTATGTAATTCGACTAAAATTTGCAACTCTTATCAAAGACGAGCTGATAATAATCAATTCATTTCAACCTACTTCTTTTTATATTGGCTCTATGACGTAATAGAAGTATTCTCATTCATACCGAATAGTACAAAGTAATATAAATATTAATGCAATAACACATGATAGATAAATATCAGCTTGATTCAGTAGAAAATATTTCCGATCAAACAAACATGCTTATACATTTCATATTCATTTTGAATAGGAACTCAATAATGCAAATCTAATACTAATAAGGAAATCGTTCCAACTGTTGTAATATGTTATTTTAATTCATCGCAGACTTGCTTTCTCATTCAAGCCAGTGATGATTTATTTAAAACAATGCATATACACATATGGAAAATTATCTTTCTATTGAGTAAACTAGCCAGTCTTACCTAGTCAGATATAGATATCTCCTGATAATATGCTTTGCTTACTAACCACCTATCGATCTACTTTCAATGTACAACTAATATGAACCATCGGTGTTTATAGTAAATACATCTAATTATCAGCGGCATCTACAGCAAATAGTTTAGTTTCTTTTCTTGTCGAATTTAAATTCTCTTTCAAGTATAGAATATAGTTACTGTATAACATTTGAAATAAATTTATCATAAGATTATATGACTTTAGAGGTGAATGATAACTTTTTATTGGTTGTCTCATGCCTTCTACAATGTATTAACGGCCGCCATTGATGTAAAATTTTGCGGCTTTTAACCAGTCTTAAATTTGCTTGTTCTCTCTCGCTATTTTGCCTACCTGATGTTTTTTTGCCTATTTATTTTGCGAATGAGAATTTTTCTTTCTTTTAGTAAAGATTCGATTATTTTTTCTTAATTGAGTTTTAATTGATTTTCAGATAAATAGCTATTCTGAGTATTTTTTAAACTGATACGAAAGAATTGTATTCTTCAAGTTTAACTATCGATAAAATGAAGATCATTTGAGCATCCGGTTTTTTTCCTTCTTTTCTTTTATCCATTCTAAAATAAAAAGACTCATTTTCGTTTGTTCTTCTAAGCTATGTAAATACTGCTCGTGTGAAGTCATTCATTTTCATGTAGTTTGTCAAAAGAAACAAAAGTTAAACAAATTGTTTCATGATGATGTTCATCACTATCTACAAGTCGAGACATACTTATCATACAGACATCTTGATCTTGGGTGATATCAACAACTATAATTATATTCACTCTCATGTAAGTTGATTGATTGGCTATAATGAAAAGAAAAGGCAAGCATCTTTAATGAGTATATTGTATTATTGGCTCCCACATTTTCCTTCCTTCTATCTTCATGCAAATCAGCGAGATCATCCTCTTTTTTTTTCTTCTTCGTCTTCTAGTCAACACTATCATCATTGCCAGTGATTATCTATTTTCTTTGTTCCGTTTTTGGATGAATGTATAAGAATGCGAGTTTGCGCGTTCTTTTCTTTGCTTGCTAGTTCATATTTCTGCTGCTCGCTGACCTCGCCTTGACTGATATTGGATATGCACAAAATAGTAGCAGTCGTTCTAGTGGTTGGTTTGTGCTCATCCTCATTTTTTCGATGTTTTTCTGTTCATCCTCCATATGATGTATTTCTTTCTCATTTTGTTTTTACTTTGCAGAAAAGAGAATTACTATGAACCATCAGTGTATGCGAAAAAAATTGATTTCCCTTGTGAGGATCTTTCTTCTCTCTGCCGTTCTCTTGTCGGGCCGGCATCGTGAGAAAATGCTGCACCATCTATCACTTACGGCAATAGTTATTTGTGGTTTTTTTTCCTTCTTCTTCTATTCATTTTGTCATATAATGTAACTAAACACTAAACATACATTTGTTAAAGATAGAAATAAACTATATTTATACATTAAAAGATGGTAATCTGTGGTACAGATCTTGTGTCATCGATATTACCTTATGTTCATATACTTTCATCATCGTCATCATCAACATATTGTTCACAATGTTTAAATTCATCGAATGATTTAAAACGTTGTTCGAAATGTCATAGAACATCATACTGTTCAATATCATGTCAACGAAAAGATTGGACTTATCATAAACATGAATGTTCGCATTTACATACAATTAATGATGAATATGATTTAACGCGACTATTTCTTCGTTTAATAATACGTTATAAACAAGATCATGGTATTGAAAATACTTCAACAAAACGTTCTATAAGTGATCTGACAACACATGAAAATGAAATTTATAATGATAAACAACGTTATAAAACATTCCAATTAGTCTATCAATATTTAAAATCATGGGATTTATTTGAAAATATTGCTGAAAAATTAACATTTGAACTTTTCTGTCGTTTAGTTATTAATACATTAACAATACATGATACAATTGATTTCAAATCTATTGGCTATGGTCTATACTTAGATGCAACTATATATAATCATTCATGTATGCCAACATGTCATACAATATTTAATGGAATTTATTTATCTATACGAACAATATCGGATCAGTTAAATAATGAATGGACTATAAATTATATTGATTTGTTAGAATTATATGAAAATCGACAGCAATGTTTACGTAGTAACTATTATTTTACTTGTCAATGTAAACGTTGTTTAGAAAATGATAAACATGAATTAATTTTATTAGATAAAATTCATCATGAAGAACAACAAATGGATAAATTTATAAACAAAAATGATTTTTTTGATGCATATCAATCAAGTAAAAACCTATGTGATTATTATAGTAAAATCCTGCCATTTTATCATGCTTATGTTTCATTACATCATGTTAAACACTTGAAATTAGAATTATTCTTAGCTGATACAATGTCTGATATTACAATTCAATCCACAATGAAAAATACTTGTGAACGTGTAAAAATATCTATGGGAGAAAATCATCCATTAACACGTGAAACAATAAAATTATGTGAACATTATCAACTAGAAATGGCACTTAAAAATAGACAGATTACTGCATGATAAGATTCAAGATTTTATTTTATTCAAAATACTATAATCATGAAAATTGAAGGTCTATCCATAGAAGAAGAAAAAAAAGAACCGGTAATTACTTTAAGACATGTTGTTACAATCAAAAGATATATATACTATGATATCTGCCTCGGGTTAACGCTAACAAAACCGAAGCTAGTATGATACTGAATAGTAATCGCATATGGTTAGTCTATTTTTTGTCGCCTTTGATTTTTACACATGTCTGACATGTGCTCCACCCCTTTTGTTTAATCCTCGTGCTTAGTTTCAATTTTTTTTTCTTATAGTTCAATTACAAGAGATATATCAAATATCTATTCTAGAGCGTTGATTATTGTTTTCGTTAGATATTTGTTTCGAAAATGAAAATCAATACAAATTTAAACGTCAAGGAAAGTTTCTTTTCTTTTTTTATTGAGTATAAATTATCCGTAACTAAATTCAGCAAGAATACAATAGAGAGCATATACATGAATTGCTATTTAATTCAATCGTGAAGAAAAGGAACAGCCTCTTTGTTCATTATTATTTGTATTCATGTCCATATGTGCTAACATTACGAAGAGAGAAAAAACCCATTTTTTTATCGACTTCGTCCTTCGAGAGTATAATTAACTTGATATAAATTGACAAACACATTTATTAATAAATATGAATTTGAAAAATCACTTGTAAATGATTAATGAAACTGTTGATTAAGAGAAATCTCTGATTCGTCATATAAATCATTTTAATTGAGCGTTAGTTTTATCGCTGAACCTTAGCTACTTAAGATGTTGTGTATTTTTATGGTTTTCGTTCAATGTTTCATTTTTATGGTCCAAGTTAAATATAGAACAGATTAATATTTATGTCGAACTCTTACATTATGTGTTTCGAACAGAAAAGCATAGTGAACGGAAGCCTAACTTGAACTTGTTGTGATTTTGCCGCATACGCTCTCAGGAAGGAAGGAAGCAAAAACCATTAGGTACGTATGAATAGTTATCGACAATACAAGACGTGAGGCTCATTTAATAGAGTTCCTTATCAAAGAGGATCAAGCCATTGAATGACACTAAAACGATGATACAGTTTCAAATTATCCTTGAAAAATAATAGTCCAATAGAGATTATTTTACTTAAGGAAGTTTGCATTGGCATAATTAAGGTAGAGGACGAATGAAAAGCTTTTTTGGTAAAAAAAGAGATGTGTATAAGTAAAACAATTTTATCGAATTTCAAATCGATTTTAAAATGATTGATTTAGACTTGATATGTTAATACAGTAGTGTTAGTTTCTAATTGCATTTATTCGTTCATAAAAGTCTTGCTACGATAGAATATGTTGGGTTCATGGTCGTAGAAACAGCTTTAACAGCTGTAACTACAATAGAAGAAGGCTTTTTTTTCTCTTATTCCTTTGTCGAGAAACAAATCATTTCGTTAATAGACATTTAATTCATAATCAAGTACCAATGAGTGATTGCATATGACAATGAACCCGTTCAAGTACATACGTTTAATTCTTGCTGTTTTTTTTGTTCATATTGTTAATCGATTTCTAGGCAAAATATTTAATTTTACAAGAAGATAAATGAACTTCTGATCATTTATTCTTCTTGAATGAAATGTTCGATATTTACTATTATTGATAGCCATGATGTAATATTTTTTTTTTGTTTTTAATGAACCAATGAAATAAAAATCGATTTAATTTAAATGACATTGCTAAGAGGGTTCATTGACGCTATTAAATTATTGAAAAGCTTTTAAATAGAAGTTAGTTAATTTAGTATCTATATCAAATCTCACGCGAGAAACATCCTGAAGTGTTTAAGATTAATTAAGTTAATTAGTTTTTGTGCATAAGAAGGAGCCAATCGGGTAATGATTCGAACTGCTAGGTTTTCCTTTGAGCTCTACAATCTTGCTATTAAGATTTCTTGACTAAAGCAACACATTTACTACAAGCTTCAACTTAAAATATAGGATTTATGATATTTTTTACAATATCGTTAAAAATTCAGCAGAAATACAAGATTAATCTTCGCGAAATATTAAATACTGTAGCAAGGCCTATGAAATACGACCGTTTTTGAACGTTCTTGATTATGAGAAGAACGAATCAAATTTCAACTGAAAGCTTGCAGAGCATTATAAGACTAATGTATCGAGATTACAAGCAGAATCTACTTCGATCATAACTAAATGTTACAGATAAATACTCTTTGATGTAAATAAAATACCCCGAGTATTTCTACATTAGCATCATAGTAATACAATTATTATTCTAAAAATAAAAGCTAGCATCTCAAATCATTTTCGATTTTCTTTTTTCATCTGTGTGTCCTAATGAGAAAAACTGTCAACTTCATCTATGTGTGATATTTAAGAGTATTTTATTTCCTAGAATTAAGTTTTACAATCGTATATATTCTTATCGTTTTTTTTCTATTTTAGGTTGTTCCAACAAATTATACTTTTTTTTGGCACACATCAATGATAGTTCTATTCTATTTTTCTGCTACATTAATCTCTTTGATGAAAACAAAGAAGTCTGTCGATAGCAAACAAGTGTTATTTTCTTTTTGATTCTAGATAATAAATCAGGTTTCTTTTTTTTAAAATAAAATGCCAATAGCAACCAATGGAACTCATATTGGATCGCCTGTAAAAACTCAAGCTCCTGTTCAAGAGGAAGATGATGATAACCGTCGTGAACTTGAACGACCACCTGACGTTAAAGAAGACATGCGTCAAATGGGACAACGGCAACGTGTTACAATGATATTGAATTCATCGGAATTTCGCGATGAACTCGACGCAATTATAACTGATGCACTGAAACATGGACCACACCCGGCATCATTAATATCTTTGCAGCAAATATCAGAATTATTATTGCCACATACATCACGCTGGACAACAGTATCATCATTATCACGTGCTGGCGGTTCTGTTATTGTACCTATTAATGATATACGTGGTGTGGATTCGACAACTTATTCGAAGAGTGAGCGTTTACTTCGATGTAAACTAGCATCACTCTATCGACTGATTGATTTATTCGGATGGTCACAAGGCATTTACAATCATATAACGGTTAGTTTTAAATAATCCAAATTTGTTGCGCTACTTTGAGTGAAACCTATTCTTCAAGTAGAATACATCATTGAAAAATTGACTCGAACTCGTTTTGGATTGCCCGAAAGTTCGGTTCAGGGCACTATTTGCTTTTCAATCCATGAATAGAATTAAGATAAATGCGAAAACCTCGGATTTAAATCCGAGTGTTATGTGTACTTCAAAAAGTGAAACGGTATATTCACTTTTTTTTCTATAAGACATAGATCTCATCAAGATAATCCCTTGTCACTAAATTGCAAGGAGAAAATACAGGCGTGCTAAGTTAGCATGGACCACACTGTATGCGACCATATCCGGTGACCACTGACTCTACTCTTAGAGTGATATAATATCTTTAGAAATCACAGAAATTAAGTTCAGATTCGTGTTTAGCTTGGAAAACTGGGCAAGAAGAGTTATTTTTGAATGGATTTGCGCTTGTATCTAGCGGAATTACGATCGTAAGGAACCTCATGAATCTATAAGAGATATATGATAGATACAGGCATCAGTATTCTCCTAATAAATCACCAATATTAATAGCTATCGAGTTCGGGTTTTTACCTTTCGATAGTCCTTTCGACTAGCTACAAAACCAGGCATTTGAGAAACCCCAAAACTACTGGTCATCTGAAATATATTTAGCCAATTTGGTTTCTGGATGCAGTTTTTGTGCATTTTTTAGACCTTTTTCAGGCGATATTTTGTTAGAAAGCTACGATTTGGTTCAAAATTAATATCAGATTCGGAATCAGCGTTAAAAACTGAGTCGATTTATATGTGTTGTGAATAATTCTAAGAAAAATTGTTTTTTTGAAAAATCCCTGTACCCCCCCTCAGGGTTGGATTGGTCAATAATGACAATTTTTTCGATAACTCAACCATTTCTTGGCGGATCCTTCTCATCTTCGAACTCGACTGAGACATTAATGAGGCTGAACTGTGTAGAAAATTTCATCCTGATCTAACTCTCCTTTCGAGAGTTATCGTGTAAACGGACGGCCGGACACACTGACCGATTCTAGAGTGTACTCACTTTTTTGAGTACACAACAAGGATGATTTCGCACAAAAAAATATACTAAACTTTTTTATGCCGAAACTTAAGTAAACTCATTGATTATGAACATGATAAATGAACTTGGTCTATGACAATGAGTGTGGAGGGCAATCCGATGAATCATTCGGTTCAATAAGAGATCGAAGGAAAAGGTGAAGTTTTTCAATTGACTGAAGTACGTTGTAGAACAAAATTCTTCATATCGTTATCGCGCACTTTATTTTTATTTCTACTTAACGGAAAATACCGTATCATATATCTATAGTTCAGTTCACAAGGAGATTTTTCTTTATTTAAGAAAAAATAATTCGAATGTGTATCTCTAATGTTAAGTAGTTATGAACATGAAAGTCTCGAGGTTGAAACTTAAGATGGTTGATTCTGTTCATGTTTTACCTAAATATATGTAGAAAATATACATATTTGCTACTTTGTCTCATATATGTACAAAAACTATCATAGTTTATAATTGTTTTTTTTTAAATTCTATTCACGTCTATTTTACTTTGAATATTTTTAATTATTTACACAAATGAACACTAAATTCACCTATTTTGTTTTGCGTTTTCAGGCTCGTGTTAATCAAGAACAAGAGCATTTTCTAATCAATCCATTTGGTATGATGTATCATGAAGTAACAGGTTCAAGTTTAGTTAAAGTTGACATTGCAGGTACATTGAAAATTGCACAAAAAAATTTTGTTTGATTTAAACTTTTTCTCTTTTTCTTCTGCAGGCAACATTGTTGATCCTGGCAGTACAACATATGGAATAAATCGTGCTGGTTATACACTTCATTCAGCAATTCATAAAGCTCGACCAGATATAAAATGTATTGTACATTTACATACACCAGCAGTTGCTGCTGTATCAGCTATGAAATGTGGCCTTTTACCCTTATCACAAGATGCATTATTTTGCGGAAAAATTTCCTATCATGATTATCGTGGAATATCAATTGAAGACGATGTTAAGAAGCTTCTTGTCGAAGATTTAGGTCCAATTAATAAAGTAATGATATTACGTAATCATGGCTTTGTTGCATGCGGTGAAACGATTGAAGAAGCATGGAAATATGCATTTAATGTTATTAATGCTTGTGAAGTTCAAGTACGCGCAGCACCTATTGGCTTAGATCAATTATATTTGCCATCAAACGAACAACAAAAACGAGTAAATGATATTCTTTTATATTGAACCGAAGTACGAAAATTTTCTCGTTTTTCTTTTCTTCGTAGATTGCTGATGTACTTCAAGGTAATATCAATGAAGCAAGTACTGATAAAAAATGGAAAATAGGTGAACTTGAATTTGAATGTTTAATGCGAATTTTGGATAATGCTGGTTTTCGTACGGGTTATGTCTATCGTCAACCATTGATTCGTACTATTGATAAGAGTGCAACATTTAAAGATGTTGAAGTACCACCAGCGGCTTCATCAGCAACATCGTTTGTTGATGCAGGACAAACACAAACTGAACCTTAGTAAGTTATCAATGTTAATTGTTATTCTTTCTTCAAACCAAAGAGAAAAAGAAAGAAAATCTAACACTTTGTTTGTTTTAGTTCACCATCACGTCAAGCTCAATGTACAACTGAATGGCGAAATTCACCAAATGCTTATTTAAGGCAAGAAATTGAAGAAACAGGAACACTAAATCCAAAAAAAGTTACGAAGGTAAATTAAATTGAGCAATCCTTTGCAGTTGTGTTCTTTTTTTTGCGCGAATGTTATCAAACCAATATCAGGATAGAGTCTCAAAACTTATTTTTATGACATTTAAGAGATCAATATTGATCTCAATTCTCACACCGAAAATTTTAGTCTTACAAAAGCGAATAAATGCTATCTCATGCGATAGATACAGGACAATTCCATAATATCCAGATTATAGGGCAACTATGAAGTTTCTGTCCATTAGAACGACACAAGTAGATGATAAATATTAACCTCTTGTAATCTCGATTCTGATTGATGACGAAATAATATTACTCGAATGAAAATTGAGCTTTAGAGGATGGATGTAAATTTCATCTGAATAAACTTTTCAATAGGATCAATGATAAATTTCGATAACATAAAAGAAAAACAATGATTGAATATGTATTTTTAGTGGGTACCAGATACTGGTTTAAAACATTCGACACCCATTAAAATTGATACAAAACATCAATTTGCACCAAGTAATGTTAATCCAAAAGAACTTAAAAATCATCAAAAACAAATGAAAGATGATCGTTTTAATGAAAAAATATCTGCTGGTTATCAATCGAAAATTCTTGAGAATGTCGGTTGGGAAGATCTTACGCAAATGAAAGTAAACACAATCTCAGGTTTTAGAGAATAACTTTTGCTATTAAAAACAAATTCATTAAGGAGCCGCATCAATCGTCGTCAGAACCAATTGTAGTTGTTGGTGCTGCATCCAAAGGTATTATTAAACGTGACCAACAAAATAATGCTATAGTTTATAAATCGTATTATGGTCAAAATCCATTTGCACACATGGATAATGATGAAATTGAAAAATACAAACGAGAAGTCGAACAAAATCAAATACGTCAACAAGGTTTGTTTTCATTGGATTAATTAACTTTTCGTTGTCGATATTTTCTTCATTCAGCATTGAAAAAAAATGCTCTACTCGATGAAATTCGAAAGGGTATATTATAAAGAAAGAAAAGGTTCACATATAAATATTTGATTGATACACCTATCACTTTCACATTGATTGTTCCTCAGGGAACATAAATTTACAGATCAAAACTAACCATTTCTACATGAGAGGGTGTGAAAATATTTGTTTTCTCTTTTTTTAAATCAATAAGCATGGCTTTTTACATTTTGTCCTGCTTTAATAAGACTCATAAGTTTTCTATGCCAACTATCGGACAAATGTTTCTCGGGTTATGCTTTAATAAAACACAGCTTAGTTTTTCTCTTCAAGCCATTACATAAAAAAAAAGAACTAATTCAGTTTGTAATTCAATAGCTTATATTCAATTTGCTCTTTCAAACGCATGAGCTATGTGATGATAATGTTTTCTTCTTTTTTTTCTTGTTTTGTTCCTAAATCTTTGAAATTAATTCAAATATTCTTATACAGGTGGTGATTCTCATTATGATGATCAAGTTGATAGTTTCAATACAAGCGGCGGTGGCCGAGGTAAGTAACTGTATTCAGTCAATAGGCAATAATCTCTCTCTCTCTCTCTCTCCCTTGTTCTCTCTCGAATTTAAATCATTCAAAATAATTATAAATCGTGCATATCAGCCAGACGTATATAGACTGGCACTATTGAAAAAAAGTCCAGGCATAATGATGGACTGTTGGTTTCTATCGGTGCTGTTATGAATTTATGTCTGTTGTTCTTCTTTCCTTTTTTGTTTCTCTCATTTTTTTCTTCTTCAACTTTTGCGCGTTTTGTGTTCGCCCGAGAAAAGCGTCATTTTGTTTGACCGCCATCTGCTACATTACGTGTACGACTCTTGTGGTTCATTATTATTCAACAATTTTGGTCAACTTATCCAATGAATCTTTACAAATGAAGCCAATCTCCAGCGACTAATTCAACAAGCCAAAAAGAAAACAGGTAAGATATGTGTGCACGTGTGTCTGTTTCGAAGTATACGAGAACTCTTTAAAGCGTTTTGAATTGCGAGAGAAGAAAAAAAAGGAACAGATAATGATAATAATCATTTTTTATTAAGACTAAATGTCAAGTGCCATTCTAACGAAAGTAAAGTGAAACTTTCCCTTTCGTTCTTTTCTTTAACTATGACCGAACACATATACATATATACATACATACATACATGTATACGATTTACTACTATTTACTTTACTACACGCGTGGGGGTGAAAGATGTATGAATAGTTGGTCTGTTAGTTGAAGGTTTCATTTCTTTTTCTTTCGTTTATATAATAGCGATTGTCATCAAAAAGTATAGCTAGAGTCAATTTAAAGCCTGAACAGATCGGTTAGCTTTTTTCCTTCTCTCTGTTGATTAATAAGAAGCCCTATAGGTTGCATAGAATTCGTATTTGTTTTTGTGGTATTGATCGTTAATTGGACGTATGTCTTGAGCATCATACGAATGAATTGAAATTATTTATTCAATCAGATATTTGATTCTTCGTGTTTTTCTTTCGTGAAATTAGTCAATTCAATTGCCCACACACTTGTAACACTTCATTTGTCATGGAATACATTAAATGTACGTGGTTTTCTTATAGCTATTTGAATATGATATAATCAACATTGGAAAAGTTTCTATTTGTCTCTTACTTTGAAACAAATAGGAGAGAATATTTATGAGTAGATGAACTTTTCATGAGAGCGTTGTACGGACATAGATTCAGGTGGTTTTTTTTTCGGTCAAACAAATTGAAAAATAGAGTGAGAAAAATAAAAAAAGCAGAGACTAATAGATTAAATATACAATTTATTAAATTTTACTGACAGATGAATAGTTTACACTATTGAATCGCTTTTATTTTCTAGTCAACTGATCATAGTGAGTAGTTTGTTTTAGATGTTCCAGTCTTCGTTGCGTAGATTACTATGTAGTGTAAGGGCACGAGAAAAAACTGATATGGACGTATTCAAATTATAAGAAGAACTTAGTTTTGAACTCTATTGTTATAAACGCATAGGTCTCTAGTCGAAGTCAGACAAACAACAACAACAGAGTTATTTCGTTGCTTAGAATGAATAATCGAATATCTATTGCCTATAGTAAAATATAATTCATCAATCAAGATCTTTTCTTTGCACGATTAAATCTCGAACAAGTAATATATCATTTTGTGTTTGATTTAAGCCGACAAGTCAATGATTTTCGCATGATGAATATCGTGATCTCGATGGATGGTCAGATCTAAATTAAGCGAAGAAGCAGTTGTTGTTGTTATTGTTTTGTTCAAAACGGACAATTGTCTATCTCTAATAGAAGGAAACATAACGTAATACTTGATTAATTCATTATCGTGCCGTAAAAAGTCACAATCACGATGCTTATGCATCTTTCCTTCTCATTTTGACATGATGTAGTGATGACTAACGATGCCGACACTACTCTCTCGTTTCTTTTTCTCTTTTCCTCCTAAGGCATAATGGTGAGAAGAAAAAAGAATTGAGTGAACTAATCTCGGCGACGTTCGCGTTAAGTTAGCTTTACTTGAAGAGAAAGAACGAAGAAATAAGGAGAGAACGAAACATAGTCAGGTAAATATAAAAATGAAAAAAAAGAAAAGCAGAAAAATTCGTTGTTGTACGTCGAGTAAGAGAAGAAACGAAAAAAGGAAGACGAAGGAAGCAAGTAACGACGCATACATATAAATTCTGACCAAACGTGTTAGTTGATGATGATAGTGATTGAAATAAGTATTACCGATGTTGTAAAAAAAGTTCAAGGCCATTGAAGAGTGTTAAAATGGAGGTATTGCATTTCTGTTTTTGATTTTTAAGTTTAGAAAAAAAAACAGAGAAGAAAAAGGAGAAAAGCATCACATGTTTATTGAAAAATTTCTTTTATTTTTGTTTATAGTTTAAATGCATCAACAGCCGACTCGTTCAGCACGAACACCACAACGACGAGCGCCATTGAATTCGTCATCAGGTGATTTGAGTGACTCATCATCAGTTCGTGCTACTGTTCCAAGTTCACATCAGCCTAGTGAATATCAATCCCCATTACATATTATCCCATCGTCATCAACAACGTTGATGACAACTTCTCAACCAACACTTCAAGCACAAACGACAACTCAGGAAAATTTTCTTAGTCAACCATATCATTCAAAAACTGTTCCTTCATTTGCTGAAACACAACTTCTATCTATTTATTATCTTAATCGTAATATAACCAATCAGCCTATTGGTGGTGCAAATCGTGACAGTTGTATATTTATTGAACAACAAGAACGTAAACCAGTACGGTATAGTGCATCGTATGATCCATCAGCATCGACAAGATCGACACAAACATCACCACTATTAGCCTTAAAACAATTATCAACATATGGGTCAACATTAATCGTTGATTCAAGTCAACAATCTATAGGAACAAATAATCGTCTCTATGAACAACGTTTAAAAATACACTCTGGCAGTCAACGTTTAGCTAATAATCTAGCATTAATCAGTGAAACTGATATACCTTCGTCATCAAGTGAACTTGTTGAAGAATCTCGATATTCATACGAAGAATATCTTATACACGTTGATGATAATCAAGAACAAAAAAAATTGATATCTTCATCAACACCAACTAGTGCATCGTCAGTCACTACAATTATTGCTCAACAATCTCCTCAACAGTCAACTCTTTCTCCGTCAAAACTAACAGAAAAAAAAATGCTTCATCCCGAAGAATTTGATTCTGATCGTACATCACGTTTGAGCGGTGATGACATTAATACACATTCATCGACTAGTAGTATGTCTGGCTCATTTACCAATCATGATTGGCCAACAGCAGGCGTCAATAATTCTTCGAATCCTTCGAATAATTATCCGATTGTAAATACTCGTCAAACAATTGCAAATCAAACAACACGAATATCAAGTTGGCCACCTGCTCCAAATGAAGAACCACCGGTTGATACACCATTTGAAACATCCTTTATCTTAGATGAAAGCGATGAACAACGACGTCCATCTCGTGTTCAATTTGCTGAACAACTTGTTCGTGTTATACCACCATCAGCTACGAATAGTCTTAGTGAAGAATCTACTGCTGCTGTGACACCACCACCACCAACAACAGCAAGAACAATGACGACAACGAGTTCTGCACCAGCTATAACACCTCGAACAAGTACTACTCGACCATATTCATCGAAAATACATGAACAAAACAATGATATGGACATTGAAGAAGATGATACAACAGCTACGACAACGACATCCAGTAATCAAGAAGTAATAACTGGTCGTTTACAACGAACAAGTGGATTAACAAATCTTAATGAAGTTATGATGACTAGACCAACAGTAGTACCACCACCACCACCACCACCTTCTGCTCCTCCTCCTCCTCCTCCTCCTGCTACTCCTCCAGCAACAGCCTCCGGTGTTGATCCTCGTCTTGTTCGTGATCAACTACAAAGGCTTGATTATAAACTTGTTGTTGATACACGTCAGCCGAAAAATCAATCAAAATGGGTCAAAGATCATATGGATGCTGCTGATGTTCAAAAACTACCACTGCCACAATCCATAACAACAACAATACCGACCGGTTCAGGTCGAGTTGGTGCACTTCGTTCATTATTCGAACAACAAAGTGGCCGTTCATCTGATTCATCAACATTAAATAGTCCAACAGGGCAAATACGGCGAACCGATCCCGAAGAACGACCATCAAGACATGGTGATGAAATACGTTTTCGTATCAAACAACCAAAATCTGCAACCATTCATCATGCTGAACCAGCTCAAATTATTCAACGTACAAAACAATCAACAAATAATGCATCTAGCGTAGTTCCATTAACATGGGAGGATTTAGTTGGTGTTCAAGAAGAACATCAAAAACAATGGCGACCACAATATTCATCATATCCATTTGAACTTGATGAAATACAACAAATTATTGGTAAACGTATCAACTCACTTGATGATACTGGCTATTATTCACAAGTAAAAATAGACAACGTCTATTTTAGAACTTATTTTTATTTTTATTTTTTTTGTTTTTAAAGAATGATCATACATGGCGATGGAATGATATATTTTGGCGTAGTTTAACATCATTACAACATGATCAATTGAACCGTCTTCTACAGTCACGTTCGCGACAAGATAGTGGTGATACACAGATTAATGAACATAGCGATCGTTCAGCTTATCAAGGTGACTCAGAAGATAATACACCAAAATTCAATAATAACAGTCGACGAATACGTTCACAAAATTCATCTGAAGAAAATCTTGCACCAACAACTATTACTCGAACAATTGTCGAAGAAACAAAACGTATACAATCGACTATCAACGATCCAGGTTTAACTGTCAGTGTAACTGGTGCTGGGGCATGGCAACAACAAAAACAACCAACAGCATCAACCGGTATTGGTAAATATACTGAAACAAGTACTATACATGAAAATCATCCATCTATCAGTGTATTTGGTTCAACACCAAATGGAAATTATGCAAGAGTTGGCTCACAAGAATCTATTGCATCATCAACTATTCAACCGCAATCATTTACGAATAAAAAGCCCGATAATCAAATGACCATTATTGAATCTGGTTATAATTCGGCCGATGAACCACTGCAGCAACAACAACAACAACAACAACAGCAACGAGCAAATCTATTTCGACCGAATTCAAGTACAATCATTGAAGAATCATCAACTTCACAGCATATGGATATACATAGTGGCATAGCTGGTCTAGTTGCTGGACCTAGTTCAGTTATCATATCATCCAATGATATACAACTACAAGAACAACCAATATATGAAAATCTTCGTCCAGAATTAATACGGCAACAATTAAGTGAACCTGATCTTGATCCTTTAAGTTATGAACAATTTATTTTTGATTATTTTTCAACATATGCAAAGCGTTTACGTAGTAACGAAAGAACACTTATATTAATCATTGATGGGCAACAAATACAAATGCCACATATACGTGTACCTACAAATGATAGTTTAGTTCTATCGAGAAATGTCTATTTAGATGCCATCGATGAATATCCACCACCATTTGAAACTGAATCTGATCAATTAGTCATATTTATACATGGTGAAACTATTATTTTACCAGCTGATCGCTGGCTATTTTATAAAAGAAAATATCATAATGCACAATGGATAAATAAACTCGAGCGAATCAATCGACGTATACCAACAAATTTAATGCCTATTCTTCAAGATTGGCTTTCTGAACATACAACATTTTTACTTGAAAGAAATGAAATGAACGTTGACGGTTTTAATATACCATTGACAGGTAAATTAGGTCAACGTATATTGGATCTCTATCAAATTTTTCAATTGCAATCAAATCAAAATTCTTTTTGGAATGAAATATTAAAATATTTAATTCGTACAGGTTATGTTTCATTCGATTCCGATGAACAACTGATACGTATAGGAAATAGTGAACTCGATGCACAACGCATTCTATCATCTCAACCATCTCCATCACCAGAATTAATTGAACGCGTAGGCAATCTTCTACGTTCATTAGATAATATACATTTTAATAATAGTAATGGTACATTAATACTAGATGAAAATTTTGTTATATCAAACGAATATATTCATGAGCTCTTTCAAGAATATCAAGCCGGAGAAACACTAAATGCTAATCAAGTTGCTGACATACTTTTACATATATGTGACCGCGAAGAAGATCAAGACGGTCAATCAATTCTATTATCATTGGATGGGCAAATTCTAAAATTGGCACCTCGCTCTACTATTATTGAAGAACAACAAATAGACGATGATGATGATGGTGATGAAGATGATGATGTTCTTATTCAGTGGCTATCTGATAATGCCCGATGGTCAACTGAAAACGGACAAGTATTTCTCTTACGTTATCGTACAATGCCCAATTATTTAATACGTATAACAGGTGACGAGGGTTTACGTCTATCAAATCTTTTACATCGTCAAACTTTACATATGAATGATCTCTTAGATTGGCATAAAAAACATGTACAAATAGAACGAATTGACAATTCTTTACGTATGATAATAAAACCAAATAGAAATATCGAGATTGATAGTTTACCTTTGGACGAGAATGAAAAAAAACGAGAAAAAGTAAAATCTACCAATCAAAAAACTAGAAATACATTCGAACAACAAGAAGAAAAACCTTTAGTCTTTTTTGTTCCTTTTCATCAGCAAACTCAAAACGGCAACGAAGAAGAAAAAAGAGAAAAAGAAAATAATTACCAACATTCTACCTCTACTTCTTCTCTACTTCAACAAGAAGAACAGAAAAAAATAAAAACTAACGACAGCGACGAAGAACGAGCCTTATTCCTTGAAAGTATTTCTTCACTATTGCACTTTGTCAATGCAAATGGTAGTAATGTTGGCACGCTCGAACTCATTCAAGGTCGTCGCTTAAGACTTTCGTTAACCAATAATTCTCCTTTTTCTCAACAACAACAACAACTTGAATTTAATGAAGCAGATACAAAACTACTTTACGAAGAGCTTGATTTAGATATTGACGCTTGCGCCGAAAATTTAATCGATTTGGTATTTGATAGAACTGAATTCGACAACGATAAACAACATATTCTCATCTACTATCATAATCAAATGTTGAAATTAAAGAATTTCAAACAAAAAGTTTTGCAACCTGCAGCTAAAAAACTTCGATTAACATCAAATAAAGTACCCACAGTTGAATCACCCACACCGACATCTCTCAATGAAGAACATGTTGATACTCTAACACAATGGCTTGATCAATTGAATCGACAAGGCTTAATAACAATAACAGAACAAAACGATATTGTCATTCTTCCTAATGGCGACGATGATCAACAACAAATTCTTATTAACCATGATGATGTTGATAAATATATGGAACATAAATTAAATGCAGCAACTCCAGGCGATGGAGGTGAAGTTATCGTTATGAATGATATAGCAAGAATTTTACTGCTATATAAATATGTTCATTTTTCCGAGGGACAATTAGTATTCGGTACTCAACATATAGCATTAGATCGTAATGAATTAATTTGGTTAAGATCTATTATACGTGGCGTTAGAATGGAAGAACTCAATCGCGAAACTGCAGTTGATTTATTCGATGGAGAAAATACACAAGCACTTCATATACCCTATGAACATATGCCACCAACAAATGATTCATATATTGTTGCTAATTATTTATATCAAAACGGAACTGTTCGATATGATATTGACACAGGAAATTATGCATATCGTTATATACCACCTGATATACCATTAGACGAAGATACTAATACACCTGAACGTATTGGCCAACGACAAATACTCTCATCGCATATTCGTTATGTTCATGTTGATGAAGATAAAAAACTTATTGAATTAGAATTTATTCATGATCCAAATCATCGTTTAAAATTACCATCACGTTGGTATCGTCAAGCTGCTGCTCATCGTTTCGAGCGTTCCTACATTATTGACATGCTACTTGCAAATGGCGGTACTATCGATCGGGATACATTTACATTTAATGGTCGCAACTATTCTTTACAAGTTCCACGTGTAGCATCGACGTCGTCAGCTGGACCACCAGAAGCAACAAACCTTCACACACTAAAATTATCATCAAAACAAAAACAAACTCTTATTCAAAGTTACGTTGAATTTATCAATAACCAAGATGGTATTAAACGTGATAATGTTAATACATTAATATTATTAGAAAATGAAACTGATGGTTCACAATTATATTTAACACCTGCACACAGCGATTATGTACATCGAAATCAGTATCGTCGACAAGATGTTATTAGTTTACTTAATAAACATGGTCAAATAAAACAAGATGAATTTGGCAATTGGTTATTATTTTATAATAATCAATATGTTCAAATTCCACCATCAATTATTCCAGCCGCAATCAAAGAAAGTGTCTTACGTTCATCAGGTCAACGATTTGGTCGTCAAAATGCAACGGGTGATGAAGATGATAAACAATTTCGTGCTCGTTTAGCACAAGAAACTGAAAATGAATTTATTGAACGTTTTCATTCAACAATTGATTACATGTACAATACTGGTTTAATAACATGCAATAGACGTTTGAAATTGGTTGAAATTCATTGCTCAAATCAAACATTAAAAATACCAATTGATCAGCTGCGTTCAATAGTTGATTCACGTGTATTAAATTCATCTGTTGATAATCTATTACCATTTGAAAGTCAACAATTATCATATTGGCTATTAAAACATTCGGAGTCAATACGTAACACACGTGAGAGTTACATAGAATTAACACATAAACATAAGCAATATAATTTGCCACCAATAAATCCTAATGCAAATCGTACTAAACCACAAACAGGCTTATCATCAACTACAAAACATTTTGGTTTAACATCAAAAGATCCAACATCATTGTCACGAGTTGATTTGTCAACATCTCATAATCAAGATCGTTGTGCACGTCATTTGTTGGAAAAACTTGATGAATTTGGTGGTATTTATCTTGATGATGATACACGTACACTTATTCTATCGATGGCACCTGATAAAAAACAACAGTTAATTATTCGCAATCCTACTATACCTGTTACAAGACAGACACTTACAGACTATTTAATAAATCATGGTCGTTTTGCATTGAGTTCCGATCGTACAAATATTGAATATCGTCATTATGATGATGGAAGAGTATATCGTTTTAGTCCGTTTATAAACGATTGGATCAATGCATTTGATGAATCAAACGAACAACGTATTGTACGAGCGCTAGGTGACATTCTATCTTTAAATGGAAGATTTTTACAACGTGCCGATCGACAAATAATAATATCGTTGAGAAATGGTGAACGTTTCATCATACCAAGTCATATTGGTTCACAATTAATTGGTCCTGTTAATGGACAAACCGTAGCTGAGTTACTTGTTGAATATGCTGATGATATACACGAAGAACAAGATGGAAAATATTTAGTTATAACACTTGGTGATAATACATTACGTTTACCACAACAAAGACAATTAATGTCATCGAAACCCATAAGAACACCAACAAAAACACCGGTTGATCCAAAATTAAAATTACTTTTTCCGTTTAATAAATCTTTAAGAGAAATACAAAAAACTCCATCAACATCAACATTAAATTTTCTACCACCGGATGCATCCAATGGTTATGCTATGGATCCATTACTTATGCTTGCTAATTATATATATCGTGCTGGTACGATCTATCAAGATGATCGTGGTCGTTTAGTTATTAAAATGAATGAAGATGAAATTGTTGTGCCACGTATCGAAGCAATCAATGCTATTGAAACAATAAATACATCGCCAAGTCGTACGGGTACTATAATAGCACGTTTAATTGATCGTATTGGTAGAGTGCAATCGAATAGAGCTGGTGGTTTAATAATAACAATTGGTAAAAGTTCATTTGAAATACCGAAAGAATTAATCGATCGGGCTAATCAATTACATCGTGAAACTATTGATAAAGAAAATGATCTTTCAATTAATGATCCCGATTTTGTGCAAGCAGGTTTGAACGGTTCAATGACATTAGCTGGTCGTTATACACGACCACCGGGGCCCACACTTTTGCCATCATTACGTTTATCGAAATCTGTCGGTAGTTTATCAACATTAGCAAATAGACATCCATGGTTTACTGATGATCAACAGATGCTCTATGCAAATGATGGTCGTGGTGATGCGAGATATTTAAATTTAGATAATTATCCATTATCATGGCAAAAAGAAGCACATAAACATGGTGTTGATTGTGAAGTACGGACACTACGTAATGTGGCACCATACTTAAATGTATTAGGTTATGTTGAAAATGATCCGAAAAATGCTGTAACTATAAATGATTTAACACGTTTACATCCAGAAATGTTATCTCGTGGTAAAGTTACTGATGATCCATATTTAAAACAATTAGAAAATGATCGTGCACAAGTGCAAACTAAATTATGTCCAAAACCACGTATACTCGTTATACCCGATGATGAAACAATGTTATCATCAAATCGTAAAACACGTTTCTATGTACAATATATGTATGAAAATGATGCTGTACTCGGTGCCGATCCCGCCTATGTTATGATGTTGCCTAGTCGCTATCCTGTACGACCAACACAACCACAATTAATAGCACCGCATCATTATCGAGATATAACTTTACGCGGAGCACCTGTCTATGTTCATAAGAAAGGTGAAGGTGAAGTTTACTTTGAAAATCTTGCACAATATTTATCAACTGAACATCGTGATATATCACCACGTACCGTTCGTCGTATGCTAAATTTTTCAAAGCCTGATGAATATCTTGAATATTTAAGCAATAAAATGCCAGCAGCTGAAGCTGAACAACTCGTACGAGAAAGTGAAGAGCCCTTAGGTGAAATACCAACACGTTATAGTAACATAACAACAAGAACGAGTCGTGATGAACTAAATCGAATTGAGAATGAGGATGATGAAGAATTAGATGAAGATTTGGAAAATCAATATCTTGAGAATGATAATCGACGACGAATTGTTTCACCACGCACTTATTATAATATACAAAACGATGCAACAAATACATTAGACGAACAACGTCGACCCTTAGTTGTATATCAAAATCTTCCGAATTCTTCATCACAACAACCACTATCAACAGTAACATCATCAACAATAAGAAAACTTATGGAACGAAGTCCATCAACATCAAGTCTTGGTTCAGACATGCTAATTGCTAATTCATTACCAACTCATCGTACTGTTTTTGATAATCCACCACCACCACCGCGCAATGATAGAAATCGGGGAATCACAACAATCATATCATCCAATCCGTTAAGTAGCCTTACTGATGAAAATTATGGTCGACCTGTTTTACGTGGTCCAGTCTAAAATATTTTTCTCTATTTCGTCTGTTTTCCTCGTCTTCTTCTTTTTTCTTCCTATTCGTAAATCAATCATGTGAACAGTATATCTTCGTCTGTATATTAAAATCTGTTTTCTTTTCTTCTTCTACTCTTATCATATTTTTAATTTTGTTTTTAAATGCTATCGCGTTTGCTCTTGATTTTGATTTTGATTTTGATTCTTATTATAATCTTTATCTTAGTATGCGTCATTACTTTTACTTTCTCGACATTTAATTCTTCACTTCGTGCCATTTTTAATATTACACATTTGTCCAAACATAGAGTGCGTAATCTCGCTATAGGCTATCAGCGCCATTTCTCAATTTCTTTCGTTTTTCTTTTTTCTACTACCACAAGAAAAAGAAAAAAAACATAATTATATAGACGCCATATACATCTTGTTATTTGTCTGTTTCGATACACTGTATTTTTTTTCCTTTTTTTGCATACTTTCAAGGTTAACATTAGTATTCAAGGCTCTTCACATAACATTTATTGCTTGACTATTTATTTATAGGTGCGGCTCAATACGTAAAATAATGTCATGAAAAAGAAAGCGACAGAGAGAGAGAGAGAGAGAGAGAGAGAGAGAAAATGCATTATTTCATTGGTTTTTTCTTTAACATTTATTCAAATAGCCAAAATTGATTAATTTTTTAAATAACCTTTTCAGGTCGATCAACTAATGGCGCTAGTGGTCAAAATTCCACATCGCCGGAAAAAACGGTGACATTACCACGAAGTGCTACTTTATCTGGACAGAGTATGTGCTTTGATGAAAAGAAGGAGTGTTGCATGAAATAGCATGCATTATGCATGATTTTCTCCTTTAGGTAATGATGAAGAAAGTGACAGTCGAGTCAACGTTTCACGTAATGTTAGTGCTGCTGCAAGTACGTGTTCCCTGTTTTTTGTTTCCTATTGAACACGAGTTTTCTGAATCGTGTCAACGAGAGATTTCATTTGATTACATTCTTTTTTTTTCATTTTTACAGAAGCTGCTACAACTAAATCGGATATATTGAAATCAGGAACATCATCATCAGCTGCATCAAGTCGCGAGGTACGTTTTAATTCTCATTTGCCCATCTTTCATTGGATAGAACGCTTCAGAAAAAATTAAACTCTAAATAAGATTTAAATTTAAAAAAATATATATATGTATTCTTGTCTACAGCAATCATCTGTTACATCATCATCAGTGGCACGAGCTCAGAGTTTGGTCAGTATACTATGATATGCACATTCATATCACCTCTTTCTTGGCTGCTTTTATATATATATATATATATATAAATATATATGTATCTTCTTAACCGAAATGAAAAAAACAAAATCCTATGTGATTATCATTTTGGATGCGCCTCTTAAATTTGTGTGTCCTATGAAAATCACAGTATGCACTAACGGCATGCTACGAAAAAATAATTCTTCTTCTATTATTTTGCAAAATAAACTTTTTTTTTTAATATTGTATTCAATGAAATTTATTTTATTTTTCTATTGTACAGGTTTCACCAGCGCGTACAAGTGGTAGTAAAGTTGGTAGTGATGATACAAAAAAAGAAAAGAAATCAAAATTTCGAACACCATCATTTCTTAAAAAACGCAAAGAAAAAAAAGAAACTCCTACGAAAGATAAGCCTTGAAAGAAACAGAACCATATCTATATCTATATAAATATATAATTCGAATTATTCTATAGTGTTGTCGTGGTGTTCTCATTTTCTTTTTTTCTGTAGAAAAATTCTTTTCGTATGCAATACCCTCATATTTCGTTCTTCTTTTTTTTCTTGTATGTGTGTAGCTCAGCTCTTGTTGTTGTTGTTGTTGTATATTGTTGCTTTTGTGTGTAATAATCTCTATGATGAAAGAAAAAAAAAACAACAAATCCGCAGGCTAGTATTTCGATCAATCTCTCTAGTCAACAATTATTTACTAATAGATAAGCTCAAAGAATGTATTGTTGCTGTTTTCTTATTTAAAGAAAAAATGACAAAATGAACGTTTCTTTTTCTTGCTTAGCGTGTAAACATGGTGTGCATTAGTTTCTTCGTTTTCCATTGAAGAAACCTTTTTTTGATTTATTTCTCCTTTTGTTTGCTGGGTTTTTGTCTGTGTTGTGTGCGTTAACCTCACTCAACTCTTTTTTTTTCTTAATGATAGCACGCATAAGCATATATATATATAGACATAAAGAGAATGGTGTCATCTACATAATAAACATATGTACACATTAACTAGAGTAGAATGAATAAAACCAAAATGGCAGTTTGCATCAACATATTGTTATTTTTAATTTTAATGAAAAGAAAAAAAAAGCAACCAAAGAAAACCAGATCACCTTAGAATTGTATGAATAGTGGCAAAAAAATAAGAGTCTTCCAAGGTAATTCTCTAACACTGTCAAGATAATGGCTAATGATTATGTAATAGGAAGGAAATAGATTGCTTCAACGACATTTTTTTCTTTATTCATGTTTCAATTACATCTAGAAAAAGAAACATACAAAATAAATAGTAATTATATTCTTTCACAGTTGACTTATTACGATTATAGTTTTGATAAAAAAAATCTAGTCAAATTGAAGAACTTGAAATTCTTTTAATCACTAATACCAATCAAATAAATGAATATAGTTATGAATAATATTGTTTTTTTTCTGAACAAATACGTCCTTTAAAATGATTTCAAAAATCAAAAAATTAATGATAAAATAACTTCGAATAATAATGAAATAGAAACCTAAAGAATGGTCTTGATTTTGTCTGAGTTCAAAATTAAATTTCAACTCTATTTATATCGAAAACTAATTTTACTATGATTAGTAACAATATCAACCGATTTCTCATTTTTTTTCAAACGAAATAAACTTGTTTTTGCCTTATAATGATCATACTTATGTTTTTTTTATTGAATAAACAAATCGTATGAAAAAACAGCAACACTCCAAAACTGTTATGTTAACGTCAAAATGAAAAGCAAACAAAAAACACATAACACCCTCGTTGACGATGATGTTTTCTAGATTTTAACTGCATAATCGCTCACAGCGTCGTTTACCTCTCATTGCTAATTTTATATTTCGAACAAGTTCCTTATAATTTTTTCCATCTTGAAGATTTGAATTCGATCTTTCTTGAGCAAATACAAGATAGCCACATCTAAATTTTAAAATGTTCTACTAAAATAATGAATAACAATGAAAAATCTCTCACCTTCCAAATATAAAATTATCTGCACTGTGTTCATGATTGCGTAATTTTTTGATTAAACCATCTTTTGCATTATCTTGAAAGAGACGAATTTTATCATAATATTTTCCAGGCAAATAATTTGCAGCATCTTGTTCATTGACAAGAATAAGACGCACAGTTGTGTCACGTATGCCACTATTTTGTAATTCACGGTACAAATCATTATATCTATTCAAAAAAGAAAGATATTCAAAGAATATTAAGATAAAAAGAAAAAGAAGGCTTGAGTGTTTGTAATCTGAAAAAAAGAGTATTATTCATAATCAAGTGATTGTAAAGAATTATGTAATTCACTTACAATATTATTCAATTACGCTTGAATGAAACATTTTATATACTTTGTCCAAAAATTCATTCGAACAATATATATTTAATTAGTTATTACCTATTAGCTTGAATTCGTGATGATTGATTATTGAAATTTATAATACCCAAAACAAGCAATTGTTTTCGATAGATTGCAATTAGATTCGTTCCATTAATAGCTAAATTATGTAAACACGTTTTTTTCCGATTATCTTGTGCAACTATTGAAATAGATAATAAACTAACGACAAAAATTAGTCTTTGCATGTACATCTTAACTTGATTTTTGACTGGCGTACAATAGTACAGTAGTGAATATATATATATATATATGTCGAACTGGTATATTGATTGTTGATGTACAATATATATATATATATATATGTATGTTATCGTTTTTTAGAAAAGGTCTTCAGAATGATACGTTGATGACAGCTGACATTTTTCTTCATTATCGAGTTAAATTGTAAGCATAATATATTTACTCGATTGCCTTGAGAATGATAAGATATCATTAATATTAATCTTATAACGCTAACTGCTCTTTTTTTCTGCGAGGGTGAATGCAACATTGATTGAACATTAGAAAGCGAGAGAGAAAAATGGACAGTGAACAATAGAATTAACCGATCGATGTATAATAAAAAAATCTATCCATATAAAAAACAGAAAGCAAACTTGGCATGACATTGTCTATGTGCCATCGGTCAGCAGCCATCGAAAGGCAGGCGTCAATTGAATTTTCTTTCTCTTTTGCTTTCAGCCTATTTGTCACACGTCGTCATTCTGTCTTCTTTTTATGTCTGATGATGATGATGATGATGATGCCATATGGACGTCTTTCACACATACATTAAATTTACAATCAAAGTCATCATCATCCTTCTTGTTGTCGCGCTACAATCATTGGTGGTGTGCATATATTGTTGTTATAGTCGCCCTGAAGTAAACTTAACTTGAGAGTGACAAAATAAAATGAGAGACACAATACGTGTATATATATGTATATGCAATTTACTGTGCATATATCATCATTGTTTATTCGTCTGGTCTATTCAAGGATCCTTTTTAAAAATTCGTATGAACAGGTAAGATGAAATTAAGCTGTTTTGTTTTTAATCGATTCAGAAAGCTATTTTATCAATTCATTAACTTGTTTTCATATTTATTCTTATTATAATAGAAAAGGCCGAGTTGTCAAAGTATTATAGTAGTGAATAGAAATATTATTCATATTGAATTTGCTTGAAGAATAATCCTAGACATAGAAAGGATTAGAGCGTATTCGTTAGTCCACTTAAATTTCATATAATTGATTTTTGACAAAAATTATTATTTGAAACAGATAGTAAGCGTATGAAAAATGAAGATTCCTATCACTGTATAATTCAACATTCATATCGCTCGCATCTCGTTAATGTGTCGCCAATGAAATCATTGATTTTAATTTGTTTAAAAAGAGAAAAAGGTCAATCATGACCTCCAGTCATGATAATCAAGCAGGAAATCGAGGTCGCCGCGTTGGCTAGATTTTTTTATATTTTTCGTTCGTGTTTATGTATTGGTTAATTAGTCTAGCGCCTTGTCATCATTGTCACTAAAAAGGAGTAACAGCAACAGCGAACTTGTCACGCACGTTAATCTTTCTGAACTTCTTCTATTCCATCCGTCTGTTTCCTCCTATATAATTTTTTTTCTATCTCTTTCTCTCTTGTTACATCCAACAAATCACGTACTTTGAACGAGTCAATGACAAGTAACATCGTTGTCCTCATCTTGTCGATACAAATTGGATTTTTCGATACATCAAAATTTTCCTAATGGATCCTTGGAAACTTTTCTTACGATCATTAAATGCATTGTGTAACATCATCATCATCATCATATGCACGCGTGAGTCGGCATATACGTATCTATAGTGCAAAGTTATAAAATGTAAAGTATTCACGTTTACGAGCTTGAGATCGTGCTTCTTCATGGCTGCATGCACATCAATATATACTTCCGCGGCTTTTTTCTCCTCTTGTTCTTCAATGAAACATAACTACCCTGGGAATGACAATGCATCCGTATGCTTGACTGCTGAATAGTTCCGTTCCGAACTGACACCTAGTCAAGGTTGACGATATGCACGCACAAAGCATACTTCCTTTTTGTGTTGTCTATTAACTATTTATTGGCATATTTATGGAGTCTCCTATGAGATGAGTATATCAATTAATTGGGATAAATCAAGGTTATCTAAAGAGAAAAGGAATGTTAAAACGTCAATATCTGACACGCCTTACACGCTTTTCTCATTCTCGATCTAACTACTCTCATTTTGCTTCTTTTTTTTTATGTATAGTGTGCCAGGAAACGATGATGATTAATCACTTTGACAGCACACGGTAGTAGTTGGTAATAGTTCTCCATTACGCAATGGCCTCACTCCCGTTTCTTTCGCATCTTTCTTCTCGATCTTTTCCTTTTTCTCTGTCTCGCTCCCTCTCTTTCTGTCTCATTTTTGTATGTGAATAAAAACTCCTCATTTTGCTTTGCGAGCATCCGTTTTTTTTTCTTATCGTTCAGAGCTTGCCGACGAGCGACCGAGTGAACGTTTCGGTGCCAAACATATATACGTTGAGCATTTCTCTCTTCTGCCGCTCTCTCTCTCTCTCTCTCTCTCTCTCTTTTCACATCAACGCGCGCGTCCATTTTACACATTCAAGTAAGTATACACACATACGCATACAAGATACGATTAACAATGATAGCATATACACACATATGTCATTCTTCCCTGTGCTTTTAAAAACGAATCTTAACAACAAAACAAAGGTTTGCTCTTTTATATCAATCGTTTTGTTCGTAACCATAATCAGGTATGATATCTTGTCGTTTTCTTTGTTTCTTTTATGTTAAGCTTTATTTCCGGATTGATAGTAAAAGTGATTTGTTATTTATTTTATGTCGAAACGGAAATCATTTTTCTTATTCTTTTGACGTATAAAGCATACGATAGCAGCACATGTGTTCTGTATTGCTAACGGGCTTCTAAATATATATGATTAGCCTTTTATTTTTTCTATGCACAGCAACTTTAATTGGCATCGCTCGTGTCTCTTGCGTTTTTCTGTTTATTTATTTTATGAACATACATAGACATCTAAGCAGCTGTAAAACCAATTCGATCATTTACATAGGAAATTATTTGAAGATGAAATAATAAATAATGATTGTCATGTTTGTTTTTTTCATGATTTATTAAGATAAATCAATGAACGAAGAAAAAAACCTTTCTAGTTGTCAGTTAATCTATGTTAAAGCCAGTTTTCTAACCTTCGTCTATATGATATTATCAGGTGTAAGCACTGCTTTTAATATTTACAGGACAAGAGCCCGTCGCCAAGGTCATCGTCAAGCATGTATAGTTATCATTAGCATTGACAATGATTGATCATTAGGCGGTATTTATGTCTATGTGCATGCACATCCCAAGACTATGATGATTAAGATTGCCATTTGAGTATAAACGTACATATTTGTATCCGGAGATGGAATAAATAGTAAAAAATAGTTTTTATGTTGTGACATCATCGTCGTCGTCATTATTATTATAGAGTTACTTAAGTATATGATAGAAATTTCATTTTCTGCTTCATTGCATCGTGATTAGAGTTCTTTTGTAACTAGCACTACATGAAATGTATATATATATATATATAAATGTATGTATGTTTATTGGTGTGACAAATGTCCAGTAGTCGAAATAGTTATGTTTGTAGCGTATACGCAATAAGACACCGATGTGCATTGATAAGTAAAATTACGTAGACACATTCTCTTATATATATATATCTTAAAATTTGTATGTTTGTCCTTCATTTTGAATATATCAAGACAAAGTATTTATATACATAGTTCAAGATCAAGTATTTGTTATAGAAGTAAAAAAAGAAGAAAGAAAGAAATAGAAACAAACGAGTTTACTTTTATGGGTTTTCTTTTCTATTTTATAACACATCAAGCAGATTCTGATCTATGCATCAAACGAAAGGTTTCATCAAATATTGATTTTAGCGCTTACATATAAGTTGAACTATCATTTAAAATGTGATCAGTCATTTTTTTTTCTTTTTTTTTTATGTTAAAAAAGAAGAACTTACATATGTGTTAATTAAAGTTAATGTTATTTTCTTAGATTAAGAAAACAAAGTCGATCTTATCAATTTTAAGTCTTATCTTTAGCTTGAGACAATTCCCGATTGTCGTTTTTTTTGTTCACAATTCTATTCAAAACTATAATAGTCAATGTGTTGTCTGATGAAAATGGCAATAGCAGCTTAGCATATATATTCATTCACTTTCTGTCGTTCATTTTTCTCGTTTTTTTTTTTTTTTTTGGTAATCCGTCTTTTCTATTACTGTCTCGTTCGACTCTTGTCTAATTGTTTTTCTAGTCACACGCGTATTCAGTTGTGGATCGACTACTATTGCGCCTACGACACCAAATGGCTACCCATAAATCATATCATCGATTTCTAGGCACTGGCCAGTCGCCGCCTGTTCGTCATTCTTTATTTCTTTTTTGTTTTGCATAAGGTAGTATGACGAGCAGACTAATGATTTGTTTGTGAGTTGCATACAACCACCTTCTTCTGTCTAATTATTTCCTTTTCTCGTTCCATACACGCCTATTCGAATGATTGAATTCAGAATGAGAACATCTGGTTCTGGCAATAGTGGTCAAATACAGTATAACCTCATTAACAAGATCATTTCTCTTGTATGTGAAAGGGTGAATGTTACAAGATAATCTTACTCTCGTTTCTCTCATATACACACACACATATGCTTGTTATTGTTTGATCTTCATTGTGTCTATCTATATCTATATCATATGCATACATTTTTTTGCTTGTTGTTAATCTATGTAAAAGTTCAAATCGACCCCAAAAAAGATGGACAGTGACTACAAGCATACTTTACACGGTCGTCTTCTATCAATGTGCATATGACTGTATGTGTGCGCATTCGCCGCTACTAATTAGGTGGTCACTGTCGCATATGTTATGCGTCTAGCGACAACAAGTGAGATGGAGTATATACAATTATTTTGACAGAGAAAAAAAATCTTCCGCATTAATGCTTTCGAAAGTACTGAAGAATTGAAGTTCAGGTCTTTTACTCTGTGTTCAAACAAGACAGAAAAGAAAATAATTTGCTGTAGACGATTTGTTAAACAACCCGATAATTGTTATTTACATCTATACATATATATGTATCACGTTTTGATTATGAACAATATTCAATAGTACATGTTAATTGTAAATAAGATAGATAAACGATGACGTCGAACAGATGTCCGTGACTGTTATCATTATACTACGTATGACTCGTTGTCTCTCGTCTGTATCTTTTTCATACAATAATTGTGCAATATATTTGTCTCTTATACTCGTTGTTTTGTTTTATTGACAGAGGCGTTGAGATAGATGAGACGAATAGTATGTGAGGCAAGCACAATCATCATTGCGTAGCCGGTACACATTAGTCTTTTTTTATTGTCATCGTTGTTGTTGATAATGTATAAGAAGTAATGCCAATAGCCAGATGTTGGTCGGCATTCCATTTAGCTTTCTTCTTGAGAAGAGGCATCTAGCTGTATACATATATATATATAGAAGTGGCACGAGACTTTCTATGTCTTAACCATTAACTGCAGATTTTCTTCGTCTTCTTATTCTCCTTTTACTTTTTGCATGTATAAATACGGACATCGGTCAGTCATGTTTGCTTCGCGTGAATAATAATGATGATGTCATAATCAATTTTAGTTGTATTACAATATTTATAATTCAACTTTATATCATAAGGGATTTGAATTATATAAAAAAAAGGGGGAAGAAGAAGAAGAAGAAGAAGAAGAAGAAACTAAGAATAAATTTCATTAGATGAAATGTATGCTCAACATCCGCCCCAATCATTTCTTTCTTTTTCTTTGCTTCTATTTGCAACGGAAATGAACTTAGCGTATGTTTCTTTAATTTTTGTTGATTCCTATTCTAGATATATTAATTATATACACACATATGTATAGAAATAGATGGATATAAGATCAGTCAATAGTTAATATAAAAATCCAAAATGATTACGTTCACAGATATTTTTCTTATTTTTTATCTCACGCTTCGTAAGTATATTATTTTTAATTAAACATCAAAAGATTATATTTATTCATTGAAATATTTGTTCAGACATTTGTGAAAGTATAAATCATAATCCACCCGTTATCGTTGAACAACCACAAGATATTTTAGCTGAATTAGATAAACCTATGGCACTACATTGCCGTGCTGAAGCTTCATCATTAGATGATCTACGTGTTAATTGGTACAAAGATGGACAGTTAGTAACCATGGATCCAAATGCTCGGATCATAACAGAATTTATGGCATTACATGTAATTAATACCATGCCGCAAGATGCTGGTAATTATTATTGTTTGGCTGAAAATTCCTATGGAAGAGTACAAAGTCGAACAGCTCGTGTTCAATTTATAAGTAAGCATAAGAAACAGTTTAGTTTGTCAACAGAAAAAAATTGAAAATCTATTTTTTTGTCGTTTTCTATAGAACTTGATAAAGAATTTCCTCTTTTTCCAATATCAACATCAGCATCGCTTGGTGAACGTATTCGTCTTCGTTGTGAACCTCCACCTGGTTCACCAACTCCAAACGTCTATTGGATCAAGAATGGAAAAAATCTATCGCTTCCACTCGATCATTACGATCTTGTATTGCCATCGATTCAACCGACAGATTTTGGTGCGTATCGTTGTATAGCATCAAATGGCTTAGTTCGTCAATCATCAGTAGCCTATGTAACGGAATTTCAACGACCAAAAATATCTATTCACCCATCAACACCACGTATTGATATTGAACGTGGTAGATCAATTGATTTTCAATGTCAAATTGAAAATTTAAATAATGATGATCAATATCAAATTGAATGGCACTATGCTCATCAGAATGGAAAATTAATTGGGCGAAACAATCGTGTTGATATACCAGTCGTACAATACAATCATAGTGGATTGTATTTATGTGTTGTTACTTATAATAATGGACGAAAACGGCATGTATTTTCAGAAGAAATTCTTCTTGCTGTACATGAACGCTCGATTGTAGACGGAGAAGATCGAATTTTTAGTCAAACAACTTTAAATGTTTATGCTGGCCGGTCAGCTATAATTGTTTGTCAACTTCCATTGAAATCTAATGAGAAAATGTTGTGGTCAATTTTAAATCGTACGGATGTACCGTTTGAAAATAACCATCGTTTTGAATTCATTGATAAAAATCAATATCGTCTAAAAATGCGTCGCATTGAAGAATTCGATAATGATCTTCTATTTGAATGTCACTATGAAAATCAAAAACTATCAAGTCAAGGTTTAATTAAATTACATGTTGAACGCATTGAATCACCGCCAATTATTATCTTTGTACCAAACAATCAAACCATACCTGTTGGCGTTGATGTTACATTTTCATGTCAAACAAAAGATAATGCAAATATTCAATGGTGGTTTATAGCGAATGGTCGTTCGCATAAATCAAATAAAATTGAAAATAGTAAAAAATATAAAATTGATACAAATCATGATTTAATTGTTCGTCATGCTGATAAGTAAGTTGTGACCAAAGTTTTTTTTTACAAATATAGGTCCGATCTTTCGGAATAAAATTCGAATGAAGTTGCCAAGTAGGAAACTATGAGAACAAGTCTTAGATATCCTTTACAATTTTACATATTTCGACAATACTAGGAAAGTTATTCGTAACGTTTTCAAGAGAATTCTAACTGAGTATTGTCTAGAGATAATACTGACTTAGGAGTCATTGTTAAATTGAAGAACTTCCTTCATAAGTTTCATTGTTGTCTAGTTGGATGTTATCCAATCATCAAAGTATTAGTTATATAAAAGTTATGCTCAACAAAAGATTCTATTCAACTGTAGAAAAATGTAAACGATAAGGTCGAGTAATTGATCGTTCGCCAACGCTATTTATTACATCCATAAATACCAATGACCGTATTATATTCATTATAGTGTAATAGTAGGAAAAGGCTGACTAACAATCAAGGTCTTACTTATGTGTCATGACGTATTTCGTAAAACAAAACAAAAAAAAAGAGAAGAATGACTTGTCGTGAATTCGGTATACATGATATTTAAGATGTCTAGACTCAATTAAACAATTCGATGAAATTTTTATAATGAATACAAAAAATGCAAAATCATATTGCAGCGAGATTTTATTTATTTAAAATGCTTGAAAATACGATACTGTTAATCCTATTTAATATTCAAATTTGACATAGTGTTTAGCTAATTAAATTATTTCAATTATTTGCATTATTCGTTTAGGAATGATGTTGGCATATATAAATGCATTGTAACGAATACAAATGATGATGAAACAAGTTGGATGGCACATTTAAATGTGGAAGATTCACGTTCCAATGCCATATTTCATCGTGTTGAACGAACTGATTTACCACAAGCGCCAACACAACCATTAGCAGTCGCGATCAACAGTAATTCAATTGAATTGGCGTGGAATTATCCATCGGCAGATGTTCAAGGATATTTTATAGAATATTTTCATTTGAATGGTGACGATAAAAATATTCAATGGAAACGTTTGTATACAACCAATAAAAATTCTCGTCAAATCATAAATGATTTAAAAATAAGTTCAACATATCAATTTCTTGTGCGTGCAAGAAATTCATATGGCTATGGTTCACCATCGTTATTATCTGAACTGATTGAAACACGAAATGAACAACAATTTACTGATGATTTTATTTATTTATTAGATCCAATTAATATTCAAGAAACAAGCGTAACAATTCAATGGAATATCGTACCAAAAGCTCATTCTATCGATCGTTATTCAATATCAATCATAAGCGAAAAAGATGTTAATGAACGTATAGAAACAATTATTAATAAAAATAATTTAACAACATACACAATAACAAATCTTCGTCCAAATACAGATTATTCTATACGTATAATGGCAACGAATAGTTTGACAAATATCATTGGTCGTCCAAGTAATACAATTTTAATACGAACATCGGAAAGTATTCCATCGTCATCGCCAAATAATGTGAATGTTGAATTAACATCATTGACTAGTCTCTCAATTCATTGGAATCCACCATTAGAAACGGAACAAAATGGTCGTATTATTGCATATAAAGTTAATTGTCTAGGCTCAAATGAATCAACATCAATACGTTTATTAAATATAAGTTCTGATGCGAAAGGATTAAATATAAAAAAGCTTATTGAAAATATGCAGTATTGTATTAGTATTGCAGCACGTACACGTGCTGGCTATGGACCTTATTCACAACCGATATGTGTTACAATGAGTAAGATAACACTACACAACAATATATATTTTTATTTTCTATACTAATCCTATTTGATTCTAGATGTGGAATTTCTTAAATTAAATGTTAATTTAAATCAATATAATCTTAAACGTCGTTTCCGAGAAGCTGTTTCTCAACCATGGTGTGTGAAATAGATTGCTATCGATACATTTAATTATAGTATTTTTTGTTAAATTTTTACATAGGTTTTTCCCATTAATTATTATATCCAGTATACTTTTTATTTGTATTCTGTTGTATACTTGTTGGCTATGTTTTCATCGTTTAATGAATCAACGTCGTCATCGAATAAAATTTGGTAGTTCAAACTCGTCGACATCATCATCATCATCAAATCAATTTGTTGAAATGCCTATACAAAAAACATTAAGTAATGGTACACGTTATGATTTAATTAAAGATACTCCACCGCCATCATCATCAACAGCCTTGTGGACTGATACAATCGGAAGCGGCATACGTTTACCATGTTGTACCACTACAACTGCTTCAGGTAGTAGTCAAGGTGAACATGATTCGCATATAATGAATATTCATAAAAATCCAATGAACGTACTTATACAACAAACTAAACAACAACAACAACAACTTAATCCATATGCAACTACTGGAATATTTCAACATAATCATACACCATTACAAGCAACATCAACTTTATTACCAACTTATGTAAGTTGGAAACGTAAATTTTTATCATATTTTTTAAATTTCAATTTTTAGTCGGAATCAATATCAATACGTTCGCCACCATCATTGCCACCACATCACTTTCTATTAGATCAACAACAAAACCCATCAGTTCAATATCAACCTCCGTGGCTTGATCATCCAAATTCTTCATTACAATATCGTTCACAATCGCATACACCTTACCATCATCACCAGCAGCAACAACAACAACAGCAACATTATTGTATACATTGTACATCACAATCTCATCCACATACACCATCATCAATACGTACGATAGCACGTCCTATGCATAATATTCACCATCAAACTGCTAATAGTTCAAGTATGTTAAATAATGAAATTCGATGGCCAATTGAAACAGCAATGAACAGTTCACCATTGTAAGTTTTTTTTTCATGGATTTTATATGATTTTAAAATTTATTTTATAGAGTAAAACGTCAATCACAATATGCTCCACCAGAACCACCTCCACAATCATCCAATCCGATGATGATTAATTCATTAGGTGCCGGTAAGATTTGTATTTGATATAACTATTGTTTTTTTTTTTTATAGATTTCTAATAAATACTTCTCTTTTTTTAGAAACAATGACAACTTCATGGGCAAGTTCAACAGATGCTAGTAACCGTGAAAGTATATCATCATCAATAACAGACAAAAATGAACAGAGAAAACGAATCCAGGAACATAGTCGTTCAAGCAGTGAAGGCTCATTATTTTCCGATTCGGATAATCAACAACACGAATTAAATAGTTCAGCATTAAATGATAACGAAAGACGACCAACTTTTCTTATGCCAACTGTATGAATATTTGAGTTGAACTTTCTTTTCTTCAAATCTAGTCATTCTTTTTCTCTTTCTTGTGTTTCTGTGCGCGTATGACTGATTTAGGTTAGTGGCCTATTTTTGTTTTCTATGTTTGTATTTCGTTCCTTTTCTTTTTTTAAATATCTAGCTGTCGTTCAGATGATCTTTCTTTTTTTTTTCTCTGTTGTATAATTCAAGTGACAGTTTCAGGGATGCTTAATAGTGTGAAAAAACTATTGAATATTTCATATAATTGTGACAATAAAAATGATTTTAAGTATTAAGTAAAAAGTCGATCAGCCTTGTTTGAATATCCATTGTGCATATGAGACAATCGCATCCAAATGATGTAGAGTTATTCTACTGATTTTCCGCCATAGAACTCTAATTGAATACTCGACGAAGGATTACCTGCAATTTTATGTCCTATTAGAAATTTTCTATTCTTACGAGATTCTATTGATGGAAATATTATGAATCATTCGAAACGATTCCCTCGGTAGTTTCTCCGGCAAAACGAAAACGAGGGAATTTATATTTAGTATTTAGGAAGGATGCGATATTATAAAAATTACATGTACAAGGTGAGATACAATTAGGATGGTCTCATGGTCGTTTCAAGGATAACAATTTTAGGTAATAAAAATACATATATTGTGTTCCTTAAAATCAGCGACTCATGGGAAATATATCTGATGGCCTTTTTTCTTATGTCAATTCTCGTACGTGTGCGATATGAGAGTGATTAATTAGGTTTCATCGCTATTCTTCAATAAAAACATAAAAATGCGTATTTCATCAATGAAAGCAACAGCTCGAACGACTATCAATCAATCAAAATGCCATAGCTAAATTAATATTCAAAGAAGTTTTTGAAATCATAACTAGATAGTCCTCGATGAAATCAATCACGCTAATGATTTCATTACGATGTCTATGAATTCAGTTGGGTTGTTCAATATTAACCATATGACGACAGCTACCATAGAAAGCTTCATAATGAATGAAAGAAAAATACACAATCAAATGCGTGCCAATAAAACACCATGAGACTGAATAACAACAGCAGCCGGCATTTATAATAATAATAAATAAATAGAAGATTGAAGTCTCGATTATTTTCTCACACCCACACCCAAATTCTATAAATCACTAATCATATGAATACTAATTCGGGACTTTATCAGATCTATTGAAGAAAATGAGTTTTCACTTGTGAAATAAATTGTTACATTTTTTAATTATATATTTCATATAACATTTGCCAACAGGAATAAACAATGACTAATCATTAGCATGAACAATACAATATTTTCAATATGGGAAAACAACGATTGATTCAATTTGATATCTTGTAGATAAGCAATTAGATTATGCAACACTTGATTAGTTCGAACGCTGCTACTATTGACCTATGCTTATGTTTATCATGTGCCATTTAAAACAGGCTCTTTTAATTTATTATGCTCTTGAAATCCATACCATCATTGCTAAACGATGGCTATTGGCTGTTATGATAAAAAAAATGTCAAAGCAACGTTTTTGTCTGACAAATCAAATATGCCTAGATGTAGATTTACTTGAAATGAACGTCAATGACATTTATCACAAAGCAGTCTATTCAATCTGTTTTGACCTTTTTTTTTTACTAAATATATAATGAACGCATGGGGGTGACTCTAAAGAATTAACGTCTTAATATACTACATATATATTTCGATAGTATTATAAAACAATTAACTAGAAAATTGTTATTAGACGATGTATCTTTTTCTTCTTTAAAATCTTGATAAATCGATTGAAATGCGGTACTTGGAAATCGACGATAAAAGCCGTATGTTTAAATTTAGCAGCTTTCAAAAGCAAAACTTTTTCTCTAGATGTCTTGATGAAATATTTTGAAAGTATCAACGTCGATTATGGGGGGGGGGGGGGGGGGGGGGGGGGGGGGGGGGGGGGGGGGGGGGGGGGGGGGGGGGGGGGGGGGGGGGGGGGG